AATACAAGGTTTATCATTATTACATACCGTCTTTTCATCCCTTCCTCCCTTCTTTTCCTTATTTTTTACATTTCCTTCTGTTCTGCTGTTTCCCAGATTTTGTTGAAATACAAGAAAAACTACAAGTCTAATCAGAAATACGTGCTGGTTGATGTGATAAGGGACAGTGTCAAATGCAATAATTATTATTATTATTATTATTTTGACTCCTAACAGACATTATAACAATTTCACATTGAAATTGGAGCGTGTTTGCTGGTCCAATTAAGTTGTTGTGATTCCACCTAAAGTAACGGGTTCTTCTTTGTCTGAAATCTGTGGCATCATAAAAGTTGTGATTTTCTATAAGATACAGAGGAATAGACTTAGAAGACCTGATAGCGACAAGAATACAGAATAAAGACACAAAATATTTGGGCTTTAATGAGTGTCGGGTAATACAATAACAATGAATGTTCGGCAACACTAAAAGATCCCTTCGGAACTATTCGAAAAGGGAAATTTCTTCCTGTTGTTTTGTTCTGAATCCCTTCAGAGTCGGGTGGGTTCAGAAAGCTCCAATCTCGGTTGTCCACGATCTGTTGGGTTTGCGAGCGCTCGGGCTCCTCGTCTGGTCGAAAGCGTTGAACCTGAAGGGTGACATGGGTGGGAAGAGTCCGAAGGACAAAGGGGTGGCTGCAGCCCCTGTGTGGATGGTGTTGATGTGGGAGGAGGACCCAATGAGGGGAAGTTCATCGGCAGACATGTCGTGGCACCAGGCAACAGCGCCTTGTTGGGTCCCACGCTTGACCGGACGCCAGGAAATGTGGCCGTGATGTTGGGCAACGCTCTGTGAAGTGACGGTGTCAGGCTGTGCAGGTGTAGGTTTAAATTGGCGGGCGTCCTGCTCAGAAGACGGCTCTGCCCGGGCGACGCCAGGGCCGGTGGCACAGACATCACTCGGCTGAAAGTGGGCTTCCTCAGAGCGGAGGTGGAGAAGCCCAAGGCGGGGCCGGTGAAGAGAGGGTGGTGGTTGCTTTGGGGAAGGTCCCCACTTGGCAATCGTGCAACCTCCAAAGTGTGCGGCAGTAAGGCGGTCAGATGGTGATAGGGCCACTCCCAAGCCTGGTGAGGCACTGGCGTTGGCTCCGTTTCAGTCACGTAGCTGGTGAGATGACTCACAAGTCTGTCCTTAAGTGGGTCAGTATCGTCGCGTCCCTCATGTTGTTCAAATGAACCCAGATATGTCATGACTTCAGCCAGGCATTCCCTGAACCCCACGCTCCTGTAATCCACAGCCAGCAAACGAGGATCAAGATAACCTGACGGTGAAGCATAGTTACGGTTAACACAATGAAAGGACAGACTCATAAAATACACAGTCACTCCACTTTACAGTATATATTCTGTGAAGCGCTTTGAGACGTCTCGAAGACTTGATATGGCGCTGTATCAAATGCAAAGATTATTATCATTATTATTATCATTATTATTAATTATTATTATTACTACCAGCCCCTTGTGGGTAATTCTATTTGGCTATACTGTAACGTTTGCAAAGTGCTGACTCTTCCTGTTTCGTGAAAATATAGCGTTGCATCTTTCACGCACTGGAGTAAGCAGCGACGGAGTGGCATGAAGGGAAATTGGGAAAGATTGGCTCCTGATGCTTCCCAATCCGTGCAGCCTACGTCAGGAGATCCACTTAAGACCAACCAAGTTTTTAAACGCGCGGATATCTTACCATGAATCGTCACTCGCCATGAATATTGCTGACGTTCAACAACAGCAGAATTACATTTGCACAGCGCCTTTCACATCAGAAGGACATCCAGGGCGCTGCACAGTTAGGGGTTTGCACTCGAGCTATTTAATATGATATGTGAGATGGTTGAAGTCTGTATTAAACATGTGAGCGTCACCTTTATCTCCTGTTGCATGGAGTAGTTTCAGGTGTTCGACAGTCATCTGTAGGATCTCTGCTTTCTCCGGCTTGGAAGTTCCCTGTTTAGTGGATGCAGGAAACAAATGTCACACACACACACACACACACACAATGAGACAGCGAGAGAGTCATGATGGATCTGTGGATGATTAAATCATTCTAATAATAATCCTTGCATTTGATATAGCGCCTTGTTACATTGTTGAGACGTCTCAAAGCGCTTCTCAAGGATACACTGTGAAGTGAATTGACTGTGGATTTTGTTGTCGAAACACACGAACCAATTGCGTACAGCAGTGTCCCACGTTGCTGTGTAATGTACCAGATTATTCCAAACGCTGCACGCTTGAGGATAAACTATTGCAATGTCTGCTGAACGCTGAAATTCATTGAAGGTGAAATTACCTGTTTTTCAAAGGCTGTTGGGACCAAACGACAGAGTTCAGACAAACTGTTGTTAATCCTATCCCGCCGTCTTTTTTCTATAATCTAAAAGAAATGTATTTAAATATAAAAAAGAGATGATGATGATAATAATACCAAGAAGAAGAATCCTTGCATTTGATATATCACGTCATTGAGATGTCTCAAAGGGCTTTGCGGACTATACTGCAAACTGTAGTGACTGTGCATTTTGCAGGCGAAATGCGGCAGCCAATTGTGCACAGCAGTATCCCGCACACAGTCAAGGACTGAGCGACCAATTTTTTTTTGTGGGATCATTGCCCCCGGAAAGCGATCCACCAATCGACGAACACACGGGCTCCTACTTACTGCTAGGTAAACAGAGATATATTTGTGGAGTAAGGACACTTGCCTAAGGAATAATAATAATAATAATAATAATAATAATAATAATAATAAGAGATAGGTCAAAAATATACGAGGAATAAAAAGCAAGCATTTGTTCCCTCGTAGCGAAGAGAAATCCTTACCCCACGCCTTTTTTTCCGAGCCAGTTTGTGGGGAGTTGAAGTGGCTGAAATTGAACTGGACACATGACTGAAAGAAAAAGAAGTGGATGAAAACAATTTACAAATGTGTATCATTAATATACTCACATGGGACACATTTCATGACATTTCATTTTTTTTGAAGGGATTATTATCCCCGGAAATGCGATCCGCCAATCGACTAACAACCGGGTTCCTACTTACTGCTGGTAAACAGAGACGTGTGGAGTAAGGAAACTTGCCCAACGGTTTGCCCTGACCGGGAATCAAACCCAGGTCCTCTCGCTTGCGAAGCGAGTGCTCTAACCACTGAGCTACAGATAAGTGGAGTGACTGTGTGTTTTTGAGGATGACTACGGGAAGCTTTCACCAGCTGAACCTGAACCTCCCTATAGTTAGTCCAACAAATACAGTGAGTGCCCTGCCCCAAATAGGGAGGTCACAGCATTCTTGGCAAATGTTTTATTTGCCAAAGGCTTAATGGCATTATGCAGTTAAAGTTCAAACACTGTGCGGTCGAAACACCACTGCATCTGTTGTGCGCAACTTTACTGCGGCATAAAAATGGTAGCCCCAGCAAACCCCGAAAACAAACGTTGGGATTTATTTCGCCAACGAATTCACTTTCCGATTATTCGCTTGGGGAAAAAAAAGTCATTTACAATCTAGATTCCCCCAACAAAACCCAGACGGCTGAAGTTGATCACTTTGCATTTGATAAAGCACCTTTCACATCAGAAGGAAGTCTCAAACAAAGTGCTTCACAGAGTTTGCTGTAGATTGCTGGATTGTTTGTTGAGTGAAGTCCCGAGTTTGATTCCTGGGCGGGGCAAAGCTTAGACAAGTTTCCTTATTCCCGGAGGCTCTGTTTACCGAGCAGGAACCCAGTTGATAAGTCGATTGGCAGATTGTTTCTGGGGGTAATAATCCCTCTAAAATAATAAAATTCAGTCACTCAACCATGACTGTTTGTGGACACCGCATAATTGGCTGTCGTGTTCCTCCCACAAAATACAGTCAATTCACTTCACAATACAATCTGATAAGGTGCGATATCGAAATCAAGGGTTATTACAATTATTATTATTGTGTAGGTGAAGGGTTGAGAGTGATAAGAGGACAGACAGAAAGTAAAATACTCACTAGTAATTCTCCTCTTTGCCAACGTCTATCAACTCTTCCACATCACTGTCCCAGGAGTTTTCCTCACAGAATCGCTTCATGCTGAGTGAGATGTTGAACTTGTAGTGAGTTTAACCAGAGGCTGAAGTGAAATTCAAGAGATGCCACTTGTTCCCAGTTCTCCTCAGTCTCCTTCAGTCCTTCAGTGCCTGGTGTTAAGTGCTCCGGGACTCTACCCTGTGTGAAGGGCGCTATATAAATGTAAGTTGTTGTATTAACTACCCTTTTGTTGCAGGGAAATGGGTTTCTCTGGGTGTTGGTGAGGCGAAGGCGCTGTGGTGTGGATTGATGACGAGTGTTTCTCTCTGGTTGGAATGGAATTTCCTTTTGCCTTTCAAGCCTGTCTCCCCACACCGACTTTCTGCCTCGATTCCGAAAGATTCTCTTGTTAAAGTGAAGCCGATTCTGGTTGGTTTGGTTCCCTGTGGTTCCCTCTCTGTCTGTCCTCTCTCCCTATGTTCTCTCCCTACGTCTCTCTCTTTCTGTGTGTGTGTCTCTCTCTCTCTTCCCGTCCTCTATCTGCGTCTCTGTGTCTGTACTATCTCTGTTCTGTCTCTCGCTCTCTCTCTGTCACTGACTGGATTTCTTTCTCAGCTGTTCCCAGTTTCAGAGAGGAGCTTGAGGGTTTGTTTGTGAGCTGCTGTTTTTTTTCCTCGCAAGTCTCTTCCTGTTTCTCTCATGTGGTCACTTTGATCTGTTCCTTTCTGACAGAGTAGCTGTGGCTCAGCCCCAGACTCTCCCTCTGAGCCGCTTTCATTGCCTACCTCCTGTCAAATGACATTAATTCACCTTTTCCCTCTGCGTCTCTCTCTCTCCCCCCCCCCCCACCTCCCTTTAACATTCTCTTCCTCTCTATTTCTCTCAGCTCCTCTCACAACCCAGTGCCTGCCGTGCGTGTCTTGCTGCAGTTACTTTCCAACTGACGTGAGCAAACTAACCACTGGGGTTGAGCGAGGCAGGCTGCCACCACAGGCGGGTGTGTGATGTGAACAGACCATTTAAGCTCGAGCGTGAGAAACTGCTGCAGCCGGAGATCCGTGATATCCATCAAACTGCCTTTCCCCTACCTGTCAACCTCTCACTCAAATCCTCGCGCTTCCATCGCCCACAGAACACACAGTCAATCCACTTTGCGGTGTGCCCTTTGCAGAGCGCTTCGAGACGTCCCAAATACGTGATGGGGCGCTGTATCAAATGCCAGGATTACTAATGTTATATCGTTTCTAAATAATTTAAAAAGTAATAATTTGGTCACTCCATCCACGACTGTTTTGTGGGACGTCGCTGTGCGCGATCGGCTGCTGTGTTTCACCCACAGCATGCACAGTCACTACACTTTACAGTATTATCCTGTGAAGCACTTTGAGACGTCTCGAAGACATAAGATGCTCTGTCAAATGCAAGGTTTATTATTATTAACATCTTATGGGAGAAGTGGTTAGATATGTATACTACCACCCCATAAACCATCCTAGACACTAGTAAAGAAATCTGACCATTTCTCTGCCAAGAACCACAAGGGAGGGGCAACTTAAATTATTCCATATAATTTACTAAACAGATTTAATTTTGGGCTGCATAGTGAGTTTTGCAGTGGGTATGAAAAGATTAGTGGCCAAAATACATACATATTCATGGAAGGTCGGTGAAACACAGGATGTGACTTGATTTGGATGCTATTCGTGGCTTAAACGCTGCGTTTTACCCAAAAAAATATACAGTCAATTCACGATGCAGTATATTCCGTGAAGCGCTTTGAGACGTCTCGAAGATGCGATAAGGGTGCGGTATCAAATGCAAGGTTTATTATTATTCCACAAAAAGTATTGATTCTGTTTTACACCTTACGCAAACCATCACTGTTTTATAATTACATTCCGCAATTAGGTGAGCAGGATGTGTGCCTCCAGGGAGAGAGAGAGAGAGCGCATTCCATTCCAATAATCTATCTCCGGTATTTCCACGTGTAGGTGGGATGCCTGGGATTCTCAGCTTGGTTTGGATAGTCTTAAGCAACGGGTTTCTACACTTGCCACATCCCCACCCAGCTGTCCAAAAATATATATATTTTAAAAAATACAGGTACCTCAGTAAGTGTGTGCTGAGCTGTGTGCATGTTCAACGTGTCAGTATGTGTGCGTTTACTCATGAATTGATTTATTCATATTTGATCTGATGCATTTTTAATAATGTTTCATCACAAGGGTTTGTTGTAATTACAAGCATGAGTGCATCTGTAAGACGGGCAAGTGAGCATGACAGCTTATTGTATTTTTCAATGAGCGGTTCAATGTATCGTTGAGTGTGTGTTTAGTGAAGTGCATAATTTGAGCACAAGTTGGCTTGACACGGATAGCTAAACACAAGTATGAGAGCATTGTACGTTTGCGGACAGGAATACGGTGTTTCATTGGACTTGCTTTCTGTTTTGGCTCAGTTTGTGATTCTTTCCCACGCTCAACATGTTTGTTTATGTCTCCTCCATGTTTATTTGACTCTGACTGGAACAATAGCAAATATATGAGGGCCAACAGAGGCAGAAGCCCCCACATATGTTGCTAAAACAATTGTTCACAAATCTGTTCTCAGGAAGCAGAAAGAAAACACAGAAAATACACTGTACCTCACTGTAACAAGTCAGGGCTTTGTAAGCATCCAGACTCCTTAATAATTAATCTAAATCATCAACTAGAATGTAATTCATTTTTATCACGGCTACATAAAACCATACAGTGAAGAGCGCAATCATAAATGAATGAATAATCCTGTCTTGGACCTGAACATGTAATTTAGGGTTTCATGTAAAAGTGAGAGATTTAATTGCTGGGAAAATAAACTGAAATCTCACATTAATGTATATTTTGTTATGATCTGAATATTTTCTTACTGTTCTATTGCTTTTAAAACAATGCGCTTGAATGTAGTGTTAACAATATAAGATGTACAACAGGGAAGAGTGGGATATTGCATGTATGGGGCTGTGTAACGTACATCTTAATCTCCATTACGCTCTCCATGTGAGACATTCTGGCCAATTATCGGTAGAGTTCAGGATATATATTTGTTAGATCAGAGCATTAGGGGATATTGGAAATCAGATTTGAGCTACAGATCAGCCATGATCTTATAGGATGCTGGAACAGGCTCGAGGGGCTGAATGGCCTACTCCTGTTTTTACGTTTCTATACGGAGAGCAAAATACTGCAACTCTTGCTTGTGAAATTGCATAGGTCTTTTTTTTTCCCACCATTAAAATGTAACTGTCACCCATAAAAAGGCTTAATTGGCTCTCGTTAACTGGTGAAACAGCATTAGCTCATTCTGTGAATTCTGTCATTTTAGACTGCTTGAAGACCACCTTTGATTTACGGCTGGCTGTGAAGTGTTGGTGAACCCATGCCCTACACAAGGGCCTGCAAGGCACACTGAGGTACATGCTCCTTTAACCTAAACATCTTTATTTTTGATACTGAATAATAAGCATTTGATACAGCGCCTTCTCATGGCTTCAAGACGTCTCAAGGTGCTTCACAGAATATACTGTAAACTGGACAGACTGTATATTTTCTGGGCGAAACCTGGCAGCCAATTATTATTATTATTATTTTTGAAGAGATTATTATTACTATTATTATCAATAACCAGTATAAATGACTGAAGAAACGCAAAAAACATTTAATGACCTTTTCGAGCTTCATTTTGGTATCTGGTACTGAGGTGAAGAATGTCATCCCTTCACCAGCTTCGCAAATAACAATGTGACTGCACAGAGGCGCAATGATATCACCTTCCTAGAGTGACAATGAGACTGAACCTCTTGTGGATGTGAATGCCATGTCTGCACCACATCATCACATTTGATAAGGTTAAGCAGGTTCTAGCTGTTGAGATGAAACAAAACCAGGAATCTGACAAAACCTTGAGAGATTATTTCTCCACCTCGCTGATGTCAAGAGAATAGTCACTCAGATCTCTGACACCCCCAGTCTAATTTTAATTCATTTGACTGGTTCTCTGGACTCATTTCTTCATGGATCATCTCTTCATGGCTCAAAGTAATTAACCTGGTGTTAACTCTGTGCCCATCACTACTTGGATTTGGTAGAGCAAGAGCAGTCCACATCTTCTGTGTGAAAAAATATTAATAATAATCCTTGCATTTGATATAGCGCCTTAGCACATCTTCGTGCTATTTCAAAGCGCTTCACAGAATATACTGTAAACTGAATTGACTGTGTATTTTGTGTGTGGAAAAAAAATTGACTGTGTATGTATTTTGTGTATTTTGTGTACTGTAGAAACCTAATCCGATTATACATTGGATAAAGTCTACAAAGCTAACAGACAGTGGAATTATTTTTACTTAGGATTGTCGTGCAACATTTAAATTAGTTGCAAAGTGCAGAGAAGCTTCAGAACTTGAGCTGCTGCCAGGGAACGTAATGTCCTGATTACAAAAATCACTCACGCTTCTACCCCCAGGACAATCACAATCGCAATGCAGCCTAGCCTCACCAGGAACGGTTCCAGCCAAGGTCTTATTGCAGCAACGTGCCAGGAGAGAAAGGCCATTCACTCTATTTGTTGTCATTTCCCAACAGAGCAGCATTTTCTGGTAGATAAGGAGACATGGGTCCTTTTACCCCGCTGACACATTCTCAGCACCAGCTCAAACCGCACTCTGTGGGAAAGTTTGAAGGGAGGATGAATGTGCTGATTAGGATGTCAAGCTAAGCTGATTACTGTTGTAAGGGACGTTGGGGCACATTATTATTTTATTTACTAGAGATTAAATTGAGGTTAGCTTTGAGGGAGGCAGCTTGGGACGAGAATTCATTTGTGCGTTTAAAATTTTAAAAATCTATTTTGTTTTTTAAAAACAGAATATTCCCATTTTATTTTCCAAATGACATAAAAAAAAACGTTTTTTTCGGTGGGAGATTCTTTTTGGGAGGATCTGAAATAAAAACAGAAGTGTCTGGAAACACTCAGCGGGTCAGGCAGCATCTACGGAGAGAGGAAAGCGAGTTAATGTTTCTGGTCGATGACATTTCGTCTGCAATTTAACGACCTTACAATGGTCTGTGTCTATGAATCCCAGACAATAATAGTTTGGAACTGGTAACATTTTTCTTTCTCTGCAAGCTCACAAATGTCCCATGTGAAATTAATTTGGAGTTGCTAGTGAGGGTGTGTCCATAGCACAGATGTTGACAGTGGGTTATATCAAGGGAGCCAACGTTTTATTCCTAGCACCAACATGACTTGCCGAGATCCCCACAACTGACCACAAAACTCCAGTGTTGTTTTTGAAGATCACAATGACTGTTCCTTTTCCAGTAATCATTTTCAAAAATTAATGTTAGAAAAAGCCACCTGCAAGGGGCAATGACAACAACAACTTGCATTTATATAGCACCCTTCACGTGGGGTATCGTCTCGGAGCGCTTCACGTGGCGGAATCTGATGCCAAGCCAGGGGGAGAGGCAGTGGGGGGGGGAGTGACCGTAAGCACCATCGAAAAGGAAGGTCTTTAGGTGGGGGATTAGTGGATTGAGTTTTGGGGATTAGTGGATGAAGGCGCGACCACGGATTGTAGAACGGAGAGCACATAATTAATTGTTAACAGTTGTGATCCACTGCGCTAAATCTTTTTCAAATGAGAATTCCCTTTATAAAGACTTAGTGAAAACAAATCACGGCTTTAACAGACCAAGAGAAGATTAAATTTAATGGTCAAGTGTATTCATTATATGCTAATCTTCAACATTAAAAACCCCTAAAAAAAATTATTTCACTTTTAAATAGATTGTAACATCTTAGCTATTATTAATGTACTCACACCGCATGGAATATAATAATACTCCTTGCATTTGATATAGTACATATCGCATCACAGAGGCGTCTCAAAGCACTTCACAGAATGTACCATAAAGTGAAATGTGTATTTTGTGGGCGAAACGTGGCAGCCAACTGCGCACAGCAGTGTCCCACAAACAGTCGTGGATTGATTGACCAATTTTTAAAAAAATGTCATTGTCATTGGATATTTTTCATATTTTGCGGATATGACATCGGATTCTAATTAGAGCGGTTCGCCTTTGAAAGGAAGATTATTTTAAAAGAGAATCTTCAAAGCATAAGTACTCTAAACCCACATCAGACAATAGCCTGACAAGCGTTTACACTGTCTCCAGCTTCAACTGCCTCCAAACCACAAAAAAGAATTATAGTTCACGATTAACTTCATTAGACCCATCTTTACTTAATTCTTCACCAGATTTAATCTTAACATATGGTGTAAACAGACTCCATAATAACAAACTAGGTTGGGATTTGCAGACCCCCAAGTGAAATCTGATCAATCAGGAGGAGCGAGGGCAGAATCATCATACTCTATGCCAACAATTTTAATTGTTAAAAGGTCATGAGACCAAAGTATAGTGTCTGAAGCCTTGGCCACTGAGGGTTGAACAGAAGTAGTCAGAAACAAGCAAGAATAATCCCTGTGGGAATTTGGCTGCCCTTCACTTAAAAGCTTCTGACACCTGATCAGAATAAATACTGTAATTCTTGCATTTGATATAGCGTCTTATAATGTCTTCGAGCGGTCTCAAAGTGCTTCACAGAATATACTATAAAGTGAATTGACTGTATATTTTGTGAACCTAGTCTACAAAATGCCACTTCACTTTCAATATGTTTCGTGAAGTGCATTGGGACATCCTCCTGACATGAAAGCTGCTATACCAAATGCGTGGATTATTATTGTTATTAGGATTATTATTTGTTGATATTTTATTCAATGAGCTGAAAATATACATAACTGGTCATCCCTAGACAGTGCTAGGTCCAAGATTATTACTGCTGGATTTTCTTTCACTGAGAGTTCATAGTTTATATTACAGAAAAAAGCTACTCCTGACAATTGAGTATCTATTGCTGTCTAGTGCATGATCTGAAAATAAAACAGTCTGCCCCAGGAAGATAAATCTGTTCAAGGTTAAACTCAGCTGTGGCTATTTTGTTTGTTTTCATTTAGCGAATTATTGTCAGATCGCTTTGTTTACTATACGCTTTGTATTTTAGTTTGTATAAAGTCTGTTTCATATACAGTCTCTCATATGTTGTTGATGGAAATAATGTTTCCACACACAGTAAATAAAAGCAAGACAATTTTTTTTTGAAAAAAACTTTTTGAGTGCAATCTGTGTGTTGGAATTGCCATATAAAGACTGAATTTTGTTTGTAAGGTTTTTTTTGCATAAATGGATAGATTCTTTATCCACAATATTTCTGATTTTAATTTTTTTAAAAAAACTGGTCACTCAACCTACGACTGTTTGTGGGACGCTGCTGTGTGCTGCTGCATTTCGCCCACGAAGTATACAGTCAATTCACTATACACTATAGTCTGTGAAGCGAGTTGAGACGTCTCAAAGACGTGATAAGGTGGTAGATCAAATGCAAGGATTATTATTATTGTTGTAAATTTTCAGTACAACAGGACAGTCAACATTAGCTGATTTTCTTTTTCAGTTTAAGGTGGAGAGACGTTAACCCTTTTACAAATGCAGATGAGAAATTTCGAAGCCTCTGGCCCCAAAGTTTTAACTTAGACCAATCTGTCTTGGTCACATTATTGTGGTTCTGCTGGTTTATAGAGGAATTTTATTTGGAATCCTGCGCCTCATAAAAACAATTCAAGTTGTTAAATGTTTCCCACGGTGAGTACATGTTGCAAATCTGTTTTTAATTCCATCATAAATCAACAGTAGTGACTGCACTGTGAAGAGAGTCGAGAACTGCCACAGTCCTGCATAACATTACCATAATAGTCCTTTCTAAACAAACTGGTTAAGGTTATCTTGTTTCCAAGCTGATAAAGTAAATATTACTATAAAACACATTAATTTCTTTAATTTGGCCGTTGATTTTTTAACGAAATGGACATTCAGTGTTATTAAGGGAATGGATTAACAGAAAACTGATTATTTTTCAATTAGCATCTATGAGAGGTAGCAGAATTTGATTATTTTATGAAAGTGTTGTGAATATAACATCATTCTAGTTTCACATGCACTTAAAACAGTCTTTAAACTGTCCCCAAATAATTGGAAATGCCACATTCTCTCCCCCCCCCTCCAGTGATGGTCAATAGTTTTGTCTGTGACCCACGCAACACCAAATCACCTTCAGGTGTTGCAGAGATGTTAAGAGCATCAAAAATTATAGTTTGTACCTCATATAAACATTAAGGGAAACAATATAATGACTGTCCAATAAAATGGATGCATTTTATTACCCATTAAACTCTTGTGAGACGAATAAAGCCACTAGCTCTAAAATTCAAAAGGCTCATTCCCAGCCACGATAATTGCATTGGTTGTTTGGTGCCATCTAGTGATAGATTTACTGAATAATATCATAGAGTCAGAATCGTACAGCACAAAAAAACGGCCATTCGGCCCATCGAGTCTGTGCCGGCTCTTTGAACAGAGCAATTAATGTCAATCCCACTCCGCAGCCCTTTCCCCATAACCCTGCAAACCCGTCCTCCTTAAATACCCGTCCACCGCGTTTTTAAAAGTTACTACCGAATCGGCCTCCGCCGCCCTTTCAGGCAATGCGTTCCAGATTCGAACAACTCGCTGCGTGAAAACATTTCTTCTCCCCTCCCCTCGGCTTCTTTTAGAGACTATTTTGAATCTGTGACCTCGAGTCACCGACACACCCACCAGTGGACACAGTTTCTCCCTTTCTAACCTGTCAAATCCCCTCATGATGTTGAAGACCTCTATTAGGTCTCCTCGTAACCTTCTCTGCTCCATTGAGAATAATCCTAACCTCTCCAGCCTTTCCTCATCATCACGGTCCCTCATTCCTGGTACCATCCTCGTAAATCTCCTCTGCGCCCTTTCCAATGCCTTAACATATAGTGCGGTGCCCAGAACCGGGCGCAGTATTCTAACTGAGGCCTAACCAGTGTTTTATATCGGTTAATCATAACCTCCTGACTCTCGTACTCTACGCCCCTATTTATAAAGCCTGGTATCCCATATGCCCCTTTTTACAGCCTTATGTACCTGTCCTGCCACCTTCAAGGATTCATTTACCTGCATAATCCTTGCAACTCGGTCGTATGACGCGTTTGATTTTTCACGTCAGGAATTACTGTAAAAGCGGAGTGACTGCGAACTTCAAGGCGAACCCGGCAGCCCAGTGGCACGGGGCGCCGTCCCTTAGCATCACGCCGTCCGAGCCGCTCCGGGACGCCAGCCTGCCCGAGGAGCGCCGCACACACTCAAGCTGTTGCCGCGGCTGTTGTCCCCGTTTTATTTGGGGGGGGGGACGAATCGTCGGCCGGGACCGCCGGGAGAAACTGCCCCCTTTTTGAACGACGCCGCGGCTTCTCGATTGCCCACCTCCCGAACACAGGCGGGCGGGAACCCGGTTCAACGGCTCATCCCGGGGGGGGGGGGTGGGGGCTCGGCCCCACGCGGCCTTCCGAGCCCGACCCAACCGAGCCCCGGCCGACACGGGCATCGCCGGCTCCGCGCCCCACCATCGGCGGTCGGGCCTTCAGCCTCTCTTGCCCTCCCCCACCCGAACCCTTTGGAACTCCATCCCACAGTCCCTTCACCTTCCTCCCCCTCCCCATCCCCTCTCCCCATCCCCCTCCTCTCCCCATCCCCCCTCCTCTCCCCATCCCCTCGCCTCCTTCGAGCCCTGTCCCATGATTATTACGATGACTCTTATCAGCAGCTGCTGATGGCGAGCGGTACCTTCTTTGGCCGCCGGTTGGTTGCCATGCGGTTGCTGGGCAGCTTGTTTGAAACGTCACGCGGACGTCAACGGCCAGCTCCGCCAAGCGAGGGGACCGGAAACGGTTGCTCGCGCTGCGCTCTGGGAGTTGTAGTTCTCTCCCCACCCTCACGCGGGCCGGCCGGCCACGCGCCGCCCGCAGCCACGTGACTGACCGGAAAACTACAAGCCCCAGCGGGCAGCGCGGCCCACGCAAACCCGCACACGGGAGCCCCTCCTCCTCCGAGATCCCGCCTGACTCCGTCTCCAATTGGTCGCGAGCGCCCGCCCGCCCCCGCGCCCTGCGGTCTGATTGGCTGCTCGTGTGGTCAATCGGAGGGGCGGCTTCCGGTATGAAGCTCGGTTGGCGCCGGAGCGTGGGCGACGCAGGGTCCAGGCCGGGGAGGACCTGACTGACCTGAAGGCTTTCCCCCCCCCCTCTCTCCCTCACTCCCTCCCTCTCCCTCTCTCTCTCCTTCTCTTTTCTTCCTCTCTTCAACGGAAGCCATTGGAGAGGTAAATTAAAAGCGCGGACGCTGCCGTCGGTGTCGAGTATTACCTCAGAACGTGAACGGTTCTGAGGTAATAACGAGGGTCGAGGGGGGCGGTGGTGTGGGGGGAGAGGCGAGCGTTTAAAGACCCCGAATATGGGCGGGAGGGAGGGAGGGAGGGAAAGGCCGCTGAGGTGAGGCTGAAGCCTGTTGTAAATATAATAATAATAATAATAATTAAAATTAAAATACTAACAGTCTTTGCCTTTGAATATTTAGCGCCTCTCATCGGTTTCTCAGTTCGGTTGAGACGTGTTTTTTTTAAAAAAGTAATTAATTCATTTTTTTTTATTCATCAGTTGTACACACACACACATATATATGTCTCTCTTATTTAACTTCGTAATAACGCCCCGAAAATGGATCGACTCGTGCTTTTTGGGGGGATTTTTTTTTGTGTGGGTGTGTGGGTGTGATACCGGCTCCTGGTGGTTTCTTTCTCGGTGGTGGGGGGGTGGGGTGTGTGGGGAAGTGTTTAAAATCCCCCCCTTTTCTCCCCAAAATGAATGAAATCCAGGCCACTTGTTATGGTTCGAACAAAGGATCCGTGACGTCATGGCGACATTGCCCCCCCCACACACACACACACACTCACACACACCCCCTCCTCGGAAATAGTCTTTTTCTCATAATAATTGGCCCCATTCAAAGCCCCGTGTCCCTAGAAACAAAGAAACATAGAAACAGGAGGAGGCCATTCAGCCCCTCGAGCCTGTTCTGCTATAAAATCAGTACCTCAATCCCAATTACCCACCCTTGCCCCCCCCCCGTTATCCTGTAATACCCCGACCTGACAGGTACCTGCGTCTCTGTCTGTGCCTCTCTGTCTGTTTGTCCGTCTGTCTCTCAATGTAATGATAATTTGGTCACTCAATCCACCGACCCGTTTGCGGGGCACTGCTGCACGCGATCGGCTGCTGTGTTTTTGCCCACGAAATATACGGTCGATTCGCTTTACACTATGTCTGGTGAAGTGCTTCTGAGTGTTCAAAAAGAACGAGTCAATCCGTTCCGAGACAACTCAAAGACGTAATCGGGCTATATCCAATAAAAAATCAAAAGGATTATTACTATGTCTCTGTATGTGTCTTCTGTCCTATTAGTTTAATTTTTTTTGATAAACTAATTTTCCATAATGGATGGGGTATCTATTTATTTGGGAATATTTGTGTTGAGCGGGAGTAGTATTTTAACACTGTTTGTACAATATTTTCATTGGAATGTTCTAACAGTAATACCGTAACAGTTATATATTTCCAGCCCATGTGTACTGGGCATCTTAACTATAAGCTTGATACAGTGAGCTTTGTGGGCATTAATTTTTGCTCCAACAAAAATCTGCATGGCAGTAGAAGAATTTAGAGGGGTTTGTTGAGACCTGCCAAAGTCTCTCAAAGAATATACTATAAAGTGAATTGATTTTGCGCGTGAAACGTCGCAACAGATTGCGCACAGCATTGTCCACAAATAATCGTGGATTGAGTCACCCCTTTTTTTTNCTTTGAGGGGATTATTACCTCCTGGAAGCCATCCGCCATTCGACTAACATCCGGGTTAGTGTTTATTTCTAAATAAACAGAAGCGTGTAGAGTAATTTAACTTGCCCCGCCCAGGAATTGAACCCATGTCCTCTTGCTTGTGATGTGAGTGCTCTAACCAAAACGCAACAGGACTCCACCCAGATGCAGCTGAGTCCACATGCAGCTGACTCAAAAAAAATCATGATTAACAATAGGACAATTCTTCCTCTAACACAGCCCCATTTTTAGTGTAAATACATTGGTACAATTACAATACTAAATGTAGCTGAGGACAGATCCTGTGTTTGGTACGACTTCTATTTTCTTCTTTAATTCCATCCCTGACTGGTAGGCTGAACATTTCCTGTTTGCCCCGGTAGTTAAGAATGCACATGAAATACATTTGGCCAGTCTCACCCATTTTCCTATGTGAGTGGGCCGAAAGCTCAACACTGGCCACGATTCAACACAAACGCCATTAAGTCGACAATCTGGGCTCAGTAAGGCCAGGAGGTTAAAACTGATGTAGAAAATGGAAAATAATGCACTAGTGATGTGGCATTTCTGTGATTGGAGATGACCTGCATTATAAATTGCAGAGTGAAGAGAGCTTTGCATCTACCTTGTTACAGCTGGGAATTATGCTTTGATAACTACCACTGGGTGCTCAAAATCAGACAACGTCTCATTCCCAGCAACAATGTTTTTTTATCTTGATCAGCATAGCGATCCTCCAAAAGACAAACCTCTCTTTATCTATGATGCCATTTATTTTGCAGATAAAAGAAGCATCCTTTGGCAAATACCCGCTGATGAAAGATGGAGATCTCGTCCTATTACACTAAGCTTCTGGGGGAGCTGAATGAGCAGAGGAAGCAGGACTTCTTCTGTGACTGCAGCATCATTGTGGAGGGAAGAATCTTCAAAGCGCACCGCAATATCTTATTTGCCAACAGTGGTTACTTCAGAGCCTTGCTAATCCATTACATCCATGACAGTGGGCGCCCCAGCACTGCCTCCCTGGACATTGTAACATCTGATGCCTTTTCCATAATCTTGGACTTCCTGTATTCTGGAAAGTTGAACCTTTGCAGCAAGAATGTTATTGAAGTCATGTCGGCTGCCAGTTACCTGCAGATGACTGACGTGGTCAGCTTCTGCAAATTGTACATCAGATCTGCCCTTGATATCAGTGTAAAAGAGGAGAAGGATGATAATTGCAACCATGTGGAGAATGGCGGGAATGTAGCAGCCTTTGCAGAAGCTGTTAACTACTGCAGGAATCAGTCCTCAGTTCAGCAGAAAGAGTCGAGCCCTGATCGTAACAAAGGACTCCCTTGGACTGAATGTGAGGTTTATCATTCGATTGATCTGGCTCAGAAAGATCAGGATAGCCTCTCTCCTGAGAAGTCAACATTACCCAAACTTCCAGAACCCAAAGTTGAGTATGACGAGGACGAGGTGGAATCTGTGGAAAGATTCCGTCAGTTTCCCACCTCTGCTGCAGATCAGGTTGAGGAGAGGTTGCAGTCCACGCCAGCTATAGAGATCGCTTACGAGAATTATCAGATGAAACAGTTCTTGGAGGTTTTATTGAGGACCGGGAATGTTCAGCGGAAGGAGGAACTAATCCAGCATTTTTCCAGAGGAGTCGGAGGACGTTCAGAGGATGGAGGAGGGTCTTTCTCCAATATGATGGATGTACAAAGTGACTGGTATGGGGAAGATGCAGGTGAGATGCCCAGCACTAACAAATATTTAAGTGGATCGCAGCAGCAATAGAATAGGGGGGAAATATCTGTTGAGAGTATTTGAAATCCTAAAGCTGTAATTTACCATGTTCAGGTAGGTATTGCAGCTGTATTGAAATATTTAGTCGGTCCAATAAAATCTGTTTTCTCCTCTCTCCACATCTTTCCTTCCCGAGTAAAAGTGAGAGTTTGCAATGTCTAGTGCTGCTTCAGACCATTCTCCCTCGGCTACCAGTACCCTGTGCTTTGGTCTTTGCGAGAGCTGTACTAGTGGAATGACTGCTACACAGAATGGTAAGAGTGTGGAATTTTCTGCCCCAGTCAGTTGTTGTGTATATTCAAAAAACGACTGGACACAAGAACAACAATAGATTGCATTTATACAGCGTCTTTCACACCGGGAGGGTGTCCCAACGTGCTGAATATGGGTAAGACAGAATAAAGTTTAGGATATGGGGGAAAAGCCAGGATATGGAATGAGGGATAGCTTCTAGGATAGGTGCTTGCGTGGAGTATAAACACCAGCCGACTGAATTGCCTGTTTCTGAGCTGTACCATCTATAAGACTATGAATCTTTCCTGTTGAACAGTTGCAAAGAATTATTTTTAACAAATTACTGCTTTACCTGCAGGCAGTGATTGTTTTCAAGGGTTGATTTTGTTTTGTACACGCTGTTCATTATCCAATTACTGATAACTATTGTTGGGTTGATTTATGTTTTGCAGGATGGCTTATCTGTATCATTCTGTGCTTTGCTTCTGAAAGTGTTTGGTTTCTGTTTCCAGGTAATGGGATAATTGTGCCAAAAAAGATCTACAAGTGTCCGTTCTGCACCTACACAGCAAAGCAGAAAGGTATACTAAAGCGACACATGCGCTCACATACCGGAGAGCGTCCATACCCGTGTGAGACCTGTGGAAAGAGATTCACCAGACTGGAGCACCTCCGCAGCCATGCGTTAAGTGTGAGTAAAGCTGTCACATCTTCATTAGATGCGGAAGTAGCCATTGTACAGGTCCTTCCTGCCCTACCATGGAGTCTTGTACCTCAGTGGTTAGAGCACTCCCCTTGCAAGCGAGAGGACCTAAGTTTGATTCCCGGGCAGGGCAAAACTGGGCAAATTTCTTTGCTCTGCACGCATGCCTCTGTTTACTCAGCAGTAAGTAGGAACCCGAGTCAATTGGCTCATCGCTTTTCTGGGGTTAATAATTCCTTCAAGATAATATGGTTGACAAAACAACTAACTGCATAATATTCTGTGCTTTGGAAGTCCGAAACTCAAATCCACGCTAAATTTGGGAGCAACTGTTGATTTTACAGTAAATGGGAGTTCAGAAATCTTAATTCTAAGCTAAAATTCATCCTCAGAGAGCATGCACAAAGACAAACTTGTTTATCTTTACCTAAAGCTGATCCTTATCCAGGATTCATGATCACTGCTCCACCCAATTCAGGAGTTGTGCATCTCTCTGGTGCAAACAATCCGAGTTGACCAACCCGTTTGTCAACAAATTGAAGTAAACTTGTTGACTTCTTTCTTCCTCAGGTACATCGCTCCAACAGACCGATTGTTTGCAAGGGATGCAGGAGAACATTTATCAGCAACCTGCAGCACGGTGCAAGGCGCTTTGGTCTTTGCGAGGGCTGCACCTGTGTAATGACTACCAATGAAGAAGCATCTCCGGTCAATCTATGCCAGAATGAGCAGATTTTAGACAACCAGGAGAAGGAAGAGAAAGACCCAGGCTGGCCTGTATACATTGAGTCCAGTGAAGAGAATGAATCTGCAGGAGACAATGCGGATGACAAGCAGCAGATTCAGAGAAACTTGGAGGATGGGGAAGGATTTATCTAGTGCCGCCCTTAACCATTTCCTTTCCAGGAACATGGGAACCTAGGAACAGGAGCAGGCTATTCAGCCCGTCGAGCCTGTGCCCCCATTCTGTAAGATCATGGCTGATCTGTACCTCAACTCTATCTGTATCCCAATTACCTGCCCTTTGCCCCATATCCCTTTGATACCCTGACCTAACAAATATCTATCCACCTCAGTCTTGAAAATTTGAATGGATGCAACATCCACAGCCTTTTGGGGGGAAACAGAATTCCAGATTTGAGAGTTGCACATGTTCACTGAGTACCATGTTTAAAAATTGCAGCTGTGTACCATCATGTATAGTTTGAAACCTAAAGGCCAAAGAAATTGCGGACACTGCAGATCCTTCACAGATGTCTGAATAGGATATTAGTCACTTGAAAGAACCTCCGCCCTCGTTCAAGTGACCAGGTAAAACATGAGATTAAAGCACTAGAAGTGACTGCCAAGTCTGACTGGAGGAAGGCAGGAAGCTTCATTCTTTGTTAACTCTTGGAACGAAAATATCTGCTGGTAAAACCAAAGTGAGATCTTCTGTGCTAGTAGAATATCGGAGACAGTCCCTTTTTCAGACTGTGATGGCTAAATGACTTATTTTTGCTTACTTATTAAGTGCTTCGGGACGCTACCCCGTGTGAAGGGCACTATATAAATGCAAGTTGTTGTATTTTTGCTGGTGAGAAATATTTTCATTAATACACAGACTTGTGTTCCCAACGAAAATTCTGCATATACACAACAGGGCTGGAATAATTGAGTTACTAGTTCTGAGCAAGAAGTCAAAAGTTAACAGTTGTTCAGACTCTGCCAATGATATATTATCACTTATGAATTTTAAGATCAAACAGTTTAAGATTCTGTGAGTTGAATAAATATGTACTTTTTTTAGTAGCATTAAAAGATCACAACGATCTTGGTGATGGACATTTAAGTATTCCTTATTGATTAACATGGATGTTTTATAACTTGTACATAGTGGATATTGTTGTGTTGGTGGTCCTATGGGTGAGTAAAATCTGTACTACAGTGGTTCCCTCATATTTTTCCAGACGCTAGAATCACTGGATTAGCTCTGTGTGTGTGTGTGTAATGCAGCATAACTGGTTCCGTAATATAACACACCCTATCTGGGGCTTGTCAGGTGGGGAGGGACACTAAGCAATTAAGGAATGTTTGCCAGCACTTGTTTTTATGTTTAGAATGTATAACCATTCTCATTATCGATGTCTTCTGTCGGATGGTGATTTTTTTTAATGTACATGTTTTAATTTGTCCTCCTGCCTGCGGGTTTGACTAAATAGATCAGCAAAATGGATATACACTAACTATACGATATAGAGATTTTGAAGAATGCTGTTCTTCGTATAATGAAAGGTGAACTGCAAGGGCTAGAAAATAGTTTTTTTTTTGAAAAAAGAACATGTCCTCCAGGCCAGGTAACTAAAATTAGTCTTTGTGTGTCTTAAAAGTGTAGTTGTTCTGATGGATATACAGTACCAGTCATGTTTAAACTGCAGTAGTTGTTGGTTGTTTTTTGACATCCACATTTGACTTGCCTGAGGGGATGTGACTATTGCTGTTGTTGATCCCTCACCCAATCAGCCCTTAATTGTCTTTTTGTGTCACAATTTAATTATAGGATGGAAACTTCTCTCTGTTGCTCAATGTTATGTCACCGTTGTCTGGTCTATTATGTTGGCCGAGAAAGTGGCCATTTGGAAATCTATTTTTTATGACTATACCTGACTGAGTTGATATAATGTACTTGAATATGTTGTAAAAATTTGCTTCTAGATTATACTGAGAATTTTTTTCTTTTTGATTGGAAACTGAATAAAAAGGGCCATATTGTTTAATTTGAAAGTGTGTCAGTTCACCAATCTGCAGTGACACTGACCTTTTTTGACCATTTCATATATCCCTCTGATTGGGAGTTTGAACAGATGACGGTTCCTGGATGGTTAAGCGGGTTGCCATACGGTCTTTTTATCGTGGGCATCTGGGTTTGAATTAGGCATAAAACATTGAGATTAAAGTCTTCCCTATTTGCTCATTTGTAAGGATCAAATGTAAAATGCTTATAGACAGCCCAGTTTCATTTGAGAATGAGTTCACTGGACAGAACTACCCTCAATTTGTCTCATTTAGAATACAAGTGTGATTGGTGTAGGAAACCACACTGATGCAGTGAGATATTCCTCTATGGTTGAGCATAAAGTCTAAACATATTAAAATGTATGTTTTTGGTTACTCAATGATCACTCAATCCACCCAATTTACCACTGCAGTTCAAATGTACGAAAAAAAAGCCATATCATGAAATGGAAGAGCACAAATTCATCAAACTCCCAACCACTGACATCCTTCGAACCTCTGAGAAACCTTTAAACCTATGTGATCCATTGCTGCTATAAAGGTTGTCAATGCGATTTGGCAGATAACCCGTTTAAATGAATGGCTTCTTTAATTACTCTTCAGTTTCTTTATACGGGCTCTTTTGAGAATAAGATGTCTATAAACGGAATACAACATTTCTGTGGTTGTAACTGTCATTGAAAATCATCTCTGGTTGTCTATAATTCATTCACTCTGGATGACACAAAGCTATAAAGCCATGTACTGTATTGTTTGGTTGAGTGTTTTTGTCACTTTTCTTCCCCTCCTCCTGTAGTGACTTGTTGGGGTACAGTTCCACAGGCGCTGGCAGCCTTCTGGTACTGAGTCCAAGAGAAAATTGTTTCTCTGCATTTCTTGATAGGCTATTTGACTGGGATCCATTGTAACTGAGCCTGATCGGTTGTCGCCTGATTTCATCCATGCTAGCGGTTTTCTATATATACCAGGGTAATAATGCCTTCAAAAATAATAATAATAATATGGCCACTGAATCCACGACTGTTTGCGCGACACTGCCGTGTGCAATCGGCTGCCGCGTTTCGCCCACAAAACACGCAGTCAATTCACTTTACGGTGTATTCTGTGAAGCACTTTTGAGACGTCTCGAAGATGTGATCAGGTGCTGCATCATATGCAAGGATTATTATTTTCAGCAGAGATTTTCCTCTCTCCACACTCTAACCTCTCTAACACAGCAACGCTGATGCCATCCGTCCCCCCCCCCACCCGACCCTCAGCCGTCAGAGAAGCCTAAATGTTATTTAATTTTTTGAACTGTAGTGAAAAACAGATTTTGTCTCTTTCAAAAAAAAATGTAATCGCTAAAATTGCATGAACCAGAGTCGTACACAATAAAATATTCTGCGTCGTAAATTCAAAGGAATGTTTTTTTTTTAACTGAGCTCTTAGCTGTACTGATTATTAATGATAGCGCGACAGCAGCTAATAAATAAATCAATAAGTAAATAAATGTATGACTTTTTTTTAAAATAAATTCTTCCTCACCCCGACCATTTTAAAGTCTTAATTACGTGGAAGCGACCCTCTCGGGTATTTTTTTTCATCGCTGCTGTGTTTGAGATAACCAGTGTACGTACGGATGAGTTGGAGGTGTCGATAAGCTTTCATTTTTACTTCTCCTTTTCTTTTGGAAGAGTCTGTGTTTTGCGACCGCTTCTCCCTCGAAATCCGGATCTGGATTAGGGAATCATGTACTTGGCTAAAGGGGTTGAGCAGGAGCCCTCCTTTCATTCCGTCCCAAGCGCACGCCCGCGAGCGACGGCAAAAGGAACGCTGCCCCCAGACCCTCGCTTAACCCGAATGCTCCCGAGCTGGGATCGAGGCGTTAACGTCACGAGCGTTGATAAGTGCACCGTCCCTCACAATCAGCTCTTGTACCCCACAAAGCAAAACTGACACGACACCACAGCGATCCTGTGAGTGACCCCACGATGCCGCCGTGACTGCTTACGTGGATGGCGTCGACGAGAAGCGACCGGACGGCGTTCGGCGGATGGCCTTGGAGCGACTTCATCTCCGCCAACGCTCCGCTCCGCCTTTGGACGCCGCAAACCGCCCCCTCCCCCCCCGCGGCAGGTTCAAAACATTGCTCTAAAAGCCATCGGAGCAGACCTTTCGGAAAAGATGCCAACGAAAGGAATTCCGAACACCTTTTCTGCCCGCCCGGTGGAATCCGGCCGCCTCGGCTTTCCGAGCCCACGGGACGCTGGTACGGTCCCGCGCCGACCAACGTGACCTGCGTTCAAACGTACGGCACTGCGGCCACGTACAGCGTCTCCGCAGCGCCGCCGTTTACTGAAGATCGCCCGAAATTGTGGGGGGGGGGGCAGGGCTCGCACGCACGACGACGACGTCGGTGGCCGCAGCGCTTCGGGGGGGGGTAAAAGCGATGGGGGGGAAAAACTCGCCAGAAGTGTACCGTCGGCACCGAAGTTCGACGTTTGAAGCCTATTTTTTTTTAACCTCCCGATCGCCGATGGGGGGGGGGGGGTTTGGACCAGGGTTTTTTTTGGGGGGGGGGGAGTGGGGGGGGTTTTGGACCAGGGGTTTTTTTTTGGGTGGGAGGGGGGGGGTTTTGAACCAGGGGTTTTTTTTTGGGTGGGAGGTGGGGGTTTTGGACCAGGGTTTTTTTTGGGTGGGAGGTGGGGGGTTTTGGACCAGGGTTTTTTTTTTTGGGGGGGGGCGTCCGCACGGCCGCGCACTGAACAGGCATCCACCCCTCCCAGAGAACCAGGTCGTTCACATACACACACACCCAAATAATAATAATAATAACAATAATAATAATAATAATCGTTGCATTTGACATGAAGAGACCGATCGGGTCTCGACCACTGGGTTCCTCCTACCGGTCGAGTGGCTTTTACGGCGGTGGAGGGTGGGGGGTGGGTTGGGGGGGGGGTTTGGGGGGGTGTTGGCCGGGGGTGTGGGGGGGGGTGGTCCTGCGCGCGGAGGGTCTTCGAGGCGCCCGGGCGCAGGCGACGTGCGGAGGGTCCTCGGCGCGGGCGGGCGGGCGGGGGGGGGGTGGGTGGACTGGGGGTGGGTGGGGGTGGGGGGGCTCTGCGGTCAAGACCACCTTGGAGTTGGGTGGGGGCTGAGGGTGGGGGTGGGTGGGGGCTGAGGGTGGGGGTGGGGGAGGGGGGTGTTGGGGGGTCACTGACTTCATTGTGAAATGGCTCTCCACACCCCATTACCCCATTACCCCCCACACCCCCCCCACAGCACAGGCACTGAACAGGAGCCTTGCGGTGGGGGGGGAGGGGGAGGGGGGGGGAGAGGGGGGGAATTGGGGGTAAATCCTCCCCAAACGGTGTAGTGTTTCAGCCCTGAAGTCCCTCCGGTGTGAGTTCGGGCGTCAAAAACCACGTCCGGGTCGGGACCGCCGGGTGTTGGGGCGGAGGAGATCGGTGGGGGAGTAAGTGACTGCTTCTCGGGGGGGAGGGGGGGTGTTGCTCTCCCCCCACACACACACCCCTCACCTCCCCCCCCCCCCCCCCCCCCGGGGTTAGCGTGGGGTGAAGATACAACCGAGTAATAAGCGGCGGCTGTGGGGTGTGGGGGCTCTGGGGGGTGTGGGGGGGGGGGCTGTGGGGGGGGGCTCTTGGGGGTGGGGGGGCTCTGGGGGCTGTGGGGGCTGTGGGGTGGGGGGGGCTGTGGGGGGCTGTGGGGTGGGGGGGGGCTCTGGGGGCTGTGGGGGGGGCTTGGGGGTGTGGGGTGGGGGGGGGGCTGTGGGGGGGGGCTCTGGGGGCTGTGGGGTGGGGGGGCTGTGGGGGGTGTGGGGGGGGGGGGGCTGTGGGGTGGGGGGGGGGCTCTGGGGGCTGTGGGGGGGCTCATGTAACCGGAACCCGGACCTCCCTCCCTCTCTCTCCCCCCCCGGGTGGGGTGGGGGCGATCACACGGTTTCGGGTCGGTATTTGCGCGTAGGGGTCAGTGTGTGTGTGGGGGGGGGTGTGTGTGTGGGGTGGGGGTCAGTGTGTGGGGGTGTGGGGGGGGTCTGTGTGGGGGTGTGGGGGGGTCAGTGTGGGTGTGTGTGCGTGTGTGGGGGGGTCAGTGTGTGTGGGGTGGGGTGTGTGTGTGTGGGGGGGGGGTCAGTGTGTGTGGGGTGGGGGGGTGTGTGTGGGGGGGGGTCAGTGTGTGTGTGGGGGGGGGTCAGTGTGTGTGTGGGGGGGGTGTGTGTGTGTGGGGTGGGGGGGTGTGGGGGGGTCAGTGTGTGTGGGGTGTGGGGGGGTCAGTGTGGGTGTGTGTGTGGGGGGGGGGCAGTGTGTGTGGGGTGGGGGGGGGGTCAGTGTGTGTGGGGTGGTGGGGTGTGTGTGTGGGGTGGGGGGGGTCAGTGTGTGTGGGGTGGTGGGGTGTGTGTGTGGGGGGGGGTGTGGGGGGTGTGGCTGAGGGTTGGGATCCTCTGAGCCGGAGTTTGCCAGAAATGTAGAATATATTTGTCGCCCAAAGTCCCCCAAACTCTGGCCCCCAAAAAGTGGCCGAATACAGCAACAACGACAACAACAACAACAACATCCGCGAAGCGCCTGAAATATTAGGCGTCGACCTACTGCGAGTGATTAATAATAATAATAACCACAACAACAACAATAACAACAATCGTCGCATTTGACGCAGCGCCTTTTCACGTCCTCTCGACGTCTCAAAGCGCTGCACAGAACAGGCTGTCAAGTGTAGTGACCGTATACTTTGTGGGCGAAACTCGGCAGCCGACGGCGCACAGCGGCGTCCCCCGCAGACAAACAGCCGTGGATTGAGGACGGCCGATTTATTGTTGTCTTTGTGTTCGGTGGGGGGTGGGGAGGGGGTGGGGGGGGGGGAGGGAAACGCGCCCAAGGTTTCGCCCCCTGCCTCGGGGGTTTAAGAGGAGACTTGAGGAGGAGGAGGAGGAGGAGGGGGATTCGATAGGGTGAACGAGGAGGAACCGTTTCCACTGGCGGGTGGGTCGGTAAAACCAATCGATCGACCGTATACTTTGCGGTGTTTGTATTAATAATAACAGTAGTACTACTACTACTACTAATGATAATAATAATCCGAGCATTTGATACGGCGCCTTATCACGTCTTCGAGACGTCTCAAAGCGCTTCACGCCAATGTGTACCGCGGAGTGCATCGACTGTGCATATTTTCGCGGGCGAAACGCGGCCGCCAATTGCACGCAGCAGCGTCCCGAAACAACAACAACAACAAGATTACATTTGCGCGGCGCCTCTCACGTCGGGAGGAGGACGTCCCGAGGGGCCGGGGCAGTGTCACGGCATTTCGGTCCCGAGCTGGGGAGAAAGCGATGGCGATTTCCTCCCACCGCGCTCGGGGTTCTTCCTTTGACGGTCCCAACGTCGGTCACGTAGTGCGTGTTTTTNCTCGTCGCGTCCCTGACAGGCTGAGGGCGTCCTCTCGCAATGGAGATTTCGTCTCATCAAACCCGCCTGCTCGAGCACCTCGACAGGCAGCGCAAACAGGAGATGTTCTGCGACTGCCGGATCGTGGTGGAGGACCGGGTCTTCAAAGCTCACCGCAATGTCCTGTTTGCCAGCAGCGGCTACTTCCGCATGCTGCTCCTCCACAACGCCCAGGAAGCCGGAAAGCCCACCGTGGCCACCTTCGACGTCTTCTCCGCCGACGCTTTCGTGATCATCTTGGACTTCGTGTACTCGGGCCGGCTGTCGCTCACCAGCCAGAACGTGATCGACGTGATGTCGGCCGCCAGCTACTTGCAGATGACGGACGTCATCGGCGTCTGCAAAAGCTTCATCAAATCCTCCCTGGACATCAGCGAGAAAGAGGAGAGGTACTTCAGCCACTCGAGCAGCAAGAAGAGCAAGTGCGGCGAGGGGGCGTCTGTCTTTGCCGGGACCGCCCGGAGTTTGGAGTCCGGTCTCGTCCAGGCTCAGAAGAACCCGGACGTGGGGAGGATTCTCGGACACTCCTGGCGAAGCTTTAACTTGCATCATCCGATGGCGAGCTTGCAGGACGCCACGGGGGATCAGTCGCAGAACTCCTTCGCCGACAGTCGGACGTACGAGGAGGTCTCCTCCGAACTCCCTGCTTTCAAGTCCGTTGGCTCTGCCTCCTCGTCCCCGCGAGTGTCTGAACAGATAAACATGGGTTCGCAAACCGAGGAGAAAAAGCTGCTGGATTCTGAACTGAACGCGTCCCATCTGAGTTACCAGTTCCAGCCGGAGCAGGAGGCGCTGCCCGCGGCCTGGCCCCAGGGGAGGAAGGAGCGCAACTCTGAACACCAGCCCTCTCGAACCAGAGGGCAAAAGACCGATGATTGGTATCCCCCAATGCCCACAATTCTGGAAGTTGTGGGCGACTGGAGTGGAGACAGTACAGGTGAGAGTGGAGCAGACTTGTGGGTATCCAGTATCACAGCCTGACACAGTGCTGCTGGATTTTGGGCTGGAAAGCTGCTTTAAGTAGTATTAAACTTTAATTAAAGCTGCTTTAAGTAATGAGTAATACTACTAATAATAATAGTAATAATCCTCGCATTTGACATAGCGCCTTATCGCGTCTTGGGAGACGTCTTCAAGAAGTTTCGAAGCGTCTCGAAGACTCTCACTGGGGGGAGCAGTGCTATTCCGAACCTGATTTGAAAGGGTTGCTGCAATCGCTTTACTGCCATTGATTCCGGAGCTTAACTTGGATTTGTTTTTTTGTGGTTTCAGGTGACTACGGGATGTTACCGAATATGAAGTTCAAATGCCCGTTTTGTACACATACAGTGAAGCGTAAATCCGACTTGAAGCGGCACCTTCGGTCACACACGGGAGAGAGGCCTTATCCCTGCGACTCATGCGGCAAGAGATTCACCCGACTCGAGCACCTCCGCAGTCACGTCATAACCGTAAGCACCTCAGCTCCTGCCGTATCTCTTTTGTCGGTTCTCACGCAGATTAGCGCCACAGAACGTTACAGCTGCGCGGAATCAGACCACGTGGAGTCCTGCTCAGGGGTTAGAGCCTCTGTTTACCTAGCAGTAAGTAGGAACCCGGTTGTTAGTCGATCGGTGGATGGCTTTTCCCCTTTTTTTAAAAAAAAGTAAATTAACACTCAAGCCACGGCTGTTTTGTGGGACGCTGCTGTGCGCAATTGGCTGCCACGTTTCTCCCATTAAAACATACAGTCAATTCACTTCACAATATGTTCTGTGAAGGGCTTTCAGGCCTCTCTGGAAGACGTGAGCCGGTCATTGATTCTCCAGTTTAATTCACTGCTTCGCTTTCTTCGGTTCTCTACCAGTGACGGGCCGTGCTTTCACGCTTAACTCTCGTTCGAACTTTCCTCCAGATCCACAAGTCCGGGAAGCTCCTCAATTGCAAAGTCTGCAGAAAGTCATTCACGGGCATGGCTGCTAAAATCGTGCAACATCACGGAAAGTGCTACGGTTTGTGCAGTAACTGCGTGAGCCTGATGAACTCAGTTCACGACGACGAGCCCATTGACCTGGATCCTCAACCGGACCACGATGTGGAATTTCAGGAAAGCGACAGAGAATCGGGGTGGATTTCTGCCGAGCCAGAGGGGGAGAGTGAGATCCTGAGCTCGGGAGGAGAAGGCTCTGGAAGCAACGAGATTCACACGGTCCATGAAATTCTGGATGACGCGGATGAAAAAGTCCAGATCTGTCACAAAGTGGAGAGCCGTCATTGAGACTGAGGCAACTAATCCTGTGTTGTGTTTTTAAACGTTCATTTTTTTATTAAAAAAACACAGTATCCAGGGATACTGCAAAACGACAAAATGTTTCATAGTTCTGTACATTTCTTTTATCTCCCTTAAAATGCCAGTGTTTATTATTTGTAAGCAAAAGGCAAAATATTGCAGATGCTGGGAAGCTGAAATAAAAACAGATGTCGCTGGGAACACTCAGCACGGTCAGGAAGCATCTATGGAGAGAAAGTAAAGCGAGTTAAGGTTTCAGGTTCATGACCCGATACAGAGTTCTGAAAACGTTAACTCGCTTTCCTCTCTCCGTAGAAACTTTTCATTAAGTGCGTTTACCTGTTTATTCCAGGAGAAGAAAAATCAACATCTTTCTGTGAAGTACGCAGGGGGTTTCAGACCTTTACCGGTGTCAGTTTCAGGTATTGTACAGCGGAAATATCACAAACACGTTCTACAGCGGAGCAACTACAGTCAATTCTTATTTGTCAGCAGAAAAAGGCCCACCAGACGCTCAGAAATGCACAGAGATGTTTGCGCCCCTAAAATACACAATCAATTCCCTTTACAGCATATTCTGGGAAGCGGTTTGAGCCGTCTCGAAGATGTGATAAGGCGCTACATCAAATGCAAGGATTATTGGTTTCAGAGGATTGAGTCTAATCATGAAAGGTTTACTGACAATGTGCTAAAGCTGTCTGATATTTTTAGTTCTGTATCATTTATTATCAAAACTTTTTACAGTCTCACTTCAAATGGACATTGACATTCCAATGCAAGGATTATTATTATCATTATTATTTTTACGCTTTTGCTAATTTTACACACGACGCTAAAAAGGTTGCTGCGTGATTTTGTGCTCATTCCGTTGAAATGCAGTACTCGAAATCCTAAGGCAATAAATATCCTGCAGAGGCTGGAAATCTGAAATAAAAACCAGTCACCGCAGTCCACAGAAAACTCTTGCGGGGGGTGGGGGGGGGGGCGATGGGGGGGGGAGGAAAAAAAGTGCTGCGAAGGCGTTTCAGAGGCGGTCATGTGCAGTTGGTGATGTCAGGCGCAAAGGTTCAAAGGCAATTCAGGTCTTGGGACTGCAATCGGAGTTCCGCAGATCAGTTCAACTTCCAAAGCAATCTTCAGATTAGTTCCAGGTTGGGGGTGGGGGGTGGTGCTGGTGGTGGGGGGGGAGTGGGGGGGGTAGTGGGGGGTGGGGGGTGTGTGTGTGTGTTGGGAGTTGTCCACACACACTACAGCTTCACAAGTGAAGCCCATTGGGAAGTTGCTGTTGGAAAGAAATAAATCATTGGGGAAAACGTATCCACACTTGATTTTTTTTTGTGTGGGAGGGGGGAGGGAGGGGAGGGAGGAGGGGAGGGGAGGGAGGGGAGGGAGGAGGAGGGAGGAAGGGGAGGAGGGAAAGATAAAATACAGGAAATAGAGAGAGAGAGAGAGAGAGAAATTGTTGCCATTTCCCTTTGGCTGCAGTTTCAGGAAGTGGGAGAGATGGTGATGGAGGCTGTGAGGACCTGGAGGAGGTGGTCCTGGTCCTGGTCCTGGTGGTGGGTGTGGGTGTGGGTGTGGGTGACCCTGTGGCCGGGGACTGCCCCTCACCCCAGTTACACCCCGGACTGGGCGAGTCTGGACGCCCGACCCTTACCGGAGTGGTACGACGAGAGTAAGATCGGGGTCTTCCTGCACTGGGGGGTGTTCTCGGTGCCCAGTTACCGGAGCGAGTGGTTCTGGTGGGACTGGGAGGGTCTGCACAGCCCCGACATCCTCACCTTCATGGAGCGCAACTACAAGTCCGGCTTCACGTACCCCGACTTCGCTTCGCAGTTCACCGCCGAGTTCTTCGATCCGGACCAGTGGGCAGATTTGATCCAGGATTCCGGAGCCAGGTCACTAATCATCATCATCATCATCACCATCACCATCATCATCATCATCACCGTATTGATATTAGTAATATTGTTATTCATCTGAGTCCTGTATCTCAGTGGTTAGAGCACTCGCTTTGCGAGTGAGAGACCTGAGTTCAATCCCAGGCAGAGGGGGAAACCTCGGGCAAGTTTCCTTACTCCACACAGAGCCTAATAATAATCCCTCCAAAACCAAAAACAATAATAAATTGGTCATTTTCAATCCGCGACTGTTTGTGGGACATTGCTGTGCGCAATCGGCCGCCGCGTTCGCCCACAAATATACAGTCACTTCACTTTACGGTGTGTTCTGTGAAGCGCTTTGGGACGTCCTCTCCCGACGTGAAAAGCACTATATCAAATGCGAGGATTATTGTTATTATTATAATGATCCTCGCGTTGGATGCAGCGCTTCTCGCGTCTCCGAGACGTCCCCAAAAGCGCTTCGCGGAACAACACGCCGTGGAGCGAACTGACCGTACGTTTGTGGGCGAGCGCGGCGGCCGATGGCGCGCAGCGTTGTCCCGCAGACGGCCGCGGATTGAAAACGGCCAATTTATTATGGTTTGGGGTTTCGGAGGGATTATTATTAGGGCTCTGTGTGGGGTAAGGAAACTTGCCCGAGGTTTCGCCCTCTGACGGGGATTGAACCCGGGTCTCTCGCTTCCTGCCGCTGAGCGACAGGACTCCTGTGATGTATTAAGAGGCGTAAAGAAACCTCCGTTGCAAATGCAGTCGAGCAGCTAGCTCAGGGCGATGATAATATAATAATAATAATAATAATAATAATAATACTCTTTGCATTTGAGACGTCGCAGATATGTGAAAAGATTGCAATTGCATAGATTATGTTGTTGTTGTGGCGGGACGATGACCCACAATGGTAACAACAGCAACAACTTGCAGTTGCAGTGGAGCTCTCGCAGCAAGTTGTTAGCTCTGCGTCGCTGTTAACACGGGCTGTGCTGGGTGGTGTTTGCGTTGGCGCACCGGCTGTAGCTGTACGAGGCTCCAGTTTGTTTCATGTTGCGGTGAACCCGTGATCCCGATCCACAAAAACGTGGAATAACATGGGCTTCAGTGTCGCTCCTGCACCTGAGATCCCCAACCAAGTGATGGGTGGTCCAGCGGGAGGATGGAATGGCTCCATGGGCAGATGGATGGCTCAATGGTATTCAACTCCAAGCTTAGCTCATCCATTGGCTTAGCTACTCTTATCCCATCCCTCCATCTCCCCCCACCCCCATCACCACCCTGTTTTCAACAGCAAAAGTACAGTCGGTGCAATTTACAATATATCACGTGAAGCGCACAAGTTGCTTTGAAAGCAATATTTAAAGTAGTTCCTGGTTGGGGTTTGAGGGTGTGAAGAGTAAATACTTTACAGTACACTAGAATATACAGCACAGAAACAGGCCATTCGGCCCAACTGGTCTGTGCCGGTGTTTATGCTCCACATGAGCCTCCTCCTGCCCTTCCTCAACTAAACCTTCAAGCATAACCTTCTATTCCTTTCTCCCTCATACAACAACAACAACAACTTGGATTTATATAGTGCCCTCCACGCCGGACGGCGTCTCAGAGCGCTTTACAGTTACAGATCCCGGGACCGAGCCAGGGGGTACCTATCTATCATGTACCTATCTCGCTTCCGCTTAAATACATCTATGCTATTTGCCTCAACAACTCCTTGGTGGTAGCATGTTCCACATTGGTGACTATTTTATATTGATGGCGTCTGGTTTTGATCTCCCCCACAAGTGGAAATATCTTCCCTGTGTCTACCCTATCCAAACCTTTTATCAGGTCACCCCTTACCTTCCTCTTTTCAAGAGAAAAGAGTCCAAGTATGTTCAGCCTTTCCTGATAAGTATAACCTCTCAGTTCTGGGATCATCCTTGTGAATCTCCTTTGCACCCTCTCCAGGGCCTCTACATCCCTTCTATAATATGGGGACCAGAACTACACACAGCATTGTAAGTGTGGTCTAACCAAGGTTCTACAGAAGTTCACAATAACTTCTCCGCTTTTCATTTCTGTCCCTCTAGAAATGAACCCCAATGTCAGATTTGCTTTTTTTTTATGGCCTTATTAATCTGCGTTGCTATTTTTAGTGAATTGTGTATGTGTACCCCTGGATCCCTTTGCTCCTCTACCCCATTTAGGTTTTTGTTTTTCGGAATGTTTGTGACTTGAGCAGTGAAGTTGCCATTGGAAATAAAACATTGCAAAAACATCACTTGGTGCTTTAACGTAATGCAGTTGAGTGCAGTTGTTTTTTAAAAAAAACAGGATACGGAGAGAAATTGTTGCTACTTCCTTTGCCTACAGTTTCAGGAGGTGCAAGAGGCGATGGAGGCTGTGAGCTAGTGGTGTGCGTGTGTGTGTGTGTGCTTGTGGCCAGGGTTTGATGCTGATCCCAGCTATAAACCAGACTGGGAGAGTCTGGACGCGAGACCCTTACCCATGTGGTGTGATGAGAGCAAGTTGGGCACCCTCCTCCGTTGGGATGTGTACAGTCAGCGCACATTACAGTGTGTCACGTGAAGCGCTGTGAGATAGCGTTCTGGCACAAAATCAAACGCAAGGATTTATGGTGACGCGGATCAGTTGAGAAACTTGGAATTTCCCCAAATTATATAATGTTCCTTTTAACTCTGTGATCACCGTCTGTCTTTGCTGTGCTCTAGGTACGTGGTTCTGACGAGCAAACACCATGAGGGATTCACCAATTGGCCATCCCCTGTGTCCTGGAATTGGAACTCAGTTGACACAGGGCCTCATCGAGACCTGGTAGGAGACCTGGCAACTGCAGTACGAAAACGGTTGGTATGACCCATTCCTCGTCGGCAGCTACCGTGGCTGTATGTTCTCCCCCAGTAGAGGGCGGTACGTTAAATTTCATGGAAAACTGGCAAGATTTGGGATAAATAAATGGGTTACCAAAGTGGAGCCAATTCATGATTTATTGAGTACTCCGCATGAAAACTTTGGAATATACCTACTTACTCTTTCAAGAGAAGTGAGCAGGCTGATCGATCGTTTGGCTTTCAACACGTCCACTTTCATGTCTATTATTTTAATGCAATCGCTGTAATATTGTATTAACATTGACCACGAGCTCTTTGCAACGTTTGGTCACTGTTTTCAAATGTAATAAACAAGGCCTTTCTTTTTAATGTATTCTTTTGCTGAAACAGGAACATCCATTATGGAGTGTATCATTCGCTGTTGGAGTGGTTTAACCCACTGTATATGAAGGACAAAAAGAACAATTTCAAGACTCAGGAGTTTGTCATGAGGAAAACTATGCCGGAGCTGTACGAATTGGTCATGAGGTAATCCATACAATTGTCGTCTAAACTCTTAAGTTAATAATAATAATTAATTAATCATTACATTTGGTGCAGTGCCTTTCATGTCAAAGCGCTTCACAGGCCATACTGTAAAGTCTAGTGACTGTTTTTTTAAAAACTATATAGTTTTACTCAATACTCTGTGAATAAGTGGGAATGTATTTGCTTCCCACAGGTACAAACCAGAGATAATCTGGTCAGACGGAGATTGGGAAGCACCAGATTCCTATTGGAATTCCACTGAATTTCTGGCCTGGCTTTACAACTACAGCCCTGTTAAGGTGTTTAGTAATTCTATTGATGCCTGACTTGCCTGCGAGATGCATTCGGTTCTGTTGCCGTCCGTTTCTGTTCCTGCACTGGCAAAAGTATCTGATGTTCCGCTCTCTCTGTGGCTAGGATACGGTGGTGACCAATGATCGCTGGGGCGTTGGCTGCCGCTGTAAACATGGCGGATTCTTCAACTGTGATGACAAATACAGTCCATCCAAACTGCAGAACCACAAGTGGGAAATGTGCACCTCGATCGATAAGAGATCGTGGGGATATCGCAGAAACATGAAGCTGAATGAGATGATGGACCTTCCGACCATTCTCAGTGTACGTGTATACTTTCAGCACCTTGGGACCTCCTCCCGACGTAAAAGGCGCTATACAATGTAATGTGTTGTTGTTGTATACTTGCTATACAAGTGAAAATTGTATTCCATTGTAATTAACGCAATCCATGACAGTTTGTGGGACGCTGCTGTGCGCAATTGGCTGCTGCGTTTCTCCCACAAAATATACAGTCAATCCACTTTACAATATATTCTGTGAAGCGCTTTGAGATGTCTCGACGATGTGAAAAGCCGCTGCATCAGACACAAGCATTCTTATTTACTATTTAGTATCATGCGATTATTCAGTCGTAATTAATGAGAACAAAGCAAATCTAAATTAATCCATGGCCCGGATTTAACGTGAAAGCTTGTTGCGGTATGAGTATACATTGGAAAAACATAACATGTCTTTGTTCCTACGCTAAGGATTGAGGCAGTTGATTTACCACAAAATAAGTCTTTAAGATTTGCTCCTCCTGCCAATTGCCTCCAGTCTGCTTGTACTTTATCTGTACTAGCTTTCTGAACTTCCATGCATTGAATGTTGTGAGACAGTGAATATGCTGGTGGCTGGATCCAGGATTAAGTTGTGTTTGTTTCTATTCGTAGAGTTCTCCGCTCCACCATCGGTGGCCGTGCCTTAAGCCACTACGCCCCGAAACTCTGGAACTCTCTCCCTCAATCCCTCTGCCTTGCCCACTCCCTCCCTCCCTCCCCACCTTCAAATCCCGCCTAAAGACCTTCCTTATTGATCGGGCTCACGATCACCGCACCCGTCTCTCTCCCCCCACTGGCTCAGTGTCAGACTCCGCCACTGTCAAGCGCTCTGGGACGCTATCCTGCGTGAAGGGCGTTGTGTAAATGCAAGTTGTTGTTATTCCTGGTCTTGGCTTTATCAAAGTTCTATCATCTTGCAGAGCTTAATGGACACCATCAGTTACGGAGGGAATTTTCTGCTCAACATTGGTCCGACCAAAGAAGGCACCATCGCTCCTGCATTCCAACAATCACTACATGGTCTAGGACAGTGGTTGCGTGTTAATGGCGAAGCTGTGTACGCGTCGAAACCCTGGCGAGTGCAGCAGGAGAACTCAACGGATAGAGTGTGGTAAATAACAATAATAATCCTTGCACTTCATACAGAGCCTCATCAAGTCTTTGAGACGCCTCAACACGCTTCACAGAATATAGCGTAAAGTGAATTGACTGTAGATTTTGTGGGCGAAACGCAGCAGCCAATTGCACACAGCAGCGTCCCACAAGCCGTCGTGGATCTGTTTCATGTTAAACATAAATATATAGAGAGTTCTACTTCAGAACACAAGGCATACTCTATCATGCATCATAAACACTTGAACGCTTTGTAGGGATTGGGGCAGGAAGCACCGAAATTATTCTTAAACTTGTAGCTTCTTGGTCGCTGTTATACATCAGTAAGCTTGGGGTCACTATTCATCTCTGGAGAAAAATTCTTTGCTATAAATGATGAAATCGAACCGTTCACTAATCTTTTTCTTAGAATAATAAAAAGGATTAACAGGATAGCGAGTTATAGGTAAGCAAGACATACTTCATCATCTTGCAGTTCTCATATATCTAAGTGCTGTCTACTTCTGCTTCTTTAGTTGTGTTTCTCTTTGTTTCCAGGTACACCTCTAAAGGGTCAGCAGTCTACGCGACGTTTCTAAACTGGCCAGAAACAAATACTCTAACACTTCAATCACCGGAAGTCACATCAACAACCCAAGTAAGTGGATTCTATTTACTTTCTTTATCTGCTTTCTCTTTCACTTTCTCACCACTCCTCACCCCCCCCCCCCCACCCCTCTCTCCCCCCCCACACACACAAGATAATAAGGTAATAATCCTTGCATTTGATATAGCGCCTTATCATTGAGACGTCTCAAAGCTCTTCACAGGATATCCTGTAAAGTGAATTGGCTGTATATTTCAGGGGTGAAATGTGGCATCAAATTGCACACAGCAGTGTCTCCCAAACAATAGTGGATTAAGTGTTCTTATTATTATTAAAAAATGTTTTGAAGGAATTATTACCCACCTAAAAGCGATCCGACAATCGACTAACAAGCAGGTTCCTACTCGCTTCTGGGTAAACAGAGGCATGTGCGTGGAGTAAGGAAACTTGCCTAAGGTTTCGCCCCGCCCGGAAATCGAACCCAGGTACTCTCGCTATTAGGGTAGAAGGTGGCTTGATTGAGCAGTGAGAAACATATGGAATTAAAAACCTTGCGTGGGTCACATGTCTTAGTGGCTTGTGCGTGGATTGTGAAAAGAACTGGCTCAACGAGCCAATACCCTGTTCTGTTGTGTGTTGTTCTGTGGAGTCCTGTGGCTCAGTGGTTAGAGCACTCGCTTTGCAAGCGAGAGACCTGAGTTCAATTCCAGGCAGAGGGCGAAACCTTGGGCAAGTTTCCTTACTCCACACAGCGCCTAATAATAATCTCTCCAAAACCAAAAACAATAATAAATTGGTCATTTTCAATCCACGACTGTTTGTGGGACATTGCTGTGCGCAATTGGCTGCCGCGTTCGCCCACAAATATACAGTCAATTCACTTTACAGTGTGTTCTGTGAAGCGCTTTGGGACGTCCTCCTGACATGAAAAGCGCTATATCAAATGCAAGGATTATTATTATTATTATTATCGTTGTTGTTGTTGTTCAGGTGACGATGCTGGGAGTCTCACAACCTCTGAAATGGAGTCACTCTTCACCTAAAGGCATCTCGATCATGCTCTCCTCCCTTCCCTGGCCCACACTTCCTTCACGGCTGGGCTGGACGGTGAAACTGGAAGGCGTTTTCTAAGCGAGAGAAGCGATTCCTGCAGCGAAACGCTTTGTGGGATCTTCCCTTTGCCTTTGATAATGTGTTACATCGTTAGAATTGCTACAGCATCACCTGTGGTTGTTGGGTTCTGAACTCTGTGGGATTTGGCTTAATCTGGAACTCTGTATTACATTCTTATGACATTATATTACAAGGTATTACATTGATTGAGGGAGGTGATGTTACGATAAACATATTTGGTAGAGGGCCTGAGCTTTTTTTTCTCCAAAAATGATTGTAAAATTAATTGCTCAATGAAGGAGTATGATTTAAGGATTATGCAACATGTTATGTACTGTGATGTTCCTCACCCCCACCTTAAGACTTACCTCATTGACCATATCAATTGACATAAAGGGCTGATCTTATTGTTTATTCACTGGAAATACTTACAGAGATAAAAAATTTGACCATGTGTATTGCTTGCTGATAATTCTAAATAAATCTAATCTAGTTGAACCGCATTATATAACGCTTCATTATTACATGAAAGACCATGGAATAGGTAGCTGGTGTTTTTAAGTGAGCCAGCCTTGTTTAATTGTGTGCTTTTTAATAAAAATACAACAATACAAATTTTCCATTTAAAGGAGTAAGATTTCATGAGTAAAAAAAAACTTTTTAAAAAAATATAGATATTGAAATAAATAGTTTCTTTCTTGCCTGCAAAAAAGACTGTTTAGGTTGGTTGGAATTCTTTCTAGTAATAAAAAAGGACAAGGGTTGCAAAACAGAGAAAAACTTAGTTACTCTGTTCAAAAAGCCAAATGGTCTCCTTCTGTGCTGTGCAATTCCTTTGTTTCTATGATTCTGGTCACACAAGGTTTCTTGCTTTGGATTAGATCATAAGATCGCTTTGTGTCCCTGGAGCCAATTCATCCAAACAACTATAGAACATTTGGAAGTAAGAAGGATTTGTTGTAACTAGCAGTAAGTGGTGAAAAGATTTGTTTGTTTTGATGGCGTTTTTCATGTTCTAATAAGGTTCGATGCTTTGATAATAACGCTTTCACCAGAAATAAAATGACTGTAAATTCAATAAGCAGGAGAATAAGTGCAACTATCCACCGATTTCTTGCAACAGGGGATTCTGTTTTCTGTTTTGTTTCAGTTTTTACTTCTGTAAAACATAAAGGAAATTAATTTTATTCCATAATTGTGCTTTCAGTGCTGAATTTCAATTTTTAGTTTCACATAATAGAATTTTAAAAAAAACATTGGCTATAATAACTTGAACCTAATTGCGAGATTCCACATTAAATACAGTAAAACTCATATAAGTCTTTATAAATCGTATGATAACCTAAGAAGTACAAACCTCATTCAATTTCCAGTAAAAAACACTTAGATTTCTTTGTACTAATACTAATTGTATTAATCATCCTCTTATCTTGGCCTCCCTAAGCCTCTAGTACTCTCGCAATTACCAGCTGCATTGAATTGGGGGAAATGTAATCTTGACTTGTTAAAAAAAACTTTATTTCAATGTGATTCTAAACTTAGAAACAGAAACCCCACCATGTGCCTAAATAGCCCCAGAAATCAGATCCAACTAGCTAATTGTGGTAATGAAAATAATATTATTTAAATTTGAACATCTGTTGACAATAATGGTGAAACAATAGATATTTTATATACCAGCTTTCATGAAACATGCTATATAAATGTAAATTTTTTTAAAAAAAAAGAGGCTGTTGTGAAATAGGCGAGAGAGGGTAGAAGGTGAAAGGAATTTTGTGAGAGAGTTCCAGAGACCGGGGGCAGAAGTAGGAGAAGAGGGATGGGAAAGGATTGCAAAGATGGCCAAAATTGTGCAGTGATGTGAAAGCGAGGATGAGATTCTTAAAGTTGTTCCCCTCTGGTACTCGGAGCCAGTGGAAGATAGGATGAGGTTATAATAAAATAATAATAATCATCCTTGCATTTGATATAGCATTCATGTCGTCGAGACTTCCCAAAGCGCTTCACAGAATACACTGTAAAGTGTACTGACTGTATGTTTTGTGGGCCAAATGTGTACGCAGAGCGACAACAGAGTAGAGGAGAATTTGCAGCCGTGCATTGGGAGGTGGAGGGATTCACGTATTGCAGAGTACAGGTAAACTAACTCACCTGAAGCAAAAACAAATATCCTGGAAAGAGATTGCTCCAAGGCATCATTTCTTATTCTGAATGTGAAGTTCAAAGAGTCTGCACTGCTTTCACCAATTTCCAATGTGCTATGCACTGAGTATAGGCCGTCTGCATTTTTTTCGAAGAAAGTATTCGCTTGGAAAGAAATATCCTTGTGTTGTTCATCGAACCAGGAAACAACAGCTTGAGGGAAGCCTTGGGATTCGAATCGGAAAAGTGTTGCATTTGTTCCTAATTCGATTACTAAAACGGGTTCCTTGTAGTATGCTGAGGAATAGAAGAACTGACTTTAGATACAAGCAGTGATAGTGAACTTGGAAATATTCTCATGACAAATGTTATACTTATAATGCATTATACAAAGCCCTCCATGGCCTCGCCCCATCCTACCTCTGCGAATTCTTAACCCCCTACCAACCCGCCCACTCCCTCCGCTTATCCTCAAAAGGTGTTATTATTATTAAATCCTCAAAAGCAGGGACCCTTATAAAAGCCAGTGGGTATGAGAACATTTACAGATTTTACTTTACTGATAGTTGCACATTGAAGACACTTAATTCCCAGCCCCAAACCAAACGACATTGTATTGATATAATGTCCGTCGTGCAGAAGTAATGTCTCAGAGAGCTTGAAGAAGCATGTACCTGCGAATTTTACAGAGATTATTCCATTGGCGTCTGCCTGTTTAGTGCTGACGAAACACATGTACTTTCCGCTGTCCTCTGGTCTCACTCCTTCGAGTTTCAATGAAGCATTTCCCCGTTTAATCTCCTCCGGGAAGATACTGGCGCGCCCCGTGTACCGATGACTCTGTTTACTGAGCTGCTCTTTGTTGTAGTAATAACTATGAACCACCTCATTTGTGTCATCCCGTTGCCAGGTGATAACGATGCCCTCTGTAGACATTGCACTGGGAGTAAAACTGCATTGCAGGACTGCGTAATGGCCGTGGATAACAGTTACTGGTTCTCTTGGGACGTGGACTTCAAATCCAGCTGTGGACACATTACATTGATGATCTGTGTCAGTACATGGTATTAGTCAGTAAAGCACATGTCCCTTCGTTGGGTATTTCAATTTGAAACGCACATGGGAGGGGAAGGGAGGGGAATGGGGGGGCAGTGGGTGGTCACCTTCCCCAACCCCCCCTGGCTCTTCCCCCTCCCCCCAGCTCGGTCCCGGGATCCGTTACTGTAAAGCGCTCTGAGACACCGTCCAGCGTGGAGGGCGCTATATACATCCAAGTTGTTGTTGTTTGTTGTTGAAGTGATTGACAAATTTTAGTTCAGGGAAATGGTAGTTGACCAGGACACCAGGGGAAACTCCCTTCTCTTTTCGAATAGACCTTGATACCTTTAATTGAAATTAAATTACTTTAAACCATGGTTTTCCCCCTCCTCCATGGTTTCCCCCCTCAGGTTCTTAAAAGAAACCCACACCCAGGAAATTTTCAATAACAAGTGCTGTTTCACAAGAATTATTTTTGATGTAAGCACATGCCAGGTAAATATCATTGAAAAGTTTAGGGTAATTTGTTAGGAGTTTTCCATCAATAACATACAGTAAGTCATCACTTCAACAACAAAATTTGCCTTTATATAGCTCAGTTCATGAGGGCTCGCGTCCTAAGGGGTAAGAGTTAGTGAAGAGTTTTCTGAGTGAGAAGTTAAGCATAAATATAACTACATAAATAAATGCGGACGTGATATTGACAACATGATGACTTAAGTGGTAATGACAAGTTAATGCAGGGTTGAGTTATCAGTTTACTATAGTAACTCACCCACAATTACACATCCACGCTTACAACAGAATAGCCTAAACAGGGGTCTTCTGTAATACTCAAATAAAACAGGTCTAAAGGGAATGTAAAGTACCAAACTGAGATACTTACCAGCCATTAAACTGAAGCCAAATGTAACGAAAACACCCAGAAGATTTTTCATCACACTTTGTCTTTTGTCAACCTGTCAAGAAAAAGCACAACAATCCCTGGTCAAGACTGAATCATAGAATCATAAAATCGTACAGCGCAAAAAGAGGCCATTCGGCCCATCGAGTTTGTGCCGGCTCTTTGGAAAGAGCAGTGTAATGTCAATCCCACTCCCCAGCTCCTTCCCCATAACCCTGCAAACCTGTCCTCCTCAAATACCCGTCCACTGTGTTCTTACCATTCTACCATTTTTACCATTCTACCCATTTTACCATTCTGTCTATGTCTTCCTGCAGTTGGCTACTAACCTTCTCACTGTTTACCACCCTAACTAACTTGGTGTCGTCCGCAAACTTGGAAATGGTACTTGCTATACCCAAGTCCAGATAATTTATGTATATTAAGAAGAGCAGTGGTCCTAATATCGACCCCCGGAAACCCCACTGTACTTCCCTCCAATCAGAAAAGCTGCACAATGACTAATGAGAAAGACCCTGAACTCACTTCATTACCCATTTTATTACCCACTGGGACTGGCTGACTCAATCACAAAACTAGATACATGAGACAAGGGGGCTGAAAATACAGGTTTGGTAATTATATTATCAATAATACCTAGTATTAATAATAAAGGGTTGTACTGTACAATCCCAACATTCAAATCTCCAGATTCAAATTACAGTTTAGTTTCAGGGACAAACCTTCATAACGTGATTTTATTCAGGCTTGACTATTACTTGTTGGCCTCCCCAATTCCTCCTTCCACAGGCTGCAGATCATCCAAAACTCTGCAGCCCATGTCCTCTCTCGCACTAGGCTCCGCGACCCTATCACCCCCCATCCTCGCCCAACTCCACTGGCTTCCCATCACACAGAGGATACAGTTAAAGATCCTGGTCCTCACCTTCAAAGTCCTCCATGGTCTTGCATCCCCTACCTTTGCAACCTCCTAATCCCCTACCATCCTGCCTGCTCCCTCCGCTCAGCGGGCTCCAGCCTGCTTCACGTCCACTGCCTCGCTCGCCCCTTCTGCCACTCTGCCCCCACCCTCTGGAACTCCATCCTGCAGTCCCTCCATCTTGCCCTCTCCCTTACCACCTTCAAAATCCATCTCAAGACCCTCCTCTTCGACTGTGCTTTTGATCTCCCTGCTTCCCCCACTACCCTCCGCCCTCCTCGACCCTGACACCCAGCTTGGGTCCGTAACTCTGTCTTTCCAGCACCATAGGATGCCCTCCCGACGTGAAAAGCGCTTTACAAATGTAATTTTGTTGTAGTTGTTGTTGTAGTCCAAAGTTCCCTTGGGTATGTTAGGGGATATTGCTGTTTGTGGGAAAGTTACAGAAAGTACATAGCCACAGAACAGTTATTGAAATAACATATTAATAATCCTTGCATTTGATATAGCACTTGATCATGTCTTGGAGATGTCTCAAAGCGCTTCATAGAATTTACTGTAAAGTGAATTAACTATATTTTGGGGGCGAAACGTGGCAGCCAATTAGACACAGCAACATTGCACCAACAGTGGTGGATTGAGTGTCTGTGCACTGACTGACTGACTGTCAGTCGAATTCAAGATCCTCATCCTCACCTACAAGGCCATTCCCGGCCTCGCTCCCTCCTACCTCTCCGACCTACTATCCCCCTACCTACTTGTCCGTACCCACCGTTCCTCCGGCTCCGGTCTGCTCCACATCCCCCGCCCCAACCGCCCTACCATCGGTGGCCGGACCTTCAGCCTCTCAGCCCCGAGGATCTGGAACTCCATCCCCCAGTGCCTTCGCCGCCTCCTCCCTTTCCTCCTTCAAGTCCCGTCTCAAGACCTTTCTGTTTGACCGTGCCTTCAGCTCCGCTCTTGACTCTCTACCCCCTCCTCGCTCCCTCCCTCCCCTCCCCTCACCCTGACCATTTCCCCCCAATGCTCGGGTCCTGACCCAACTGTACAGCGCCTCGGGACGTCCTCCCAACGTGAAAGGCGCTCAATAAATGGAATCTTGTTGTTGTTGTTGTTGTTGTTGTCACACAGCACTTCCCCACAATACAAAGCTCAACATCGCACAATACAGAGAGGCCACAGTGAGCACAACCACAACATATTTCAGGGAACCGACTCCACAGAGAAGAAACACCACCAACCTGTGTAATGGCTTAATCTCCCGGTGCGGTCCTGTGTGTAGTGACTGGAAGGGGTTTGGCTCTCTTATACTGTTATTTATGGGCAGGACATGAGCAGGACATGCGTGATCTATTACCTCGTGTCCTTTGCTGTATTCAATGATACAAATATCACGTTTAGTTTCGTGTCCATAAATAGACTATGATTCATAGGTTATTTGCATTGTGTTGGACCAGAAACGTCCTGCCTTCCCGTACCTCCCTCACCGGTGTAATACTATGAAACTGATACCGTAAATTGTGTCAACAGTTTATAGGTTTTTTTAAAAAGAATACCCTTGGCTTTCCCGCCCCTTCCCACGGGCTTTACAACTGGATGACATATCCAGCCTCAACATTAAATGGGCAGTGGGTGAGGATGAAAACAGATTGCAATGCCTGCCTAGAACATCACAGAAAAGGCAAACGCTCTTCATTCTTCTCAATAAGGTTACAGTTCAGAAAATGCACTCTTGAGTTCATTTGTGCCTTTAGGAAATTAAAAAAATGACTAAATGTGGAGTGAAACCCAGTCTTTTCCATGTATCGGTCTGTTTTTTTGTTGACAAGTTGGCAAAATACAAAGTGCAATGAGAAATCTGTTGGCTGTTCTGGTTACATTTGGCTTCAGTTTAACAGCTGATAAACATCTTAGTTTGGTGTTTATTGTTTCCTTCACACCTGTGTTTTATGAGTATATATTTATACTCATTATGACATTGTGTAAAGGTAAGTTGTCTGAGCTTTCTGCTACTCTTACAACTATAAGCGACAATCACTTTCTTTTCTGACAAATCACACAATATTGTTTGTTCATAACAGCAATATAAAATTACTTTGGTTGGTATAGCAGTCTCTGACCGAAACTCAATGCGATTATTTTTAAATATTGTTATATAATAAACTGAATGTCAGACTCTCTCTCTCACACACACACACACACATAGACACTCACACAGAGACAGACGCATAGACACATACACACAGACAGACACACACACAGACACACACATAGCCACTCACACAACATAGACGCTCTCACACACACATACACACCCAAACGAAGACACTCACACACACAGACACATAGACACTTACACACTCACACACACAGCACATAGACACACACACACACATAGACGTTCCCACACACACACACACATTCACACGAAGACACACAGACACATACACACATAGACACTCACACACAGAGACAGACGCATAGATACACACACACACACTCTCACACACAGACACATAGCCACTCACACAACAGACGCGCTCACACACACGTACACACCCAAACGAAGACACTCACACACACAGACACAGACACACACACAGCACATAGACACACACAATCACACACACACACACACGAAGACACTCACACGAAGACAGACACACAGACACTCACACACATACACACACACATAGACACTCACACACTGACACACACACATAGACACTCACACACATACACACACACATAGACACTCACACACTGACACACACACATAGACACTCACACACTGACACACACACATAGACACTCACACACTGACACACACACATAGACACTCACACACTGACACACACACATAGACACTCACACACTGACACACACACATAGACACTCACACACATACACACACAAATAGACACTCACACACTGACACACACACATAGACACTCACACACTGACACACACACAGACACAGACACAGCGATCGGGACCACTCACCTCCTCCTGAAGTCACCAACACATGTAGAGAAGCTGCAGCCCCTGAGGGCAGAGCCTCCCACACACACTGACATGTCAGAGGGATTTCCAGCCTCACTGTGTTGGCTGCAGTGTCTGTGCACTGACTGTCACAGAGCACTTCCCCACAACACAAAGCTCAACAGCGCACAATACAGAGAGGACACAGTGAGCACAACCACAGAGGGCTTCAGGGAACCGACTCCACAGAGAAGAAACACCACCGACCTGTGTAATGGCTTAATCTCCCGGTGCGGTCCTGTGTGTAGTGACTGTGAGGGCTTTGGCTCTCTTACACTGTTCATTGCATCAATACAACTGTGTTGGAATGTAAATACTGATGTCACTGAGGTTGTGACGTGTTGTTTCCAGTGATACCAATGTGGTTTGGTTTCTGTATCACAAATGGACTGATCCATCAAACACTTCCGACCAAAGAGCGAATGAGCAGAAACGTTTCTTTTCCCCACATCCGCCCCCGATTTAACACAACCTCTGCGACTGAGACCGCAAATTGCGCGTTGGATACTTGATTTAAATGAACACGAATCTTGAGTGTGAATCTTGAGAGTCTGGAACTGGAAACACGAGTGGAAATCCTATAATTGGTAGAACAGTTCGGATAAGTGCGGTGGCCCCATGGTCCCGCTCTCCCCATCACCACCTCTGTCTGTCCAGCGCCTCGGGACGTCTTCCCGACGTGAAAGGCACTGTACAAAGGTGGTGCTGTTGCTGTTGCTGTCGACTCACTTGATCTTTCTGCGACAATAAATGTCTTTACTGAAAAATCACACAGTATTGTTTGTTCGTAACACCAACAGCAGCAAATGACACTTGTATAGCAGCCTCTCACCGCAACTCAAATACGACTGCTTTTAAATATTATTATGTAATAAACTGTCTGTCAGGCGACACACACACACACAGACACACTTACACACACACACACACACTGACACACACACACACACACACTGACACATACTCACACACACACACACTGACACATAGACACTCACACACACACACAGATACTCACACACACACACAGACAGACACATAGATACTCACACACACACACACACACACACACATAGATACTCACACACACACATAGATACTCTCACACACACACACACACATAGATACTCACACACACATAGATACTCACACACACGCAGACAGACACATAGATACTCACACACAGACACACACACGTAGATACTCACACACACACATACATACAGACACGTAGATACACACACACACACATACAGACACATAGATACTCTCACACACACACACACATAGACACTCACACACACACATAGACACTCACACACTGACACACACACATAGACACTCACACACTGACACACACACATAGACACTCACACACTGACACACACACATAGACACTCACACACACACACACACAAATAGACACTCACACACTGACACACACACAGACACAGACACAGCGATCGGGACCACTCACCTCCTCCTGAAGTCACCAACACATGTAGAGAAGCTGCAGCCCCTGAGGGCAGAGCCTCCCACACACACTGACATGTCAGAGGGATTTCCAGCCTCACTGTGTTGGCTGCAGTGTCTGTGCACTGACTGTCACAGAGCACTTCCCCACAACACAAAGCTCAACAGCGCACAATACAGAGAGGACACAGTGAGCACAACCACAGAGGGCTTCAGGGAACCGACTCCACAGAGAAGAAACACCACCGACCTGTGTAATGGCTTAATCTCCCGGTGCGGTCCTGTGTGTAGTGACTGTGAGGGCTTTGGCTCTCTTATACTGTTCAATGCATAAATACAACTGTGTTGGAATGTAAATACTGATGTCACTGAGGTTGTGACGTGTTGTTTCCAGTGATACCAATGTGGTTTGGTTTCTGTATCACAAATGGACTGATCCATCAAACACTTCCGATCAAAGAGCGAATGAGCAGAAACGTTTCGTTTCCCCACATCCGCCCCCGATTTAACACAACCTCTGCGACTGAGACCGCAAATTGCGCGTTGGATACTTGATTTAAACGAACACGAATCTTGAGTGTGAATCTTGAGAGTCTGGAACTGGAAACACGAGTGGAAATCCTATAATTGGTAGAACAGTTCGGATAAGTGCGGTGGCCCCATGGTCCCGCTCTCCCCATCACCACCTCTGTCTGTCCAGCGCCTCGGGACGTCTTCCCGACGTGAAAGGCACTGTACAAAGGTGCTGTTGTTGCTGTTGTTGTTGACTCACTTGATCTTTCTGCGACAATAAATGTCTTTACTGAAAAATCACACAGTATTGTTTGTTCGTAACACCAACAGCAGCAAATGACACTTGTATAGCAGCCTCTCACCGCAACTCAAACACGACTGCTTTTAAATATGTTTAATTATTAATTATTATTTGTGACCTCCCCTACTTCCCCATGAATACGTTGTCACTTCAATCCGCGACTGTTTATGGGTCACTGCTGTGCGCAATTGGCTGCCCCATTTCACCCACAAGGTATACAGTCACTTCATTTTACAGTATATCCTGTGAAGCGCTTTGAAACGCCTCAAAGATGTAATTAGGCCCAATATCAAATGCAAGGATTATTATTATTACTCGCTATGGTTTCAGCCACTTCACCGCGAACGCCCAAAACTCCTTGCCTGAATCCCTCCGCCCTGCTCCCTCTTTACCCATTTTCAAATCGCAGCTGAAGTCTTTCCTCTTCGCCCGTGTCCACAATAGCCGCTGTTTCTTTTCGCAGCTCAGCTTCAAACTCTGCTATTGCTCAACTCTTTGACACTACCCTGCATAAAGGGCACCGGATGTGGTTATTGTATTGGTGCATCCTAAAGCATTTTCCTGAGTTTACTTTTTCAATCCCATGGAAAGTATTATATACTGTAGCTCTATAAAGTCACCTCCAGGCAGTCTCCTCTCAAGACTGAAAAGCCCTCGCCAGTCTAATTGTCGCTCATTCCTCTAGGACACAAAATAGCTTGCAACAGAAATGGCTCATTTGTGCCGTCTTTTGAGTACTGCAGCTTTGCAACTTAAAACAAAATTAGTTGAGGCAATCTATGCTTCAGTGCCGATGAAAGGAAAACTTAAATATTTGGAAAAAAATCTGAATTTTTTTACATTTATTTTATTTAAAGTGAAGGAGGTGGATTGCTGCCGTAAACAGTTTTTAGTGTATTTTTTTAAAAAAATGCCTTGCCTTTCCCTCCCCTTCCCACAGGCTTTACAACTGGAGGACATATCCAGCCTCAACTTTAAACGGGCCAATGGGCGAGGACGAAAACAGATTACAAATGCCTGCCTGCCTTCTGAGACAATAACAAGAAGGGAGAAGCCATTTTGTACGGCTGCGTGGAAGCAAAACAGAAGACAGCAACAGCAGAGCAGCAAACAGCACCGACCCGGAGATGGAGAGAAACCCACCCGCTGACAGACGCAAAACAGAGCGAGAGAGAGAGACACGCGGCACACGCACAACACAACACGACACACAACACACGCGCGAAGAGAGACTTTGCTGATCGTTGTAGAGTTTCGCTCCACAAGAATATATACACAGTCATTCGCTTTTAAAGTGTGTAGCGTGGGGAGCGCTTTGAGACGTCTCGGAAGACGCGACGAGGCCCTGTATGAAATGCAAGGATTGTTACAGGCTTCTCATCATCATCATCATTATATTATATTATATTACATTATTATTGATTATTATTGTAAAGAGTCAGAGTTGCCTTTGTTTAAAGCCCAGACTCGCACAGTCTGATTGACATTTGCAGGTGATTGACAGCCAGGGGGCGGGGCCGGGACCACCGCCTGACGCGATTGGTCGAGGGCCGAGTGGGCGGGGCGGAGGTGGGGGGGCGGGCGGGGGGTTGCGTAACGGGAGCCTGTGATTGGCTGGGCGGCGGGCGGAGCGAGATCTGATTGGCCGGGCCGGGGGGGGGGGGAGGGCGGAGTCTGCTAACGATCGCGGGATCCCATTGGCTGCGGGCGAGGCGGGGGGGGGGGTGGGCGGAGCTAAGGCGAGGGAGGGCGGGGCCGAGGTGCAGTTGGCAACATTGTTGCCCCAGGAACTGGTTACTTTGTCGCCGCCGCCCATCTGCTCTCAGACTGTTCACCCCCTCAACCATCTCAGGACCTCCTTCCCCTCCTCCTCCTTCCTCCTTCCTCCGTCTTCATCATCACCCCCTCCCCCCCCCCCCCATCTTTTTTCTCCCCCCCCCACCCTTTAAAATATACATTACAGTCTTTATTTTTTTCTCCTTTTCCCCCCTTCCTCCTCCCACCCTTTTTTTTTATTACCCCCCCTCTCCCCCCCCCCCAACCCCTCTTTTTTTTTCGCTGGACAATCGACGGGTTGTGTTTTTTTTTACCCCCCCCCCACCCCACCCCATCATCACCCCACCACCCCCACCCTGAGAGAGAGAGAGAGAGAGTCGGTGAGCAGGACATGTTAGATGTTTGTCTCTCTCTGTGTGTGTGTGTCTTTCTCCCTCTCGGCGCCATGTTCGATGGCGTCTCTCTTTCTTTCTTTCTCTCTCTCTCTCTCTCTCTTCTTTGTTCGGTCGCCACTTCCCGAACGCTTTCGTTCTTGTTTTTCTCTTCCATTTCCTCCCTCCCTCCCCCCCCCCTCTCTTTCTCTCTGGGTTTTTTTTCTCTCTCTCTTTCTCTCTCCAAATTTTCTTTCTCTTTTTATTTCTCTCCTTCCCTGTTTCCCCCCTCCCCCCACTCTCTCTTTATCTTTTGAATCTCTCGCCCCCCCCCTCCCCCCTCTCCTTTTTTTTCTCTTCATTTCTCTGCTGTTTTTCTTTCGTTTTCTCTCTCTGTTTTCTCTCGTCTCAGTTTTTCTTCCCCAATGTCCTCTTTCTCTATTTTTTCTCTTCACTTCCCTGTCCCCCCTCCCCCCCCCTCCCCCCCCATACACTTTCTCTCTCTTCCTGTTCCTAGGGTTCAACCTCTCAGCCCCCCCCCCCACAGTTTTTGCCTGTTGCTTTGTGTGTGTGTGGGGGGGGGTTGGGGGGGGGACAAGCTATTTGCATTGCACAAACCCTGTTTTTCTAAAAAAAAATCCACCACCAATGTTTGTTAAAGGCACTTTGAGACGTCTCGAAGACGCAATAAGGCTCTATGTCAAATGCAAGGATTATTATTATTATTTATTATTATTAAATGCCCCCCCCACCCCCCCACCCTCGGTCCACGGTTCTCAAAATAAAACATTTGCATCTTTTAATTCCTCCCTCCCCGAGCCGTCAACGAGCACAATTTCGTGGGGAAATTTGACTTAAGGGCATTTTTTAAAATCTTTTCTTTATTGTGATCTCTCCTCTCTCTCCTCCCCCCCCCCCAAGGCACTGGAAGTGACTGTGGCTTGTGTGACCCATGTTGTGCTCGGCCACGCGCTTACTTGCCACACTTCAGCTCATGCAAATTCCGAGTCGGGAAAAGTCATCAGAGACGACTGGAACTGGAGGATCTCCAAAAGTCTGGAATCGAAGTTCACTGGAAGCTTTGGATAAGGAGAAGGCTGACGATTTTAGGGATCTTTCAACGAAAAGGTACAGTAATGCGAATTTAAAATAAGGAACTCCACGTCAAATAATTGCACAAATTTAAATGGCACTAAACAGTTCTTATAATAATAATAATCCATGATTTGATATTATAGCATCTTATCAATATAATGAATACATTAATATATTAAAGTAAATTTACTGATTTTAAAAACTTTTAGTATATCTTTTGTAAATAGAATTTTTTTTTGCATTGTTCAGGAATGCCTTTAATTCTTTTTGCCTAGTTGATAATAAATAATAACAATCATCCTTGCATTTGAATGTAGTGCCTGATCACGTTGTTGAGACATCTCAAAGAACTTCACAGAATATACTGTAAAGTGGATTGACTGTAATATTTTGTGGACGAAATGCAGTTTGTAAATGAGTCCAGTCTGGTCTGTGCTGAGTCGGTTTATCTCATCCGGGACATGGTATATACGGTGGCCCCAACACCAATATGGTTTCTGCTATTGATTGTTCTCTACTGATCACCATTTGAAAAGCCAATGTGTGCTGGATAAGAAAGAAGCGTACACATAGTTACAGAGCTTTCGGATATTTTGTCTGAAAGTGCTCCAAGACTTGCGTATAAATGCAAAGTTGTTCTTGTTTGTTCAGAATATATGCAAATTAAATAAGGGGAGGGAGGCTTGATGTCACAGCTGCACACATTTTTAAAAGTCTCTAAATAGTTGTACTCACAAAATATGCAGTCAGATAGTTTTGCCCACAAAATATATAGTCCATTCACCTTACAATATATTCCTGTGAAGCGCTTTAAGACGTCTCAACGACGTGATCAGGCGCTATATCAAATGCAAGAATTATTATTATTGTAAATTTACTTCAGTGAACTAAGCTTAAGTACAGTGGAACTGTATGAGTGAATGGCTTCAGAATAAAGGGAAAATATTGTGGATCGATTGAATTGAGTAAAACAGTGTAGGTAAGTCTGGTGCGTTGGGATTTACTTTTTTTGTTCGTTTAATTTGCACAGGTGATAGTTTCTTTTTAGGCAAAGAAAATGGGAGGTGTTGAGAGATTAAACATTCCGATATCCCAGCCAAGCCATGGCACTGAGAAGAGAAACCAGCACTTAAGCGGCAGTAGCCGACAGAGAGGCAAAGACGAGAACCTTTACCACGTAAAAGCAACGCACAAGAAAGGCGAGAAGGGTCATGGCAGATACCCACTGATCTCCGAGACACGGCGGGCCGTGCAGAAGGAAGGGAAGAATATTATGCGCTTTGCTACTTACAATCAGAATTGGGAAGTGGCTCTGAGCAGCTCGAATACACTGTTTGCATCGCAGTCTGATCAAAATTATGCCGGAGCCAAGTTTAGTGAGCCGCCATCACCAAGTGTACTCCCCAAACCTCCAAGCCATTGGGTGCATGTTCCCTTGGAGCCTTCTGATCACAGGGAAATGGCCTTTCAGTTGAAGACCTTGCTTAAAGTGCAGGCGTAACCTATCTGCGGGTTAAATATGTAAGGACCATATATACCAGTGCTGGAAGCTAGCCATTTCCAAATCTATTTTTTAATACAGGAGCCATTGAAACCCTTTTGAGCACTGCCGATCACATAATGTTTCCATTCCAAGTTGAATGTCCCATTTGCTGGTTTTAGATTCAGTTTTGTGAAAACTGAGAACGAGTCCATTTTTATATCTGACAACGTCTACCCTAGTTCTCCCTCATTAAGATTGTAGCCCAGCATCGCTTGGGAGCTTCCATGCTTTGAATGCTGTGCAGTATGCAACAGAGGTTGGCTGGTTGTCGGCTTCCACTGCTATCCAAAAAAACACTTGAGACGACCCAAATTGTTTTGGGTGACTTTTTAAATTGAGCAAAAATGTTTTATCTGCAATTCCACCTTTTAACGAAAGCCGGTTCTCAACCGTTTAAATTTGACGTCAGAATGAACTTGAATTGAATTGGTCCTTCATGTTTAGCTAGCGAGATACGAGTTTACAACAAACATCCATCGTATAATAACACCCAGTGTATAAGGTGTTGACTGCACCTTGTCTACCAATGTGAATTGTGTTTCGTGGCCTTTTTGTGTTTCTAAATATTGTTGAGAAATGCAGTTTTTTTAAAAAAAAAGTTGCTCACCCACTGTGGCAAGTTAAAATATGCATGTCCAGTTTTATTGACTGAATGCGTACAATTTAGCAGCTTTTACTGAGCATTTTATGTTGCCAGTTGGTACAAAGAACCTTCAAAACATACCATTTTAGTACAAGGCTTCATTTTGTTTACATTTTGTTTTCTGTGTTTCTCCTGTAATGGACGCTTTTCCAAACCAAAACTGCTTTAAAACTGGATGTGCAGATTTTAGTTGATTTATGGTTTTGTCACTTGCCAAAAACTCTTGCGCGGAGGGAAATGGAATGGGTCGGGTTTTTTTGAGCTTTCATCTGTTGTGTAAAGGTTAAAGCTGGTTCAAACTAATGTGCAGGTTAGAAACTTATGGCCAGTTTCTATTTCAAAGACACACACTTACTGTGTAGAAAGAGCCATGTAAATAAGTGTAAAACTTGTAGCATATGTATATTTTAAAGCAGGACTTGCCTGCTGGATAAAGTATTTTAGTACAATAGCTAAATGTATAAACTGTGCCGGGTATTTTTTTGGCATGACGACAAAAAACCTAAGAATATTTTTGTTTTTTTTTAAAAAAAGGCAAAGCTTAACTGAAATGGATGATTTATTAAAAGAAAAATATTTCATGATGCTACATGCACTGTTTGTGCCCAGTGAGCTCGCATTGTGTTTTCAGATTAATAACTGGTTTAAATTGTCTTTGATGCAGGGATGAAAACAGACTGCAAGTTAAGAGAGTGGTGTTTTTTTTAAATATTTTTTTCAAACAAAAAAAGACAAAAAAAATTGAATATTGAGGCTGCTGCTTATCCTGTAATCCCCTTTTTTATTTTCAATGGATGGAAACAAGGTTTGATTGACACATAAAATTGATTGAATATAAATTTTCCAAATTGCTTATTTTGTGATGCTGGCCTTCGGAGGACTCAAACTTGTCCAGAGCTCTTCCCCCCCCCCCCCAAAAGATGATCAAATTAGGCTTTAGACTAGTAACAACTCTGCTGATGTCCTATTACATTTGTGTAATCTGTTTTTGATAGGCATCTGTGTATAGTGTGAGGTTCAATATCATTGTAGTGGGCTGGTCAGTTGCTGATTACTTGTCTTGCCTTCCTTCTGTTTCTCTCTTACCAATTTCCCCCAATACCAAGCTAAAGACTTATCTACGGTGTAAATAACTACACCCCAGGAGGCCATTATTTGGCTCCATTTTTCCAAACGTCAAACTTTGCGTCTGCCCAGGGCTAAGTGTTTCCAAGCCACCTTCCCAATTCTAACCTTGTGAAAGAACAGGATTACATTCAAACAAATTGTAGTTAATGCACTCTCCCCAAGTATGAATGAATACCTTCACTGAATTCAGCAGCCTCCCTTACCCAATAATGTGGTCTCACTGATCTTTCCCTAGTAATAATTGGGAGACCAGTTTAATGATTGGCATCTATACCAAAATAAATTTACAGTAATACATACCTCCCTTAGAAGTCCTATCGAATCAGGTAATTCTGTGGGTCTAGTAATAGGATCCATGTCATTGGCTATATTTTTTTAAATTGAAACGAGTACCTTCACTATGTTATAACACAATGTTGTGTTTTGAATACCCAGATGATGTGAATTGACTTAACTAAAAAAAATTGTGCTTCACAAAGCAGTGTTACAAATTGGATTGAACAACAATGAATAAAATTGATTTTTCCCCCTTCCTCAGATTGTTTGTTTACCTTTACATTTCTAGGGTCCAGGTATGAAAGCGGTGATCTTTGGCTTATTTGCTTTAAAGATGGGAACAATATGGTGCTTACACAGCCAGGACTGCCTTGGATTTTCTTTGCAGCACTGAGACCATGTCTACCCTACACATCGTTTTATTGCTGAGTGACCTTTCCATCTTAGAGCCAAATTCATACACAAAGATGCCCTGGTTATCTACCTCTGCAATGACAGTATTACTGGGATCCTGGCCAATAATCTCCCAACTAAAATTGGACATTCACATGAGTAATGTACCATCGTATTACAATACAGTCTTTACTCTTCTCAATTTCAATGAGGTTTAGTTTACAGCTTCAAAAAACATTCATAAATCTCCATTCTCAAGAAGCAATATTCCTTACATTTCACATGGTGCCTTATCACAGCTTAAAAGATGGCTCAATAATTTTTTAACAGGCATTAAAACATATGGCTGTGTAGTAAAATACTAATTTTAAAGTTATGGAAGAATATTTGATAACTTAATTGTGCATTAAAATTCCAGATGATAAAACAACTTGATGCTATTTCTCTGGGGATCAGCTATCTGACAAGTGCAGGTTTTGAACCCTTGCTAAGGGGATAGGATGTAACAGGAATTTAGCAAAAATGTGAGAGCATTGCCACCACCCCCTACCCATTAAGCAGTGATCCTAATTGAGAATTTTAAGGCTTAAGAAAACAGATCTTGAGTATGCATCATCATATAGCACAGATTTATTTACAAGTCTGAAGTTACAGTCAGCTGTCAATCAACAAAAAGGGAGAGCACAACATCTATCCACATCTGACCCAAAACACTTAAGTTTTCACAATTTCAAAAGACATACAATTGGAAGTCTCATAATTAGCACGTTTAAACCAGTGCAAAGGCTGTGAAAATAATGCTCATTCTGCACTGCATATCTTTTCAGTGAATTCTCGAGGGTATGAAAAGTGTAGCTGGGTACTGATTGACCTTTCTTGAGCTCTTGTAGATGGCTTGAATTGAAAGTAGATTTTTTTTAAAATCTCGAGTAGAGTCAATGAAAGCAAAGTGGGCAAAAGAACCAAGAAAGCATGAACCTAGCTGGTTTAGACGCATCATACTAGAGGTAAAACTCAAAATATGTAGGTCTGTAGAACAATAAGAGAAGCACGCAAACAAGTCACCTTAAAAAAATAAAGTGATCCAATCACAATGTGATCTGGAAATTATTAGTCATTTCCAAGGAAGTAATATACTTAAGTCAGTTTCACTCCTTTGTAGCAGATTTATCCTACTTCAATATTAGGTGAATAGGTACATTTGATTTCAATAGGCCCAATTACTATTTAGAATATACTACTGTTAATTGTTTTGGAATGCAGTACAAAACAACAAAGACCAGAATGGTCAATACTTGATTTCAAATATCACAGTTTTTCTACATTCATGCAAAAAACCTAAGGAACTCAGTATTGTAAAGCTTAAACTGAAAACATTTTTTTACTGTATATGAAATTTTACAAACAGCTTTTATTAAAAAGACTTGGTATAAAAATCCCTTTTTTTTTTACAAGCTTCTACACGAAAGAAAGTAAGTTTGATCACAACACTTTTCCAACTCCCTTGACAAAATGTCCAATCCCCCCCTCCCCCCCCCCCCCCCCGATACAAGTTCCTGCATTGGTCTTACAATAAAACTGAAGACATTGCTTATCTAACAGATTAGCAAATGGTATCTTTACAGCTAAGAATGAAAAGAAGCATTCATGCAAAGTACACAAATCAATATTACAGGAGGCATGCCAGACCACTGCATCGCATAAATGGATGTAGTAACAGAATATAAGGTTGAGGGCAGCAAATTGCCAGTCACAGTCAATACTTTTGATTGTGCTTAAGGTGACTATTTCAATAAAGCGTGCGGAATTTCTACAAATTCATTCCCCGCATTGTATGGTTTCTCAATACGTTTAAATAGGATGAAAGAAATTTCAGACAGCCATTTCAAAGATGGCATTTGGGAAAAGAATACTGTTAACCAGGTTATTGAATATAGTAGCACTGCACCGATGATCTGTTCTTTGTTAAATGTTACCTTTTTAAATTCTGAATTCATACAGTTTCCATTTATTGCTCCAATAGCTTTATTAATCCACCAGAATGTTAATATAAACTGCATTTAAACTCTGGGAAAAGAATATGGATATAAGGGACACACAACTAGTAATGGGGCACTGCTTTATAAAAATTACCAACAGGAAGGAACACTGTCTTCAATCAAAATGGGTTTTAAATTTGCCCTGAAACTTAAAAGCAAACCGGTTAACCCAATGAATAAATGAGTGAACATGTTAATGTTTTGAGGCCTATCATTTTATTAACTGTTCAGTCATAGTCACAACAGTTACTGCATTGTTTAGAATAAAATCATGGCTAAAATCTTTGAAACACCATCAAAACATATCAGTCCTGCATGTCAAGGTTGTTCTATAAAGAGTAATTTAGAATAAAACCAGTACCCACTTAACATTCTCTACAAGAACTAAACAAAAAGAAAAAGCATGTATGGAAGCCGCGAGTTGGTGCCCACTTCTTGCTTTCAGTCCTCCTGATGAGTGTCAGACTTGTAGCCACTCAGTGATCGGGATTTGGATCTGGACCGGGATCTTGAATGGGTGAGCGACCTGGATTGTGACCTTGCCTTGGAATCCTTTCTAGTTGCCGACTTTGATCGGGACACAGACTTGGATTTGGACCTGGATCCTGACCTAGAACGTGACCGGGATCTGGACCTAGATCTTGACTTGGATCTGGTGTAGGAACGAGTGTGGCGTTTATGCCTAGAAATAATTAAAAAGAAAAATGAGACCATTAAATGCAATGTATACCAACAAGCTTTAAACCAACTTACACTCGTGAAGCACCTTCCAGAATGAACATCTTGAAGCACTTTGGATGGAATGGTGAGCAAGCAAAGAAATCAAGAGATTTAAAGAAGTTGATGGAACTTCTATCAAAGGCATGATAGACGAGGTACTCTTAAGAAGGGAAAGAGGGAGCAAGGCAAGTAGTTTTGGAAAGCATTCCAGAGGACAAGAGCATAGTTGATAAAGGCCCCACCAATGGAATGAAGGGAGTGTGGAGCACGCAACAGACCAGCCTGAAGGGCAGGTGGTACACTGGAAATTATTGCGTAGGTAGGATGGGCCAAGGTCATAATGGGATTCAAAACACCTTCAGCTAAAACACCAGTGTCAAGCAGCTGCTAGTACCAATGTTAACTGGTAAGGTTTCTATCCAAAAGATCTCCAAGCTATTCAATTCTGACCAAAGTATGCTAGTGAAAACAAGATGAAATTGACACCAACTGCAACTTTACTATTGATGAAAACTCTCAGTACAAAGACGTGTATAGCATTCGCTCCTGAATGCCTTGACACGCGATCACTAAGGTACTCTACACTACGTTACCTCTCGTTGAAAGAATTGCTTCGGCTGCGTCTGCGCTTTCCAGTCGATCTGCTTCGTGAACTGGAGGAGAAACAAACAAGGTAAACCCAGAGTTCTATTAAATTTAGCACAAGGCACAACGCATTTGGCAAACAGCTCCTTACTTTTTAGGGCTATCAGATCTCCGGTGAGTACGTTCATATGAACGGCTTCTTGACCGTTTCCTTTCGTAACTGCGACTTCTGGACCTCCTCCGTCGATCATATTCGTCATAGCGGTCATACCGAGGTGAACTTCGTGATGATCTTAATTCCTTTGATTTCATCTGACCAGGAGCTTTAATTACAAAGAGAACAAAATAGCTAATACTATTCAAGAACCCAAACCAAGCATTTACAAAGTTTTAAACCTTTAAATATGGCAAAGACCGAAGCTAGGCATGAACAGGTTTCCAGATATGCACTAAAACACAATGAATACACAAATCATTACCTTTCTACTGAAACTGAACATAAGACCGAAAATAACTGTCTAGTGGTGATCATTTGATTGCCACAGATTGCTGAACTACGCTAACCTATTTGTTAGGTAAGGATATTAAGGGATATAGGGCAAAGCCGGGTAATTGGTGTTGAGGTATAGATCAGCCATAATCTTACAGAATGGTGGAAAAGGCTCAAGGGGTTGAATGTTCCATGCTTGAGATAATAATAATAATCCTTGCATTTGATAAAGCTTCATCACGTCTTCTAGAAGTCTCAAAGTGCTTCAATTTGTAAACAATACTTGCAAAACAGAAATTATTTAAATTTATGAATGTATTAAAAGATTGAACTTACTTTTTCGATCGCCTTGGGCGAACTGGATCTCGATTTGGCGGCCACACACCCACTTCCTATCCAGATTGTGGAGTGCATCTTCGGCATCCCGAACGTCTTCAAACATGCTAAGCTGTTAAGGGGTCTTTGCACTTTCACAGGTTTCGAACAAATCCTACAACCTTCAATACACATTTTTCAGCCGTAACATATTGCTTTGCCAGAACTTAGCTGTATTAATTAATCTGTACAGAGTACTTTTTTTTTCTATTCTTTGTTCCCATTCATTGGCAAATTAGGTTTAGTAAAAATGCTGCAAACAAATGTAAACATGCAATACAGTGGATTCCTGTTAATGTCACATTGCCAGATTTAATTAAGCACAAAGGGTTTCACTCCTGTAAGATGTATTCTTTCACTGAGAGAAAAACAGTCAAGGTATGTGCAATTGTATTAGTTAAGAGGGAAAATGAAAAGCCTGGCTTTGGGGCAAATGCTCACCAGTTATTCCCAAGTGGATACATTAACATGCACAGCTAAAAAATGTTTTTTCTCTAGTTCACTCATTTCAAATTTGGAATCAGTCAAATCTTTCCTTCAAATTTTCAACACGGATATATAAAATCCAAACTAGAATTGCAGTGAAGAAAAAAACAATAATGATCTACTCCAACAAAAGTGTCCCCTCCCCATCACCACATAAAATTATTCACGTAAAGAATGGGATGGAAGTTTATTCCCATTCATTGGCAAATCAGTAACGTTGTGTAGTGAAATGCAGAGCATTCTTGTTAATGTAATTTTTGCAAACAAACTTGTTAAGTATCAAGCGTTTCACTCTCGTAGTAAAGATTCTTCCTCAGAGAGAGAAAAAATAACACTCGAGGTGTGCGCAACACTAAGCCAGTAACACAGGGAAAGATGAAAGAAAGGCTTGGTCATTGGCAAGCACCTGCCAACACCACCTTAGTATTAATAACATGCAAATACTCATACCATTGAGGTCTGAATAAAGACAACAAGATAAGTACCTAGAAGTGTAATTTTGTGGTGACTGAGGCGACTGATTTCGGAGGAGGTATGAAACTTGCTGAAAGTAAACAAAATGAACTCGAAATTTGTAAGCTACGGGAATTAAAATTTACCTGGGGCAGTTTCAGAAAGTTACATGGATTGTTTGGGGGGGGGGGTGGGGGGGGGGGGGGGAAGAAGTGACAATGAAAAGCAACAAGTAGAATCCACTGCACTTTTAAAGAATCCTAACCCTCCTAAAATAGGACAGCTATAACATTCATGTCGTCTACTTCACTCTTGTCATAGTCTTCTGTCAAGTCAACATGACTGGAAAAGAAAAAGGTCCTCAAAAAGTTTCACACATAAAATCAATTTTGAAATGAACATAAAGAATGAATTTATATGCAGCACTGAGACCGAGATTTACTAGATACAAATCTTTTATAATACAGAATTGTATTTCATACGGATTATTTAAGTTTTTTTAATAAATCACATTATATTAAAAACAACATATGTAACGTAATCTAAGTGAATGAACCGGTTTCACTACAGTAGCATACAAAATGAGGACTTTGCTGGTTACCTTAAATTTGGCTTTCAACTTGACCTTGTACCTTCAGCTTGACCTTTAACTCTTTAAGTGCTTGCCAGAAGGACTTGACATGAGGCGCTGGCCCAAATAAGACACTTGGCTTTGGCTTTGACTTTGACAAAACAACCTTTTTTTCCAATTGCAGACAAATCGAAGCTTGACTTTTTCCCTCTTCAAGCTTTAATCTTTTCACCCTCCCTCTCTTTTCTTCAAGCCTGATCCTTAAGAGGTCTTTGGCTTGTCTGCTTGTCTTATGCTTGGACTCTATCTAAAAGGCTCTTTCATACTTTCTTTGTGGGTTCGCCAGTTACAGCGGATTGCTTTAATTTTTCTGAGGCAACAACAACAAAAAAATTATGTCAGGGGATGGGTTCAAAAAGACAAACATGCAGGGTTTGAAATCACTTTTTTGGCTATCACCAAAATTAGCCAAAAAAAGATACCAGCAAGTATATAATACAAACAACTAAATCATTCCAAGTCAATTTTAGTAACATTTTCTACGTATGAGGTCATTGTTATAAGATGCACTATACAAAAAAAACATTTAGGTCTCTACCTTAAGAAACAGAACATTTTGAAAATCAATTAGCGCCTGCAATAATCCTCGCTCCCAGTAGAAGACTGGTTGCATGATTATCAGTGCAGCACCTATGATTATGCTATCATTGCACTGGCATTTCATTCACTAGATGAACATTCTATTTTGCAAAAATGTCATCCACATTAACAATTAATATTCACTTAACAGAATGATCACACTTAAAAAAAAATGCGATATTCTTCTGTAATATCCTTGTTGTACCAATGAATAATAAGAGGTAAGTTTTTAAACTTCTTGTGCTTTGGTGGCTAACTCAAAATACATACCTTACAAACGACATATGCAACTCAACATATAACAAATTTTATCCTCCTCTCCCAAGTCTCATGACACCAGTAACAAATTTCAAGCTTTTTTCATTACTACATTTTTGCATGCCTCTCAATTCTAAATTTTAAATTCCCACTGAAAACGTTCTTTACCAATAATGAACATAATAAATTAATTAGAGGATCTGGTGGATACTGATCCAAAGTTATGGAATCAAGAGGCAATAGTCTAATCATGATTACTTTAATACAAAATGTACTTAGAATCAATATTTCAGAAATCTACTGATTCTGTCATGAGAACTTGGATGCAACGATAATGACAAATGTATATAAACAGTATAAAAAGTCATAACTGAGGGGTAGGGTGAAAGTAAAGAATTCAAATGAAAGGCATCCAGTTGACATAGTATTTGGAGACAGATTGAAAATAAATCAGGTTAAATTTAGTAGAAAAGTATTATTTAGCAAAATGGACCGTATAATGACTTCAAATTTCCAAAGGATTGAAATTTGCTAGCCAAGACATTGTTCTGCAAGTTTTTCCCAAAAATCAGTTGGACTCCTGGTTATATTAATATAATCAGAATTCATTGCAATCAGCATATTTCTTGATAACGTTAAAAAATACAAATATTAAAATCTGAATTGAGCACAGTCCATAAGCTTTAGAAAGAGAAAGATAAGTTAATGCTTCTGGGGTAACTGTCTATCAGAATGAGTTTACTCAAATGTTAACTTAAATATTAACATACCTTTCTTTTTCTGAAACAAATTAGCATTCTATTAAAAACAGGTGTGAATCACCCCTGTGCAATGAACCAATTTTGGATTTAATTTATTTTGGACATATAATTTATTGTTAAATTATAACGATGCAACTTTTAATAAAAAAATTCACAGCCCCCACTTCAGAAATAGGTTACCATTGTATTGCACATTTCACATTTGCAGCTGAGCAACCCCATGTTAATGTGCACAAAAAATACCCACGAGTCTTCAAAAAAACGCAATACATTTTATCAGGCAATTAATGCATATCAAATCCTGAGCCCACAAAGAAAACAAAACCTATTTTTTTGGCACAATAGCCAAATCGAAAAAACCCAAACAAGCAAGAGTTCACTTTTGTGAATTTCCAAGAGTCCACAATTTAAGGTTTAATTTGTAAACTTAGCTAGTTTTAACCTGAAAAAAAACAGGAGCGTATCAATTATTTGTATATATAATTTCAATAACACCAAAACAGTCACTGGAAGAAAATTATACAGCTGATCAATGCTTTTATCGGTTCCAACTTTGAAGTATTTGGTTTTATGGACCAATACATTGATGCAAAAAAAGCAGTTTGTACCACAAATGTTGCTGATTTTTTACAACCAGATGGGAGGAGGGAGATAAGAAGATTGGCTCATCATCAGTAAATTCACCTGAGATTATAATGGCAAATCCATTACGAGATCACCCTGTCAAAATTAGCAATTTACTGATATCAACGTGTTGATTGGAATAGGTTAAAAAAAGTCTTTTGATTTCACAATTAAGTGAACCTCATTCTGTAATAGACTGAAATGTAAACAGCTTAGGTGATTTTTTTTGTCACAAAATAATTTACTCCCATGCAAGCAGACTGACAGGTATTTATTCACTCGAGTTATAACTTGTATAACGTCTTCCACAAATGAAATTCCTCCAACTCACAAAAACATATTTTTGATGATGAGTTGGGATACATAGGTTAGTCTTAATTGCCCAAAAGACATATTGATGGGTACGAACTCAACTGCATTTTTAATTAGAATAGTAATTTATTTATACAGCCCATAATGCTTAGTTGTTTTGAGTACAGATATAATCTTCAACAATAAATGGAAGATTACTGCATGTTACACTGTGGGTGGACTAGTTTTTCATGCTCCAAGGTATATTCTGATAGCCATTCTCAACTAACAGGGCCACATTAATTTGAAAAGAATTTGATACACAAAAAAATCAGTGCAATGTTCATTTTGGCAACTATAGTATTTCAGTTTATGAGAACTGTTGAAGAAAGGATATTGTACATATGCAAATCCTCTTGGACGTCGAGTGTAGAAGTCAAGGGGAACGTAAACATCTACTATTGGTCCATAGCGACCAAACTCGCGGCGTAAATCCTCAGGCCTAAAGTACCATAAAAATAATGCGATTTGTAATGTGGCTTGCTCATTGAGCATGTGTTGACGATTTGAACTCAAAATTATTAGCCTTCTAAAATAATATTTTCCTAGCCTCTAAACATGTAAATATCCTGAAATACCAACATCTAAAGCTGCACAACCCCAATTTCTCCCCATTTCCAAAAGAAATTCTATTTTATTTAGAAATCAAATGATACAGTGCCTCTTGCATTCAGCCAGGACACGTTAAGGTGAGTTAGGCACTTTCATGCCATCAAGAGGATATCCTTCAACACAAAACCTTCTCAATTAGCTCTATCCATGCATATACAGTGCCTTGCATTCAAGCACAACAGCCTAGATTAGATTAATCTACACACAGAACAGTTGCATTAAATTCTTCAAATATTTAATACAATTAAAGTCTGTTTTTATAAGTCCCCCGAAGCAAAACATGCAGATTAATTTGTGGGTTTATAAAGCTTTAAAGCACTGACACAGAATTTCAGGCTGGACATGTTTACAATCATCTTTCCCATTGTCATAAGATCAATTTAATTGCTCATTTATTCCTCCAAAATTAACCACTTTTGTGAAGTTATTACAAATAAAGGTGACAGTGCACTAAAAGTCTTCCTGACCACTAAATAGAAAGGTAGCACAAAAGGTGCCGAATTTCATTTTTCTGTACTACATTTTACAATTTTAGTATATAGCACATCTTATGGGCCATACACATCTGTTAAAATTTATGTTTTAAAAAAATACTGATTTAATAATAATTCATCTTTATTCTCCTTCAAATTGTTTTCTTTTGTTGGGATACAGGTTCAGTGTCTTCCAGCACCCTGTTCAAGTGACTATTCTTAACGTGTGAGACAACTATCAAATGTCAGAAGCTTCACAACCAAATCCCACCATACTTTCACCTAATCACCATACTTAGAAAAGGAGCTTAACAATTTCCTGGTCTGTTATTCCTGGTCTGTATAGCTCAGTAGCACAGCAGGCTATATGTATTTATTCACTGAAACAATGGGGAAACAAACCTTCAGTTCCTCCCCTATCCATAGCTTATTTTAGGAGTCATGAGTAGACTCACAAATAATGAAATTCTAATAACATTAGATTAATAATTGCTTTATTTGAAAGCCAGAAAGTATGAAGTCTATGGAAATTGAAGCTTCACATTATCTGACCCAATTTAGGAGTACTTATGGGCAAATGCATAAATCAGATGAGTTGGCTATAAAATAAAATTACTGTATTATACTAGAGGGCAAAATTGTTGGGACCAAAGTAGAAACAAATTGTTTTACCACTATCTATGATATTTTCACATATTCAAAATTGTTCTCATGAGTAAGCATATTTCTCTACAAATAGCTCCTACAAATTTATTTTCAGAAAAAAACTAACATTCTTGTATATCCTGTACTTTTACTTTAGCCAGATGGTAACACTATCACTCCCAAGTCAGAAGAATGTGGGTTCAAGAACCACAGCAGGACTTTCACTCATAATCTAGGCTGACATTGCAGCACAACATTAAAGAGAATCCTGCATTTGTTAAGAGTTGCTGGCCTTCAAATAATATGTTAAAGCAAAGCCCCATCAGTATGTTATGGGGACCTTAAATTATTCCATTATACTATTTCGAAAAAGTACTTGTGTGCTGACCACCACCAGCCCCCATGCAAATTCCTCCCAAATAAAATTGGTCTTTAATCTCAATTCTATTTGTGGGATATTGCTGGCAGACTAGCTGCTGCATCTGCCCAAATAACAAAGGTGCCTAACACTCCAAGCTCATTTTGTGATGGACACCATCAAATGGAAGTACTATTCAATATTTTTACCCCGATATCTTCAACAAATACAATTGCTATTAATTTAAACAGTTTTACAAAATTCACTACCTGACTGCTGCTCTCACATCTTTTATTTCAGAATTTATGCTCATGGATCACGTTTCTAGTTATCTTCAAATTATCACTTTCCAGAGATCCAGCATTTGTTAATCAAGAAGTTAAACTGTGGTCTCAGCTGCCTGTTTTGGATGAACGTTAAAGATTCTATGACACCATTAACTTACATTGTTGACAGTTTCCTAGCCAACAATGCAGAGGTTGGCCACTTTGGTGACCCACGTGCCTGTCCGTGCGTACATTTATGGATTTCTTTTGGCACAGATAAATATCAGGGCCCACAATGATGTAAGTGAATCCATATTGCATCAAGGTCCTACTGAATTTCAAAAAAAACAAGGCAGTTCTATTTTATAATCAGATATTTCTATCCTGATAGAAATTGTAAATTCATGCCCAGTGGCAAATGAGCTATACAGTACCTAAATACAAATTAGCATTTCTAATGAATAAACAAATAACACAGCAGTTTCCTGAAAAGGGGTCAAAGGAGAGATACAATTTGGAGCTCCTTTTCCCTATAGTGCAGTGGCGTATTGAATTACACTACTGTGGCAGATGTTTTTTTCTAATACATTTATAGTCCTATCTGAAATTTCTAAAGCAATCCATATTCAACATTTTGATGACACAATCTTGACACTATGCGCAATTCCTCTGCACACAACTATGTAACTATATCAGCCCAAACTTTTACATCAAGTACAACAACCCTACAGTAATTGCCCACCAGTATTATCATTAACGTTATACAATGACCAGATTCGACCCAGCACTATTTAGCCACGTACCCTTCATTATTCAGTTCAATGATTGGAATAAAAGGTTTGATCTTTTTATAAAAGGCGGCATAAAAATAATAAGAATATCAAGTGTCTTGTTACTGTACAAACAATACTTGAGCTCCTCAATTAACACCAGCTTTAGCTGATCACAAATAAATCATAGTTATTTCTCTCCCACAGTATGACCCTGTTATACTGTTCTAATGTTTTATGGATGATTTATGTTATCTAGTTTACAATACATTACATAGATTACATGGGTTCAGCCTGATGTTTCTGGTTTTAACTTTTATACAACTCTGTTTCATGTAGAACACATTAAAAATTAATCATTAAGAGTAGATTACATAGATTTAGCCTGATGCTTTGATGCTAATGCATCTTATCATACATAATTCAGTGGGGCATTATGAAGACACAAGTTGCGCTTTAAAGTGCTACTATATAACATTAACTTTTCTTTAAACTCATAATAAATTCAGTGGTTAAATGTATCTGCTGTGATACCGAACCATACAGACGAGCAAGATTCCAGACTTCATTCTAATCTATGGTCAATTTCACTGAGGCCAACAATTTGAGATGGGGAAAGGAGGATTCAGGCAGAAACCCATTCCACCTGTTTGTATACAGTATATGCATGTGTGTGTGGACTAGGACACAATCAACCTGTGATGTCCCCCTAGTTGAATAGCCTACCAAAATCATACTGTCTAGGCTCACACATAAATTCAGGTGAGGTACAGTACAATTGACAACATCTATACTCCTGATGTGAGTCACTACAGTCAACAGAGAGGTGTGAAAATTGATGAATAAAGATGAATATTACCTGCAATGTAAATAAATACATCCACAAATATGTCAGGTACAATAAATCAAATACTTTTTAAAAAAAATTAAAACTGATGCCCAAAGAGCTAATAAAGATGATTTTGGTTGATGTGTACCAGTTATAAAATTGATGTATAATTCAGATAGATGTTGCTGTGCACAAAATATACATTCAATTCACTTTACAGTATATTCTGTGAAGCGCTTTGAGATGTCTAGAAGACGTGAAAAGTGTTATATCATATGCAAGGATTATTATTATTTATTTGGGGTTAACTAACTTTGTCTTTCATCTAAGTAGCTTCTGTAAAGCGTCTAGTGTGTGACAAATTGTTATTTTCCCATGACTGGATCCAGGCCTATATAACCAGCAAAATATCATTAAAAAGATATTTATTAATAATGTTTTAATGTGAGTTAAACTATTCCAACCGTAAAACTGCTCCACGGGCATCGCATTACCTCATGCAGAGCCAAGGAGAGGTAGCCCTAAGCATGGCTGAATGGGAAAGTTTTCAGGCGGGACTTGAAAGAGGGGAGAGAGGGGGCAAGGCGGAGGGATTGAGAGTGTTCCAGAGTTTTGGGGTGCAATGCTGAAAGCACGACCTCCAATTGTGGGGCAGAGGGTGCGAGGGATGAGTAAGAGGCTGGTGCCAGTCGAGCGGAGGCACCGGGTGATGGAGTCGGGAGTGAGGGGGTCAGAGAAGTAGGGAGGTGCCAGGGAGTGAATGGATTTGAACATGAGCGCGAGAGGATCTTGAAGTCGATCTGTTCGGTGATGGGGAAGCAGTGGAGCCTGGCTAGAACTGGCGAGATGTGGGTATGAAGTTTGGTCTAGGTCAGAATACGGGCAACGTAAGAGTTTTGAATGAGCTGGATCTTGTGAACGATGGATCTGGGAAGACCAGCGAGAAGCGCGTTGGAGTAATTCAAGCGGGAGGTGACAAATGCACGCACGAGGGTTTTGGCTGCATTTGGGGTAAGGTACAGTTGGAGGTGGGCAATGTGGCAGAGGTGGAAGAAAGTGATCCTGTTCTGGGACAGATATGTGTGGGTGTGGGGGGCGGGGGGGGGGAGACGGATGTGGGGGAGGAAGGACAATCGTGGGTCGAACCAAGTACTGTATTTAGTATTTTTTTCCCATTGATATAAGCTTAAAATATGATTCCCATTATTTAAAAAAAATCAGCGCTTCAAATCAGACTTGGCTGCGCCCCCCAGGAGCAGTCACTTTGTCCATCCCGCTTTAATTTTTTTTCTTGATCAGTGATCAATACAAACGATTGACCGGCCAAAAGCTACACGTCACAATCCGTGTCAAATCCTAAACAGCAATTTCAAAATATTAATAACAACCAGCATCTTAAAAGGAAAACCAACAGCATTAAGTTACCAATTCTTTTTCTGCCCCCCACCCCCACTTTTTTTGAAAAAAAATCCACTCCACACTGGTTCTTTTCATACATATCCCAGTTCAGGGTTTGCACTTGATTACCCCCCACCTCCCCTTCCCATCAAAACCACAGATTAAACCTCACCTGGGGGGGGGGGGGGTTGGAAGGAGAGAGAGAGAGGTTAAAAAGAAAGCAAAGATTATGTACTCTCACATATATATAAATAGATATACATATACATAAAAATAAAAACACAGAAAAATTGCTAAACCGAACCCTGCGGCGGTTATCTTCCGAGTCGTTAGAGCCTTAAAAGACTTCTTATAGGAAAAAAAAACCTCACATGGCATCTTATTGTGTGTGCAAAAAAAAGGGAGTGCAGTGTACGTGTTTGAGAGTGCGTGGTCGGGGAGAGGGGGGGGTTGGGGGGGGGGTGAGGAGGGTGAGGGGGGTGAGGAGGAGGCGGTGAAGATGGGAGGGGGGGTGAGAAGGGGGAGGTGAGGGTGGGGATGAGTAGGGGGAGGGGGGGGTGAGGATGGGGTGAGGAGGGGATGAGGGGGAGGTGAGGAGGGGGAGGGTGGAGGTGAGGAGGGGATGAGGGTGAGGAGGGGATGAGGGAGAGGGTGGAGGTGAGGAGGGGATGAGGGGGGTGGGTGAGGAGGGGATGAGGGGGGTGGGTGAGGAGGAGGTGAGGAAGGGATGAGGGGGGGGGGGTGAGGAGGGGAAGGGTGAGGGTGAGGGGGGTGAGGAGGGGGAGCGTGGGGTTGAGGGAACAATCTCGATTCAGTTACGGAAGATCGGATTGATCACCAGTCAATAAAACCACTTTTTTTTTTACAAAAAAAATGTAAAAATATTTTTATGAACAAAAAAAAATCTATATCGTTTCGGTGATGGGGTGGGAGGGGGGGGGGAAACACTCAAGAAAACGAGTAGCAAAAGTGTGTGTGGGGGGCGGAGAGAGAGAGAGAGAGAGAGAAGGAAGAAAAAAAAAGTTTTACGTGAGGAGAGAGAGAGAGGGGGAAAAAGGGGGTAAAAGAGCCGCTCTTTTTCGGTGGTTTAAGTGAGGTTTTTTGCTGCACATTCAGGTGGGCCTCGTGGCGGCGGCGGTGCGGCCTACAAGACCCGACCCCACGCAGCGCAAAGCGCCTCAGTCGCTCACCGTCGAAAGGGCCGGGGTCACGTTTCTCTCCCCTCCTCCCCCCCTCCTCGTTTATTCGCTCGCGTTTATATATATATATATACATATATATATATCATTGTAAATTAAACGTGCGAGTGAGTGGTGTTGGCGGAGAAGCTTCTTACCTGGTGGAATCCCCCACATTCCTCACAAAGAGGGAGCTGTTGGGCGGGCGAGCGTACCGAGACATGATGGCGGCGGCGGAGGGCGGGCGGGCGGACGACCGGGCGAGAAAAAGGCGGGCAAAGACGGCGCAGACGGACAGCGGCGCGCCTGCGCAGGCCTGCGGGCACCCCGCGAGCCGGAAACGCGTCACAATGGGGGGCGGAGACGGCCAATCGGGGCGCGCGGTGCGGCCCCAGGCCCCGCCCTCTCCCCCGGACACAAACACGCGGCCATCTTGTTGCCGGGGGGGAGGGGCCCCGGTTGCTAAGCTGCCATTTTGGAGCGAGTGAGCGAGAGCGAGAAAGCGCGAGAGAGAAAGGCGACTGCCCTCAGAGTGGGGGCGGAGAGATAGTGAGACACAGGAGATAAGTGGGGGTAAAGGGGGAGGAGGGGAGATCAGGGGACTGGGGGGGGGGGAGATCAGGGAGGCGGGGGGGAGATCAGGGAGGCGGGGGGGGAGATCAGGGAGGCGGGGGGGAGATCAGGGAGGCGGGGGGGGAGATCAGGGGGCTGGGGGGGGGAGATCAGGGAGGTGGGGGGGGGAGATCAGGGAGGTGGGGGGGGGGAGATCAGGGAGGTGGGGGGGGGAGATCAGGGAGGTGGGGGGGGAGATCAGGGAGGTGGGGGGGGGAGATCAGGGAGGTGGGGGGGAGATCAGGGAGGTGGGGGGGGAGATCAGGGGGCTGGGGGGAGATCAGGGGCTGGGGGGGAGATCAGGGGGCTGGGGGGGGATCAGGGGCCGGGGGGGGGAGATCAGGGGGCTGGGGGGGGAGATCAGGGGGCTGGGGGGGGAGATCAGGGGTGGAGGGGGAGATGGGGGGCCTGGGGGAGATCAGAGCTGGGGGGGGAGATCAGGGGGCTGGGGGGGGGATCAGGGGTGGGGGGGGAGATCAGGGGGCTGGGGGGTGGAGATCAGGGGCTGGGGGGGAATCAGGGGGCTGGGGGGGAGATCAGGGGCTGGGGGGGAGATCAGGGGGCTGGGGGGGAGATCAGGGGGCTGGGGGGGGGGGGAGATCAGGGGTGGAGGGGGGAGATGGGGGGCCTGGGGGGAGATCAGAGCTGGGGGGGGAAGATAAGGTGTGTGGGAGGGAATGAGGAATTAGTGGGGGAGAAAGAGGAGAGAGGGAAAGAGAAGGTAGTGAAAGAGAGGAAAGAGGAGAGAAGGAAGGAGGAAATAGAGAGAGAGGAGAGAGGGGAAGAGGAGATGGATAGTGAGAGGGAAAGAAGAAATAATGAGAGAAATATTGCCTCCCAACAAGCATGCTGATGAGTGTCTGTCTGCATGTCAGACATCCAGAGCACTTGCAATCCTCACTGAGAATAACTCAAGACAACAATGTTTCTTCAAGTTAAATGTAGAAATGTTTGGAATTTATTTTTGTGTGCATTTCTGAAAACTAATTCTAAAAGCTTGGCAGATAGCAAGGCTACAGAGGGCACGGAGTGAACTAGCAGCAGGATGAATATAAATATTGTCGCCAAAAAAAAAAAAAAATTCTGCATGACATTCCTGTTCCAAGAGCGGACGCACATTCCTTTTATACGTGCAGAAATAGTAGCACTCTCGCCTCGGAGGCAGGAGCTTGTGGGCTCAAGCCACGCGTCGGGGGAATTTGGAATGACATAGTCTAAGCTGACCCTGAGGGGGAGGTGTTGTATTGTTGGATGAGAAGTTAAACCGATCTGCCTGCTCGGGTGGACTTTAAAGATCCTTTGTTTTTATGGCACAATTTGAAAAGAGAAGGGAGTTTCTCTCGGTTTCCTGGCCAACGTTCTCCCAGGTATATCTGCTTACTAACTGCAGGTCTGTTTGTGGGACGTTGCTGTGTGCAACTAGTTGCCCTATTTCGTCCACAAAATACAAGGTCAATCCACTTTACCGTATATCCCGCCGCAAAGTCCTTTTGGATTGTTCTCCCGATCTGAAAGGTGCTATATCAGATGCAAGATTTATTATAATTATCCCCTTTGAAGGCAAACTAGGTGGATTGCAGTGGTCTTTTCCAATCTAGTAGATTCTTAATACTTCTTGATCAGGGTTGAATAAAACCAATAAGGGGTAGCATTCCTGGGGTCAAAAATATGACTATTAAACACAAGGAATATTATCTCTAATCTAGAATACTAGAAATATCGGTTCCGTCCTCTTCAAGTAGATTTCTTTACATGACTATTTTTAAATTATTGCAAAATATCATTATTTTTAAGGGATGACTTTTAACTAATTTGAAGGCAACCCCCCAACCCCACTCCAAGAAATATTTGACTCAATCTTGCCCATTTTCATTTTCTAAATGTTACAGGATATTCTCTGGTCTCGTACAATATCGGGGACATATGCGCTGAGTATCGAGATAACAACGTGAAACACTTCTTAAATGTTTCCTCATAATCTACAGGAAGTGTTTTTATGATTGACAACTCAGAAAAGGCAGGGAATTTCAAAAAAAAATTGTGGTAAACCTGTAATGTTTGAAGCAATTGGGAGCATATTGCTAAGTACAAGTTATATAAAAATGCAGAGACTACTGTATGGAAACAGACCATTCAGGCCAACTAGTGCATACCAGTGTGAATACTGCACACGAGCCTCTTAATCCCCTTCTCCCTCATGTATGCTGCAGTTAAACATTTATATTTCCTGGAAACAAAGGTTCTAAGTTAATGTTATCAAACAGGAGTGATACCTCCAGCTATCTCAGGATTCAATACAGCTGAAATATTGAGTTGGTGAAATGGCCACTAAGGGGCAGAGTATCTTAAAATGAGAACGCTGTACTCCTGTACCATAGCAAATTGTACTTTTGTTGGCTTATTTCCAATCAAATACATCAATAGCAATTAATACTGTCTGGAAGATACAGTGTGCATAACTACTCACCTAAACATTTATCTTAACCAGAAAAAAAAACTCTATGAACAGTTATATTTCATCTTTGTTTCTTTGATATTAAATATTGGTACATTTTCGACAACTTTTGAGACTGCAGGTTGCACATAGATTGGAGATAAGTTGTTGCATAATAGCATTCCTATTAGAAGATTTTATAAATTAGCATCTTGTTTCCCAATTCATTGGTGGAATGGTGTATTTAAGGCATATAATGATTTATAAGGCTATATAATGATAGACTGTATAAACCCTTGTGTCGTCTAATAGTTTGACCATGTTTTACTAAAATAGCAGAGAGAAATTTCAACTGGATTTAGATTTACTCTATGTATGCAGCATTTCTGAATGGCCCGAATTTGGAAAATGGTTGAATTCCAACTTTGAAACTGTTTTCCTCCAATTTCTTAAAAGGCTTCAAAGTTAAGGCAAAGTATTTGCAAAGCCTTCCATGACCTTTTTCTCCCCTACCTCTGCGACCTTCTCAACCCCTACCAACCTGCCCCTTCCCTCCTTCATGTCCCTCGCCTGTCCCACCATTTGTGGGTGGGCCTTCTGCCACTCTGCCCCCACCCTCTGGAATTCCATTCCACAGTCTCTCCACCTCGCCTCTTCCCTTGCCTCCTTCAAGAGCCGTCTCAAGACCCTCCTCTTCGACCATTCCTCCGGTCACCCTCTTTCCCCCCTGACCTCCACCCCCCCCGATCCCAACCCCCAGCTTGGGTCTGAAACACTGATTGTCCAGCACCTTGGGACGTCTTCCTGACATGAAGGGCGCTATACAAATGTAATTTTGCTGTTGTTACCAAATTCCTGGACTGTAAATTGCGTGAATCGCGTAAATCTAGACTCAGATGGGATTTAGTCCCAATCTTTAGCTGATTCGTACAATCAGTAATTCATAATCCATTGTTCTACATTTCAGAAGTGTGAGATTCCAAACAAATTAACTTGTTGATTCTAAAGAAACAACAACAAACATATCAAACATAATATATAGCTGTGTAACCATCTGAAACTATCACAAAGAAATAGTTCTGCCATCACTGGACAGGTCCACCTACATTCTTACATCAGAATAAACTGGTTCAACTGCAAGGTACAAATAGCAAAGCTTTTGGATTTCAGCCTCAGTCTTACCTCATACACAGAACATTTCACACAGTATTTTTGTGTCCGGCATCTTTCACGGTAAGAAGAACAAATAGGTTTTATAGTAAAAAATTAAGAGGATTTATTTTTGTTATAGGTTGCCTTTTACAGTTGGAGATTAAACTGTTGACTGCAAGAAAAGTTTTCCAGTTTCATCCTAAATCATTTCTAAGAAGTTAATTTGACTTTGTGCCTTATCCTGTTGTCGAAAAGTCTCAAAACACTCCATAGGATTTACTGAGACTGAACGTATTTGTAGGCTAATTTGTCTGTGAACATGGGAAAGAAATTTTAAACAAATTTTCAAAGTGTATTGATCGGATACAGATAAGAATAGGTGAAAAGACCAAATCTTACCTGCTCGATCAATACATAAGTAAATAATACGTTTATTTAAATAATGCATTTAAATAATACATAAATTTAAGTTCACAGACAAATTTGCCACATATTGCAACGTGTTTTAAACTCAGTTGTACAAATTTACAGAAATGGCAAAATCAAACTGTATTTTAAACTTGCTGTGATGGCATTCAATCTGTTAGATGTTATCATGTGTATGGATTTGAGCTCATAGTCTGGCTAGCACTTTGGTGCTTTTGGAGGTTCTGACCTTCAGATGAGATGTTAAACCCAGGTCTTGTCTGCCTGTTCAGGTAGATGTTAAAAATCGCATGGCACTATTCAATAACAGAAGGAAGTTTCTCCTGACGTGAAAGACGCGATATTAAATGTAAAGATTATTATTCTTATACAGTTATAAGGACTCTGTTATAAAGACCACTTGAGCGAGGTACAGTCCCAGAGAAACTGAACTCCAGAGGTAAAAGGACAATAATGAAGTGTAAAAGTAGGAGACTCCTCACAAATCCAAGGAGTCAAACACATTCCAAGCTTCTTAGATTCCAAGCTACTGTGAAATAACAAACTGGTGTTTGCTTCGCTTTAGGTTGACTAGCAATGAATTGGGATCTCCTCCATTCCCTGCTGAGCGGGGTGAACAAGTATTCTACGTCCCTGGGGAAAGTGTGGCTTTCGGTCATCTTTCTCTTCCGTCTCCTGGTCTTGGTAGTGGCGGCCGAGAGCGTGTGGGGAGACGAGCAGAGTGACTTTATTTGCAACACGCAGCAGCCCGGTTGCAGGAACGTGTGCTATGACCGCTTCTTCCCCATCTCCCAAATCAGGCTGTGGGTCTTCCAGCTCCTGTCCGTGTCTGCTCCGTCTTTCCTCATCGGCATGCACATTGCCCAGAGGAGGAAAAGGGGGAAGGACAACATCAAGATCTTTGACGAGAACAAACAGCACAAAATAAAAATCGACCGTGCCCTTCTCAGGACCTACTTGATGAGTATTGTCTTCAAAATATTATTCGAAGTTGGCTTCATGTACTTGTTCTATTGGCTCTACGAGGGTTATAGGATGCTCAGGTTGGTGAAATGCACAGAGTATCCCTGTCCTAACATCGTTGACTGCTTCATTTCCAGGCCAACTGAGAAGACAATCTTTACTGTTTTCATGCTATCAGCTTCTGGTGTGTGCGTCGTGCTCAATGTGGCCGAACTGTGCTACTTGGTCATAAAGTACTGCATCATGCAATGGAAGCAGAACTGGATATCGATAGTGCAAACCAATGAACAAGCTAATATAAGCCAGGCTGACAGCAATGGTTCAAAGCTTGATGATGACCTACATTGCCGCATACATCTTAAAACCGAGACATGAGTTTGTGTGTATGTGTGCGGTGTGTATGCTATACATATAAATAATAATAATCCCTCCAAAACCAAAAACAATAATAAATTGGTCATTTTCAATCTACGACTGTTTGTGGGACATTGCTGTGCGCAATTGGCTGCCGCGTTCGCCCACAAATATACAGTCAATTCACTTTACAATGTGTTCTATGAAGCGCTTTGGGACGTCCTACCGACGTGAAAAGCGCTATATCAAATGCAAGGATTACTATTATTATTATTAAATGATTTGGATTCAGGTATAAAAGCTGTAGTATCAAAATTTGCAGATGACGTCAATAGATGATTAGCAGAATCTGCGGATAGATGTCAAATAACGTGGGGAAAATGTGAAGTCATTCACTTCGGCAGGAAAACTAAAGAAGGCATTGCGACGTGGAGACCTGTAGCTCAGTGGTTAGAGCACTCGCTTTGCAAGCGAGAGACCCGAGTTCATTTCCAGGCAGAGGGCGAAACCTTGGGCAAGTGTCCTTACTCCACACAGAGCCTAATAATAATAATCCCTCCAAAACCCCCCCAAAAATAATAAAAATTGGTCATTTTCAATCTACGACTGTTTGTGGGACATTGCTGTGCGCAATTGGCTGCCGCGTTCGCCCACAAATATACAGTCAATTCACTTTACAGTGTGTTCTGTGAAGCGCTTTGGGACGTCCTCCCGACGTGAAAAGCGCTATATCAAATGCAAGGATTATTATTATTATTATTATTATTATGAGCGCCGTTAGTTTAAATGGAAAGGCAATGGCTAGCTGGCACCACCCAATGTCTGCGCGCGGTTTAGGTTTGGTTACTTGTTTCTCCTTCAAGTCGAGTCACTGCTGTAACTGTTAACAATTTGTTTATCGATGTGTCATAGGTTTTGGGTTATAGGTACATAGGAACAGGAGTAGGTCATTCAGCCCTTCAAGTCCATTCCGCCATTCTATTATATCATAACTGACCTGTACCTGACTCGTGTGGAGTCCTGTCGCTCAGTGGTTAGAGCACTCGCTTTGCAAGTGAGAGACCTGAGTTCAATTCCCGGCAGAGGGCGAAACCTTGGGCAAGTTTCCTTACTCCACACAGAGCCCTAATAATAATCCCTCCAAAACAAAACAATAATAAATTGGTCATTTTCAATCCACGACTGTTTGTGGGACATTGCTGTGTGCAATTGGCTGCATTTACAGTTATCTCCCTCTTGTGGGTTATACAGCTCAATCATGGATAGAACAGGTTCTGCCTCAATGACCCTCATTTCGCCCACAAATATACGGTCAATTCACTTTACAGTCTATTCTGTGAAGCGCTTTGGGACGTCGAGAAGACGTGAAAAGTGCTATATCAAATACAAGGATTATTATTATTATTTCCTCAACTCTAAATACCCGCCTTTGCCCCATATCCCTTGATATCCTGACCTAATAAAAATCGATTCACAAAAGCAGTCTTGAAAATTTTAAAAGATCCAGTATCCACAGCCTTTTTTGGGGGAAGAGAGTTTCAGATTTCAACAACATTATGTTTAGCACTCAGACTTCTTTTTTTAAAAAAAGTAAATAAAAGTTTTTGGGTATTAGAGAAAATAGGTTTCAAAAAACAAACTTAATGGTGGCTCACTAGTTTTAGTAATGAATTTTCCTGTTATAATCATATGGTAGCTGAGTAACCTACTGGTCCTAGATGTTGATTCTCTATAAATGACTAACTGGTTTAGTAACTAATTCATTAAATGGATTTAGCAAGACAAATCAGATGAATAATAACAATCCTTGCATTTGATATAGAGCTTTTCACATCTTCTCGATGTCTCAAAGCGCTTCACAGAATAGACTGTAAAGTGAATTGACTCTATATTTGTGGGCGAAACGAGGGTCAATGAGGGTCATTGAGGCAGAACATGTTCTATCCATGATTCAGCTGTATAACCCACAAGAGGGAGATTACTGTAAATGCAGTCGAAGAGATATAGGTGACCTCCTGATGTGAAAGGTGCTAAATTAATGTAAATTGTTGCAGATTTATAGACAGAAAATATCACCTCTAGGGATATTGATTCCATGGGTACAAACTAGAGCACTGTGCTTACTAAGTCTTACTTTGGCTCATTTGTTCGAAATAAAGGAAAGACTTGTTTTTATGATAACAGATTTATTTGTTTGTATTTTGAATTTGTAAATGAAAAGTCTAAAATTGTTGGTTCTGATAACTCCATTATTCAGTTTTAACCACTGAACCCAGAGGTTATATAACCTCTCAGATTATACAAAATATAGTGTTTCAAAGTCTTTATCAACATCAGAAAATATAGCATAAATAACACAGCTGAGAGTGCCTTGCATTTCCTAAATTATTTTTATTAGGAGGTTCATTGTGAGGCTGGTTTCATTGCAGTTACATTCGACGGCTTTTCCTGATCATGGTGGCCTTTCCTGCAGTAAGTTTCTGTTAAAAAAGGTTAAGCACAAAGTGGTTTCAGTGCCATGCACATTGCCATTCCAATTTACAACAGATACAAGCCTGCCCTGAGCACGAAGGTGACGGTACAGCCAGTCTGGCTCATTGACCTGGAAGGGCAGACCAGTCACTGGGCGCAGGCAGGGAATCAACCCACTCAGCTCCTGCTAATCCAGCAGGTCAAAGCCCTAACGAGTAGCGTGATCCTTGCTGGACGAGCAGCGGGAAAAGTTGTATTTGTGACACTTAAGTCCTTCACTGACATTGGAAAGTGGCTTATTATCTGCATTGATCAAGAGGACTTTTCAGCCACTCTATTGTCTTCTACTCACTTCAATCATTTCATTTCCCTGGACCTCCTGAATGTGGGTGAAGCTTTTCAATTTGCACACAAGCTTCCCGTCCTCCAGTTGAACAGTGCACTGAATGAAAGGAAAGCTCATCAAAGAAATCTAGTCATACATACAATATATATTTAAACGTGAGGACAGTCAATGGATGGCGAGCATGTGGAACAACTGAGGTGTGTAGGGGAGGGAGCAGCAGCAACATGTGTTACCTAGAGTAGTAATGGCATAGAAACAGGCCATTCGGCCCAACGGAATAAAACTCGCAGTCGCAACACTGTACACAGTATATCCTGTGAAGTGCTTTGGGACATCCTCCCAACGTGAAAGGCGCTATCCCAATGTAAGGATTATTATGATTGATACTATGTTAGCTGTGTACTTGGCTGACTCTAAATTCCATTTTCCAGTCTAAAAATGCGCCAAATGTCCTCGGTCTTCCTACCAGTTAAATTGGTTTGCCATAGTCCGGTGCATTTGTTCTGATTTAAGCTTGTTTGCCACACAGAGCATTATGGAAAATATCGCATGGCAACTCAACAGGGGAATAGGGTGGGGTGGGGGCTTAGGTGCAGCATAAACACTGGCACGGACGAGTTGGGATGGTGGGTTGTGTTTCTGTGGCCTTAGGGGATAAATAAAGAGGGCAACACGTACCTTCAGTTTTTTACCATCCATGGAGGTGATTTCCGCCTCTTTCCCCACGGTGAACTCATTTGTCACTGTCTGCTGTGAGGTTTTGACTACGATGACAAAGTGTTCTCCAGTTTGTTTGATGTCAATGACTGGTTTGATGTCCTTCCCAATCTTAATTACTTCTTCTGGAAGGGCTGTAAGATTTAGCATCAAGTCAATGCTGCAGACATTGGTTAATAGTGGAGTCGTACAATGTTTTGGTTGGAGCGCTCCCCTCACAAGTGAGAGGACCCAAGTTTGATTCCCAGGCTTACTCCACATGCCTCTTTTTACCTAGCAATTATATAATAATAATAATAATCCTTGCATTTGATAATAAGTAGGAACCCGGTTGTTAGTCGATTGGAAGATCACTTTTTGGGGATAATAATCCATTCAAAAAAATAAAGTAAAACAAAATAATTTGGTCACTCAATCCACGACTATTTATGGGACACTGTTCGCAATTCACTGTCACATTTCTTGCACAAAATATAGTCAATTCACTTTACAGTATATCCTGTGAAGTGCTTTGAGCTATCTCAATGATGTGATAGGGCACTGTATCAAATGAAGAAACAACTTACAGAGAGCTCTTAGAAAATCCTCAATGTTCTCCTGTGAATAGACTTGCCATGTCCCAGAGAATGCCATCATTCCAGTTGTGAGCTTCTACCTTGTTGAGATACTTGGCAAGGGAAAGTGATGGAAAGATCTTACCTAGCATTTATACCTAACGGTGAATCAGATAAATTTAGATATGCTACTAAATTAGCTTTGCAGCTTGTCAGAAGGTTTGAGTCTAATCATTAACTTCAAGGGGATCAATGTCAGAAAGTCTCCACTGTACAAACATCCAAAGTTTATTCTTAATGCCAATAACCCAACATTTACCACAACCTGCTCATAACATGTAATGGCCTTTTTTCCCCAAGGTCAATGTCCTTCTACAGCAACGGAATAATACAAATTGGCTGAGTAGTGCTTAATGGATTTTTTTAATATGTAGACCGAAATATGACTTTCTCTAATCCTTTACAAGTCTCTACAGCCAACCGAGCCAACACAATCCATGTTTTGCCATCTTTATGTAATTTATTGCCAAGTTCTGCTAATGGACCCTCATCACAAACCAACTCAATGGGTAAAGTTGGAAAGTCCTGAAATTGATTGGAAACTCATATGTTGGTTGAACTTTTGTGAACTGACACTGACACATTATCTTCACAAAGAGATTGTTTGGTTCCAGTATGTTTTGTGGGGCAGAAAGGGGAGAAATAGGTTTTGATTGATAGCTTTTTTAAAGACGTTTGGGACATAACCTAATCAAGATTGCTCAAATTCTAACCACACCCAGTAAACATTTTCAGAACAATCTTTTGTGATGTTGGGAGCCTTAAGTTTAGGGCCATAAGTTCATTGCCATTATTCTAACTTGGCTCTCGTTCTATCAGTTTATCTACATTCAATGTAGACAAATGTGTTTGAAAGGGCATCATCATTAGTTAAAAACATTGACATTTCATTTCACTATACCTAGAAACAGAGATATGTCACAGTGCAATAACAGCAATTCTCTGTGTTAAAATAATAAATAAGAATAATCCTTGCATTTGATGTAGCGCTTTTCACGTCTTTTAAACATCGGTTCACAGAATATACCGTGAAATGAATTGACTGTATATTTGTGGGCGAAAAGCGGCAAACAATTGTGCACAACAGTGTCCCACAAACAGCTGTCGATTGAGTGACCAAATTATTATTTTATTTATTTTTCTTGAGAGATTATCAGGCATGTGAAGTTTGGAAACTTGCCCAAGATTTTGCACTGCTGGGAATTGAACCCAGGTCTCTGAACAGACATGAAACTGGAGGATTAATTTATCTGGAGGATCTTTTTGGGTCGCGTGAAACTCCTTTCTCTTTTCGAATAGCTCATTGGGATCTTTAACCTCCATCCGAATAAGCACAGACTGCGTTTTGCTTCATCCGAAGGGTAGCACCGGAGAGCTCCCGCGGAACTGCAATGAAGATTTGAACTCTAGTCTGTGATGCAGCTTGAATCTATGACCTTCTTGACCCAGAGGAGAGAAGGTTATCCACTAAGCCAAATTGTGGATCTACTAGTTGGATATAGTGTATATTCAGGTCAGGGGAGTGTTAATACGTATTTAGTTGGGTAGTTTATCAATATGGATATTTAGTTATGAATATTAATTCACCAAATATAGCCATTTGTATAGGTGTATCAGATTAATGTATTTAATGAACTGACAAAGCATTCTCTGCTTGTACTTGGCTCTTCGCTGGCTAAAGCAAACCGTGAACTGTCTAGTCTGGAAGTCAAGTTTGAGCATCTCTATTTGCTTAACCTGATCTGCGCCGCAGGTCATCGAAGTCGGTGAATTAGAGTGTTGAAAGAAATGGGGCCACGTTCATCTGTTGACGAAGCGACTGAAAGATAAGGAAAGGTGGGATGTTCCGCACAGCAAAACACAATTGCCCTGGACACTACCAATGTGAACTGATCAGTTACCCAAACCAGTTGGACTTCTCAGACTGCTTTATTGTACAGCGTACAATCACACACTTGAAATTTAAGTCGTCATTCTGACCTGGTTATCTCCAAATTCTCTCATTTCATACTCACTCTCCATCATTCCCATTCTTTACTGTAAATGGCTTGACGTTGCTTTTGCTTCATGTAATTTGTGGTTTATTGTAGATTCATGATAAAACTTGGTGTTTTCTACACTTCAGTGCGACTTCTGTATAATTTATAATCATTCCTGTGTTAAAACAACATGTTGTTTCTGTGATCTCTGCGTGCGTGTCTTAATGCTGGAATGTGTCTGTTTCAAAACATTCTTCCATTCCTGTGGGCTGCGATTATCTTTAGTTCTTTCTACCACACCTTGGATGCATTGAGTCTGTCCTTTCCTTTCAAAAAGCTCTTTGTACACTGTAGTATAATTACCAACCATGCCGCCTTCACCCTTATTTCAAAGGCATTTATCCTTTAAGAATCAATCAGTCCTGCCTGACCCACAGTCTCACTGTGAGAAGATGACATGAATCAGCAAAACTGCTCACGCGAAAGCCAATTTTACGTTGGGCAAATGCTTTCTAGATAAACAGGTCCTTGTTACGTCCATCTCCATTATCTCTTAACACCTTATAGCACAGAATTCATTTCTATTATGGAATATTGCTATTCCACCTTTGAGTCTCACCTCAGTCTAAATCCCCAGCTACTTCTCAGGCCGTTGCCCGGACGTACCGTGACACTGGATTTAGCAGAAGCAGCCAGAAACCTTTGGTAGAACTGTTGTGGTTGCGTACGGGGTAGGTTGTTGACCTCAAAGATCTGAGTTACATCAAGCAGCTTATCAGTAAACCTTTGCTTCAAGGTTATCTTTATTCTCAGTATAATTTTTTTTAGATGTAATATATGGCAACATACTGCCTATTTAAGGCAAAGCCCTGTATGACTGATCCCTTAAAGCATTAGGGGAAATAATTCCTGTTGTGGCCTTGAAATTAAAGACCTGGTAATATTCTGTAAAGCTCTATTTATTAATCCCGTCTCCCAAATATCCTGGCACGTCAACTAATTACATAAAATGCTGGTCATTCATGTGGATTTATATAACAGTACAATTATGAATACATTTTAGCATTACAGTAGAAGTTTTTTTTTGATCGAATTGCTGCATTAAATATTATTTTTTGTACATATTACATTGCACCATAGATTGAATCAAATTTGTTAACTGCAGAGTATAATGATATTAGCAGAAAAAAAACCCTCTCTAACTCTCCCCTGGCTCTAAGTGAACATTATCTAATGCTATCTCTGTGTCAGGTTGGTTTGTTCAGCAATGTCATTGTGCTGATGGCTTGGAGGTCACTGATCTTAACTGAGGAGACCTAATACTCTCCGGAATTAGGTGAGTAGGGAACAACCCTCTAAGCAGAGAGAGAGTGCATTCCATTCCACACAGAAATATACACGTGCAGGCCACACACCTAAAACTCTCAGTCTGGTTTCGATACTCTTAAGAATACTGGTGGGTTTCAGTCACTCGTCCTGACAAAAACAAAACCCTAAGGAAGAAGATCGTCTCAGCCAAAACAAAACATAAAAACTGCGCTGAAAACCGCAAGCAATGCACCAAACAAAACAACCCAACATTCAAAAAATGAGTTACAGGATATAATCCTTTCTGACTTTATTCACATCATGTAAAATAGAGCACAAACAAATGTCTGCACATCAATGATTGGAAACTCAATGGATGTGTTACATGAGCAACAGCGTTCATAAAAAGGAAACGCAAAATACTGCAGATGCTGGAAATCTGAAAACAAAAGCAGAAAGTGGCTGGGAACACTCAGCGGGTCAGGCAGCACCTATGGAGAAAGGAAAGTGTGTCAAAGTTTCGTGTCCATTGTTTGGGACACAGAGATAGCATTAGGTAATGCTCACTGACAGACGGGGAGAGTTAGAGAGGGCTTTTATTTCGCTAATATCATTATACTCTGCGGTTAACAAATTTGATTCAGTTCTGACCGAGGGTCGTGGACCCGAAACTTTGACTCACTTTCCTTTCTCCATAGATGCTGCCTGACCTGCTGAGTGTTCCCAGCGACTTCTGGTTTTATTTTCATAAAAAGGAGTCTGACTGTAATCCCCTCTGTTAGGGCTCATCCACTCCATGATACCAGTGGAGTTGTTCTGCATGGAAAACATTAGGGAAGGATCACAGGTACTAAAACCTATTGCTGTAATGACTTAGTGGGAGTAAAAGAAAGATACCTACTATCTGATTGCACTGATATCACTAACAGGAGGCAATGTTGTTCAAAGGAATCCCGTAGTTCAACCTATTAATGCTCACTTCAATGGCCCCAAAATAAGGAGTCCTGCAACTTGCAATATTTAGAGAATAATTTATTTCCCCCCGAAAAAGTATAAGTACCTATTGCTGGTTTGATTATTTATCATTTATACTTTCCCCTCACAGGTCGAAGTTTCCCTTCAGTCTCAGGCAAACACAGCTAATTTCTATCAAAACCCAAAGAATCCCGGAACTAAAGTTATCCCTAAAGCAGATCCACTCAAAAAAGGGCGACGTGATCAAAGACGCTTATTAATTCCAGTATAGTCCTAAATTTTTTTAATCACTGTATTGTTTTCACCTCAAGTAGTCTGACAAAAAAAACTAAATGATATGGTTTTGTGCCAATGAAAGGATGAACGTTTTATCCATAATAATCTTTGCATTTGATATAGCGCCTTATCACGTCGTTGAGACGTCTCAAAACCTTGGTGCAATAGTGTTGCAATCCAGAGCGCTTTTCAATAATCTGTCTCGGCTGGTATTCCTTCCTTTGGCTTTTCATCGTGTTTATACACACTCAGAGTAACGTTAGCTGTGTCAGACCCATGTTTGTTCCTGACAAACAAGCTGTATCTCCCCGAGTCTTTGCATGTGACGGTTTGGATGGTTAGAGTAACTGTCATCTTCTGAAGCGTTATCTGATAGCGCTCCCCAGTGACGATTTCTCTGTCATTTTTCATCCAGAACACCTCTGGGACGGGATCTCCAGATATAAGGCAAGTCATAGTAAGAGTCTGTTGAAGACAACAAAATACAATATAATTTACATCGTACCTTTCACACCTAGACGATGGCTCGGAGTGTTTATACCACCATACCAATATCACCTTATCACCTAAATATCACCTTACTATTAACCGCCTGCTATACAATGACATTATCTCTGTTTCATTTGTGAATTTCTCTGTTTAATGTCTTTTAATGGCATCTGCATTTTATATCTTTCACATTTATTTCTCTTAACTCGTATTATTTGGGGGTGAATTAGATAACCGACCAATGCAAAATGTCCCACGAAAGTTTGCCCTCTGGCGATCAAAAGATGGAGATATTTTGTGGGGTCTAATTTTCAGTATTTTCTTAATAAGGAACCCAGAGATACATTACACCAGCCTAAGGGAACTCCACTTGATATGCTTTACTTCTCTTTGACCGTGCCTTCAGCTCCCCTCTCGACTCTCTTCCTCCTCCTCGCTCCCTCCCTTCCCTCCCCTCACCCTGACCATTTCCCCCCTCCTCTCTCCCTCCCTTCCCTCCCCTCACCCTGACCATTTCCCCCCTGCTCGGGTCATGACCCAACTGTGCAGCGCCTTGGGACGTCCTCCTGACGTGAAAGGCGCTCTATAAATGGAATCTTGTTGTTGTTGTTGTTGTTCTGGAGTGGAGTGAAGCTCCAGGGAAATTATCATTTATTATTTATACATGATTTTATGTTCAGCAAATTCGATCACACTATTTGGAGATCCTACCTTGTCTTCCATAATGGCAACCACATCTGGTAGACCCTCAACTACCCTGGCTTTGTCTGGGGAGAAAAAGAATAAATATAAATAAGTTGCAGAAGCTGAGTCTGACGAGTGAGACCCAGTGAACACAAACTCTTTGTGCATTGACTTCAATCCATAACTGTTTGTGGGACACTGCTGTGCGCAATTGGCTGCCGAGTTTCGCCCACAAAATATCCGGTCAATTCACTTTACAGTGTATCTTGGGAAGCGCTTTGAGACATCTCAAAGACGTGTTAAGGCGCTGTATAAAATGCAAGGATTATTATTATTAAAGCTCCAATACACAGATCCACACCTGCGGATCAACCTTTATTGTCAGAACAAAGGCAAACTCAACATGTAAGTACATTTATAGGTTAAGTGCCTTATGACTGCAGAGAACAACTTCTATAGATTTGCAAGGTGAATTGTGTTCCTCCTTAGGAGCTGACAAAAGAACATTCACTCATTTGATTTTCACAAGAAACGTGGCGTCCAATTTGATATGACATTCATTTTGCTGTTAGACGACAAACCACCTGGGAATTGATTTTTCCCCACTTTCAAGAAACGGGTTTTGAGTTTGCAACGTTAAAAATTGATGTGGGATAGAGCTTTATTGTGCCATCTTTAACGTCCGCAAGAACAGGCAGTTAGGACCCCGGTTTAATGTCTCATCTGCAGGTTGGCACCTCCAACGATAGAGGGCTCTCCCACGACTGCACTGGAATGTCATCCCTGATTGTGAGCTCAAGTCCTGGGATGGAGCTTGAATCCCATAACCATCTACCAGCCGAGCCAAGCTGGCACTGAATAGATAAGTTCTTACAACAATACTATCAGACCGCTATTGTTCTAATGTTATCTTTCAAGTGAAGAGTCAACGACAGTGATGACAGTTTTGAATAACTTTGACATAACTTACTTTTGTCTGCAAATGCCGCTTGCCTGAAAACAAATCAAAACAGTGGTCAAGAAATGTATTTCTTTTTAACATTTAACACACACACTTTGATACCATAAGAAAAGTAATATAACCAAGGTGCTCGACAAAAGTATTATTCAGTAGTATAAAGTATTAAGAGTGCTTTATATTCTAAACACAAAGGAGGAAACAGACAGATGGAGAAGAAAAAAATACTTACTTCAGTCTTTGGCATTCGGTTAACGCATCATCAAACGCTGCAAAATTCCAACAAATTAAACTTCAAAATTTCATTTGGAACAATGATTTCATATCATGTGCTTTACATTTTTTACCTCTGACCGCTACCCTCCACCCCTCCTGATCCCAACCCGCTGCTCGGGTCCAAATGCTTGACTGTCCAGAGCCTTGGGAGCCTCCCGTCATGAAAGGCGTTATACAAATGTTATTTGTTGTTGTTGTTTGCAGTCAGCTATTTCAGACATATTTCCCCCAGTATGTACTGTATATAAAAGCACCCCTACCTTTTTCAGATAAATTGAGGGTTCGCTTATGTGTCTGTTTGCCATCAAACATTTCCAGGGTGTATTTGCCCCTGTCTGACTCAATTGGGTTCAAAATCTGCACCCAGACTTGGTCGATATTATCTCCGGGTTTTATCCTTTCTCCAGGTTCCAGAACTTTTTCTCTGAAAATACAAAAAGTTTGTTCCTCCATTAATAATCACTAAGGCACTTTGCCACCATAAATCAAATACAGTTTTTAGGCATCAATGCTGGAACAGGGGATGTGGATATGTGGAAAATGTGGCATTTTTTTTTGGCAATTGGCCTTAGGAGCCATCACTTCATACTTGTGCTGCAAGCCCCATTCTGTACATGTGGGAATCTTACTCTGAATGCCCATTAAAAAGGAAGTATCCCGAGTTGTGTGAAAGAATGATTTAAGGTCCTGTACATACTTGAGATACCAGGTTTTCTTCATATAGTCCATTTGGTATTTCATAAAGCAATAGAGCTTGATTCCCTCTACCGTACATTGCAGCTTTAATTCAGAAGCGGAAACACCTGAAGAACAAAGCCCACATAAGATATCACTGTATAAACTAGTGCAATAATACCGTGCAGATAATAATAAACCTTGTATTTGGTTCAGCGCCTTATCACGTCATTGAGAAGTCTCAAAGAACTTCACAGAATATACTGGAAATTGAATCGACTGTATATTTTGTGGGCGAAATGAAGATAAATTATAGCTTACAAACATTGATGAAACACATTGCCCAACAGGTTTTGCTGAGAGCAAATAAGTTGCATTAAAGAAACAAAACGTTAATCATCAAGGGTAATATAAGGGTCCTGGATACTATAACCATGACCATTTTGCTGACTGTTAAACTAATAATAATCCTCGCATTTGATATAGCGCCTTTCACGTCGGGAAGACATCTCAAAGTGCTTCAGAGAATCTTTACTGTAAATTGTGTTAGTGACTGTGTATTTTTTAGGCAAACGGCAATACAAATAAAATGATGACCGCAACTAGGAGAGGTGTGGAGGAATCCGTGCTAGCTGTTGGAGTCGATCATGAGGCAAATGGCTAAAAATAGTGAGCAGACAGCTACTTTTAGCTATGAGCGTGTGATTGTCAGGATGCTGAGGCTTTGGATTTGCTGCATCAGCTAAGCAGAAAATAACTCAGCATCCGTAAACTTCTGATCAGCATTACACTACACTGGCCAGTGCGTCTACAACTTTGCATCTAATTATTTCTTAATACAACCTGGATCTTTTCCACGTACCACTAATTCGGCAGATTTCATTCAAAACGTCATCAAATGCTGCAAAATAAAAAGCACGGACATGTTCAAAATGACACACTGCTTCCGGATTTCCTCTCAGTAGCACATTTTAGAATAGTTCATTACTGCATCACATTTATAACACCATATGATGCTTGTGTTATGACTATTGCAGCAGTTAATAAATGCTGTTTAAGTTCAATACCAGATGTATTAGAATAATAACAATCCTTGCATTTGATGTTGTCACATTGTCGGAACAGCTCAAAGTGCTTCATAGGATTAACTGTAAAGTATAGTGACTGTGTGTTTGCAGGCCAATGAGTTGTCCCAATTAGAGTATATATTTCAGAATCCAAAGAGCCGCCAAATCTGATTTAGTACCTTTATTAAGTAGCTCAAGCACGCTGGAATCTTCTCCTCTGTCATCGGCTACCACTGTTTTAAAGACTCCTGCGTTTTCCTTAGTAACCTGCGGGGATTATAAAGAAGTCCATATTCAGTAATAGGAGAAATAATCTGATGACACTGTCTACAGCTGCAGCCATACGGCTAAGCACGAGATTTATATAACATTACATGGAATCTGACAGCATGGAAACACGCCATTCGGCCCAACTAATCCGTGTCAGTGTTAATACATCACATGAAACACCACCCTCCTAATCACCTGTCCCACTCTCCTCTATCCCCTATTCCCTCATGTCGGCTGGTGTTGAATATTTGTAGTTCCTGGAAACAAAGATTCTACAGTAACTGTTAGCAAACGGTAATGATATCTCCATTGAGCATAATGTAGAGTAGAAGCTTTAAGATATCTATTGGATCACATCCAGAAATGAGTGGATATTCTAATAACAACCATATCCCTTATGTTTGATGCAGCATCTTATCACGTCATTGAAACATGTCAAAACTCTTCACAGGATTTTACTGCAGAGTGTAGTGACTGTGTATTTGTAGACAAACGCAGCCGCCGATTTGCACACAGCAATTTTCCACAAACCAAAATGACGTGAATGAACAATTTTTATCCGGGGGAATTGTCGGCCAGGACACTGGGGGAGAGACACTTCCTCCTATTTTGAATAGTCCCATAGGTGAATAGTGCTGTGGGATCTTTAACGTCTGCTTGGAACCTCAGTTTAATGTCTCACCCAAAGGACGTCACCTCTGATAACGCAGTACACCCCCAGCACTGCACTGGGGTGTCAGGGATTATCATTACCTGTGATATCTGTAGGGTGCTGATCCCAGTCTGGGGATTATAGATGATATCTGTAATCTCATGCCCATTTTTGTACCATTTAAGAATGGTTTCTTTCTTTGTATTTGTGACCTGTTAAATAAATACACCACAAAAGCCACGCTGATAATTTTGATCTTATATATTTCGGTGAAACTGAAACAAGTGCAAATGCAACTTGCATTCAAATTATTTTATTTGCTAAGTCTTACCTGACAGCTGAGAAGTAAATCACACTTGTCTGTGACTTCCCAGTGCAGTAACTTCTCAAAGTAAGGTCCTGAAAGTTTAATTGCATAAAAGTGTGAATATAAGTGCAATAAAACCGATGCTATTATTATTAATAATAATAATCCTTGCATTTGATATTATTAAATTAATTTGATAACTTCGTTGCACTGGAATGCATTTTATAGTCAGCTGATTCATATTTTCATGCAGTATTTTACACTTTCAGTTAATGTGTCTCTCAGACACTATAGATATAACTCTAACAGACACCTGGCTGGCCAAAAACATACATCAGTCCTGGAGGAAAAGAAAACATTCCAGTTTCCAAATGGGAAAACGTTCACAAATGCAAAGTATGAAGCAAATGGTGCCGTTTTTGTAAATTAGGCAAAAAAGGAAATGGGAATGAGATCGATATGGGAATGAAGTTCCCTCCTTTGGGATTCTTTAAGGAGAAATGGTTACATTATGACGGATTTCCCACTGCGCAAACTAAACTGCCGTTGTCATCAGAAGCAAATTATTAAAATGTGATGGGATCAGAAGTGAATTAAAAAAAAGTGGATTTAGCAAAGTTAGCTGTGTGCATGTTTAGAAGCTGGCGTTAAGCTGAGCTGCAGAACTACAAGCTTGATTCTAAAATGTTGCTTGGATTAAGTGAATATACTTATACTTGTTAGCAGACGTAGAGATAAATTGCATAACTGCAATCTCGATTATAAGGCGTTGTTCTAATTCAACTGAGCTGATTTGCAGAACTTCTAACAGGTGTCACAGGGGAGCCGATATAACACGAGACAACATGGTATGAGAAGATGTCACCATGGTCTGTTTTGCATCACATAGAGTTAAATTGGACGCAAGAGGAGGAATGAATGTGTTTTTGCAGCTGTCGTTTGTTGTGTTGCGAATTTATTGCTGTTGTCCAGTCTGGTAGTTTAATCAGAGCCAGCCCAAGGCTGATGTGACTAAACCAATTAGGTTCATGAGAAAGTTCTGACATGCACCGAGCAGGCTGAAGTGGGGAAACATGAAATGAAGAAGTATAGCTAAGTTACACTTCGGCAGTTCGAGTTGGCGTGAGATTGAGTAGATCAATGCTCCTCCAGGAGGGCAGAACTCTCGCCTGAGGTTCAGAGATCCAAGTAACATCAGAAGGAAAAAAGAGCAGACATAGACCAAACAGGATCACGGCTGCAAGAGATTCAACGGCTGCTATTATCAGCTTTCCCAAGACAAGAGAGTTTTATCTGCCGCCTATGAACTTTGGGAATAATAATGAGAATCCTTGCATTTGATATGTCGGCTTATCGCGTCATTGAGACGTCTCAAAGTGCTTCACAGAATACAGTGTCAAGTCAAGTGACTTGACTGTACATTTTGGCGGGAGGACGTCCCAAAGCACTGAGCAGTCAGGGTCGGGGCCCGAGCATGTTCGAACCCAACACTGCCTCACCACCGAAAGATACAGTACTTAACTGGACACATGAAACTGTAAACTAGTGACTAAGCTACTGCTCATTGACTTGATGTATAGGTCCTTCACCTGGGATGTAACCAACACAGTTATGTTAGGGTCCTTTTGCACTGACTGGGTTACCTTGTTTTCTCTTCCAATCTCTCCTTTGTGAATCGCATTGCGTTAGAATGGCTCGAAACTCTGAAAAAGAAAGTCAAAGATCTTAACATACTTGAGGGTTAAACTCCCATTCCCGTTATGTGAATGACCTCTTTATGATAAAACGTGGTGAGAGAGTTGCTATTTCATACAGTTAATTCAAACCTAGTTCTGGTCCCTGCTGATGGAGGGATTAAGTGATTTAATCAAAACTTACTTTCATCTATCAGCACGAGTGTAAACTGCCCCTTTGCTCTTCCGTCCTGGAGCTGGGCAGTATAGGAGCCTTGATCCTCTTCAGCAAAGTTTTGGATGATCATTTCAATAAGGCCACTGGCTTTGTCAAAATTGATCTTGTGAGTCTGTGCAGAAAAGGATTAAGTAAATCTCTTGTAAGGTTCTTTGAATTTTAACCTTCTTAGTTTCCATCTTTATTGTGGTCATTCTTCTCTCAAATTCAACAACAAATTTACATTTGTATAGGGCCTTTCACATCGGGAGGACATCCCAAGAAGCTGGACTGTCAAGGATTTGGACCCGAGCTGGGGGTTGGGATGAGGAGATTCTTTTAAGAAATAATGTCTAGGTCTATAATATATATATATAATATAGTTTGGGACATGACATGTCATGCGACTGCCAGGATGGTAGAAGGCAAACTTGGTCTTGTTTCACCAGCAAATTCATATGTTCATGTGTTCTTAATCTGGGAGACTATGATGTAATCGCAAACGAAGAAACAAACGCTGAATTTTACCGGCGTGCTCGAGACTTGCTTCTCATTAAAGATGAATCGTAGCTGAGCAGCAGGAGATAGATTCTGGGTTTGTAGCCAGAGTCGGACTGTACCCTTTTCCAGGAACTCCACAGCCCAGTCTGACTTCAAAGCAATTGCTGAAAAGAAAGCAACCCAATGTCACACCTTTCACAGGGAGTAGAATAACTTTTGTTTCTAGTTTACAAAACGCACAATCGCACACTTTACAGTAAATCCCCTGAAGCGCTTTGAGACATCCTCTCGATATGAAAGGTGCTGTCTCAAATGCTCAACGGACTATTGTTATAAGTGCCATCAGACAGTATGTCCATCATCCCAGATGGCTCAGTTGGGTAAGCAACAGATATAAGATCAGAAGATCTTGGGTTTCAATCGTTTTATCACTCGACTCGTTCAATGGCAGTAAAAATATAAAAATTGTCTAAAATACTCTGTGGAGGGGGGTGGGGGAAGGAGGGCAAAGAGAATTGATATCCAGACATACATATAATGTGTTAATTGTATCGTCTGACTTGCTAGGATCAGATTGTGACATTCGAATCGCCATTCAAAGCGTAGCAAATTTTGAATTCAGTCTTGACTGTGAAGTCGGTTTTCTGCAGGACTTCAACTGGCAGAAAAACAGCTTTGGGCTTAAGACTGTCATTAAGAATTTGTTCTGGATCTTCTGAACTAGTCAAAGAGCAGAACAACGTGGGGAACATTTGGGGAATGGAATACCAGCAACAATACTAAATCCTCCAAAGTTAAGCTCAGTCTGGGGTCAGGTGTTCCTTGCATTAACATGCTCCAATTCCTCCAGTGCCTGATGTCACCCAGTCACATAAAGCCAAGCCAACGCACTCAGGAAACACTTGTCATGGTAATCAGCATCCTTTCCGGATTCAATGCAGACTCAGATACAAATTACTTCTAAAGGGTTTGTTTTAAAAGCGTGTTTTATTTCCTGTCTAAAGATGTGTTTAAGATATTTCCATCTCATCTCCAACCTCCCCTTCCTGTCAAATTCTTAAGGAAATCCTTAGCCCTGAAGGCGTTTTTCTGTAAGTTTCTGTAAGTTAAAAAACTACAGGAATCAGACTTCAAAGTTAAGACTGGACTCAGAATTTGCCCTGAAATGCGACAGAGGTTAAACCTGGACCCGGGTGAAATTTTTCTCCACTGTAATTGGGAAAAGCGAAAAATAATCATGTGGCGGCTACTATTAATCTAATAATAATCCTTGTATTTGATATAATGCCTTATCACGTTGTCAGGGATGTCTCAAAGGGCTGACAGATTGACAGCAAGATAGTAAGCAGCCAGGCATTCCAAACATCTGAAACTCAATAACGAAACTCATATTGTATTAGCTTTTGGTTAATAGCCTAGTGTGGATTTTATCTTCACGTCCCAGAGTGAACCCAGCTAACTGAAGAGGGTGTGAAGCTAATTGCCATGGTTTTGATCATTACACTACATTGTCTGCATACACCAGCCACCAATTGCATTTTAACATATTGCATAACGGAGTTTAACATGTGGCAATCTCTAACAGGATTCCTTAACAAGGATCCAAGTAGGGATTCCTACTGAGAACACACCACACACATCATGCCAACCCATCCTTGATTGTGCCACAACATACTGTGTACCCAATGTACCATCTGGTTCCAGATTAAGGAATCCCAATAGAAATTGTTACATACAGATGCCAATATATCATCCAATAACAGAAGAAAAACAAAACAAACAAACAACTTACTGGGATTTCTTATCTCATAGCTCAGGTCCTTCAGTCTCTGCAGCTCTGAAAAGGGAAGTTCCAGAGTTTAGTCACTCGGATTTAAGCAAGCGAAAGGCAAAAACTACTGTGGTTTCTGTTTGATCCTGACGACACATTTTACCTTCTTGTGTTAACGCGTAGCTTGAAGATGCTCCACCAGTGTTTGTCGCCTCCACCGAGTAAGTGCCCAGATCATCTTCTGAGGGGTCGGTAAAGATAAGTTTTGATCTGAAAAATTCAAGTGGTTTTCAGTGTTGAGGTTAGATTAGGATGTCAACCTGGCTCAGTTGGTAGCACTCTCTCCCCTGATTCAGAAGGTCGTGGGTTCAAGCCCCATGGTGGGACTTTCAGCTCAGACACACACACACACTCCAGTGCATTGCTGGGGAAGCATTGCACTGTCAGAGGCGATGTCCTTCAGATCAGAAGTTTAACCGAGGTTCCGTCTGCCTGTTCAGATAGACGTTAAAAAATTCCACGGCACAAAGAGAAGGGATTTTCTCTCTCCCGGTGCCCTGACCAACAAAATCCCCCCAAATAAAATTGGTCACTCACTTCATGTCTGTTTTGGGGATTATGCTTTGTGGAAGATTGGCTCTTGTGTTCATCTACAAAATGCACAGTCACTCCACAGTACATATACGTTGTGTCCATCTACGTTGTTGGGGTGAATGGGGTAAAGTGTGCAGCGTGTGGTAATTGTAGTGAGTGACGAAACGCTGTAAATTTCAGCTCGGTTTTCAGTTCCAAAGCTTTTCGCCCACGAAAAACACAGTCAATTCACTTTACAGTTTATCCTGTGAAGCGCTCTGAGACGGCTCAACAACATGATAAGGCGCTGTGTCAAATGCGAGGATTATCATTATCATCATCATTATTATTTTAAGATCAAAGGTTCTAGAATGCCTTTGCTTCTTACGTGTTTCCTTTTGTTTCCATCTGGGCTCTCTCGGGGCTGGTGATCTCCTGGTAGGATTTAGACCAGATAAACCTTGAGCCATCGGAAAACTCTGGGCACTGGAAAGCCAGAAAAATATTACCTTCATCATCCACCCCAGCCTCTACGTCTGTGGTGCCTGTAAAAGGAGAGAAAAACGGCCTTAAATCTTGTTTATTCGTGGAGCTGAAATACAGCAAGGGATTGTGTTCCTGCATATAAATAATAATAAATAATCCTTGCATTTGTTATAGCACCATATCAAGTTGTTGAGATGTCTCAAAGCGCTTTACAGAATATATTGTGAAGGGAAATGTCTGTGTATCTTGTGGGCGAAACACATGCAAGTATATTATGCTTGCATTTGATACAGTCTTTCACGTCAGGAGGATGACTCAAAGCACTTCACAGTCGAGTGTAGTGACTGAGTATTTTGTAGGCAAATGTAAGCCAGAGATGCGAACGTATTTGGAAACAGTAGCATACCTCGTCTGGTTTCGGCGATAACGGGATCCGAGGGCAGTGATGGCTGACCCGCTCCAGCGGAGTTTATTGCAAACACACGGAACATATAGCTTCTGCCGCCTTTCAAATCGGAAACCTATCAACGGGATTGAACTGTTAGAACCCAGTGCAACATACAGGATCGGTCACACTGCAGCTCTGTGTAACTCGTGGTAAATGGATCTTTAGAGATCCCAACAGCTTGTTTTTTAACCTCCCCTCTCCCTCAAAAACACCCCACCCTCTCCCCCTAACCCTCAGAGGTTAGTTACAGCAAGAATATGAGCACAAAGCAATGCTCGTCCCATTGGTCATTTTCCCCTCCTTCATCCCCCACTTATCCTCCACCCTTCGCTGATCCCAACCAGCAGCTCGGGTGTAAACCTTCATTGTCCGGCCCCTTGGGATGCATGAAAAGTGTTATATAAATGCAATTTGTTATTGTTGTCAACCATCAAGTGTGCATTGGATAATATTGGATTAAGCCGTAACATGGCCTGTGTTTTTTCCGCCCATCTGAATAGTCCTGGACGCTGTTTGCCAACCTTGAAGTGCGTGTTAAGTGTAGGCTCCTCGTTCAAAGTCATCCATTCGTCTGATCCAATTTCGCAGACGTCAACAAAATAGCCGGTTACAGGGCTCTGCCCGGTGTAAAGTGGTGGCTGCCACAGAACCACCAGCGAGCTCCGGCGGACTTCAGTGAAGGTCACGTCAAACGGAGGCCCTGCAGGAAGGTACAGATATTCACCACTTACTTTTGACTTTGTAACACAGGCTGACATCCCCAAATCTAGGAAGCAGAAGTCAAGCAGAGAACAAGATGCTACAGAAGGCAAGCTCCAATTGCTAATGGTCAGTCGGGGTTCACATAGTAGACCTCACACAAGTCGTATCAGTTGGGACCAAACATTTAACACAATGTATGTTTCACCCCCAAAATATACAGTCAATTCTATTTAACAGTACATTCTGTGAAGCGCTTTGAGATGTCTAGAAGGCATTAAATCAAATGCAAGTATTATTATTATAATAATAATTTATGCCAAATATGAGTTATGTCAAACTTGCATAGAAAATAAACTCTTGAACGGGACAAGGCAGATGTAAGACTTTGGTGATTATATGATTTACACAGATCAGACTTATGCTAGTTTTACTGTAGCGCTTTGTGTGTGCGTTTTATCAGTGATGTAAATCCACTGACGTGCCACTAAAATATCATTATTATTGCTTTATTATGGGGGGAATAAAGCATTCGTAAGTTACCGTGTAAAAGTAACTAAATGTGTGAAGTGTCTTGAGACTTGTGTGCTGTCATTGTTTTAATGATATTAGGACAAGTTTGGAGAGATGACAAACTCACCAGGTTGTGCCATGGTCCATTCCTCACATTTAAATTGATCGCTGGTTTCTGAAAAGGCTCCCACACCAGCCCAGTTCATGGCAAAGGCACGGAACTCGTAGAAATGGCCTTCAGTCAACTTTTGCAACTTGAAAGATCACACACATGCATTTCAATTTGTTTGAGAAAAAAATAAATAATCAATCAATCAATGAATCAATCAATCAATCAATTCCTCTTCCCCTATTCTTTGACTCGTACCTTGTAAATCCTTGTTGTTATAGGATTAATGTTAACTTCATGCCAGTCAGGATCTTCGAGATCATGGCAATCTAGAAAATATCCCAAGATCTCCCTTCCACCAAGGAATTTGGGCTCCTTCCAGCCAATAACCATCTCATTCTTCCCACAGGTCAGTTGGACCAAACCATAAGGAGCTGATGGAAGATCTGGGAAAGAAATCCAGAAAGTCATGTTAACCTTAAATATGGATAGAACATTCAGATCACATCCCTTGAGTTGCAGGTTGTGATGTATTATTTCTTTAAAACCGGCAGGTGGCGATATTTCTGCCCGTTCTGGCCGTGTCTCAGATCACAAAATTCCACCTGGACTTAGTCTTAAAACTGTTGCCTTAAAATGTGAGCTTCTGTGCAACTCAGGAACATTCCAGCATCGAGCCGCGGTTTGGAAGAGACTGAGCGTGAGGAATGTCTGCCTGAAACAAAATTTCACCACAATGGTCTGAAGGCTAAGACCACGTGAATTGTCGGGACGTTTGCACCTTCGAAACAAATGGAAAGCCTCCGGCCCTCGTGAAAGTTTTGTCGTCCGAACATTTCTTGTGATCGATGTGTTTTCACAGAAACCAACTCACCTTTGCGTTATTTACTTTAAAAAAAAATTGATGTTATCGTATTTACTTTGGTCGCTCATTTTGTCGCTGTTTTTGTCGGGCATCGCTGTGCACAAATTTGCTGCCGCATTCGCCAAGAAACACATACAGTCGCTGGCTACACTTTACAGTAAAAATCCTAGTGAAGCGCTTTGAGACGTCCGTCCTCCTGACCTGAAAGACGCTAAACGAAATGTAAGAATGACTCTTATTCTAAACGATGAGGGAAAGAGCTATCACTTTTGCTGATTTAAACCTATTTTTATGACATACTCACAGATGGGGCTGTTCACTTCGATGGGTGTGGACTCGTTGGAATAATCACTGAGTCCTGCAGGATTGGCAGATTTCACACGGAACACATATTTCTTCCCAGGTTTAAGGTCATGCACAACCAACCTGATAAAAAAAAATTGAAACCGCAACGCAATTATTCCTTACAGCTCAATTTCGGATCTCTTCTTTCCATTTGAAAAAAAAAGTGAAATTTTCAGGTTATTCGCTTTAAAAATCAGCTGCGAAGAATTGCACGGAATTTTGAGCACACTGTCTCCCTGGAGGGACTCCTTAGAGTATTAGACGCAGGTTGGCAAGAGCCAAGGCTTGGGGATCCCAGAGTGTTGGTGGTAGTGCTGGTTTATACTTATATCTTAAAGAGCATTACATCAAATCCTTCTTACAAATAGCCCCATTGATACTTCCCAGCCAGTCCTAAGATTTGATCAATATCCACAATTTAAACAGAAATATTCCTCTAAATTCACGGAAATACAGAGAAACAAATTGATATGCTACATGTGCCTCCCCCCCCCGGGGAATTGTGATGAGATGCCACCTGACAGCAATGTTTCATGTAAAATCTACTTGAGCATTCAGTCCTACTCCATTATATTGGCAACGCTTCATTATCGCAACGTGAATTTCTGCTAACCTTTTGGAAGTGACGGGCTTGTTATTACAGATTTCCCAGTTGTTCGTTCCAATCTCACAAACGTAGACGTAGAAGCCTATGGGCTCCTCTGTATCTTCAGCTTGCCACTGCACCAGCACAGATGTCTTTGTGTTTCTAGTGGGGATGATGGCATAGGGTGGAGAGGGGGCGGCTGAGGACAGGCAACATTAACATTAGTAATGGTCCTTTTCAACGTGGGACAAAAACAAAATCTGCATCTTTCTTCATAGCAATAATATAGTGAAGCTTGTTCCCAGTGTTAACCTAGGACTGGCTTTCAGCTTTATTGTATATACAGGGACATTTCACTTTACGTCCACCTGAGCAGCCAGACCAGACCTCAGATTAATGTCTCATCCGAAGGGCAGCAGCTCCAACAATTCAGCATAAGTTCAAAGACGGACGTGGGGGGAAGGCTTTGAACCCACAGCCTTCTGACTCAGAAGTGAGAATACTAGCATAATACAGTGAATAATATACAGACCTCCAGAGCACAGGCGTACAATGGGAAAGGCTTTACCGAGTATTTCTGTGTGTGAAACAGCTCTAGAAGGCTCTGACGGCTCGCTGATCCCATACTTATTGACGGCTCGGACTCTGAAGCAATACTGCTTCCCTCTATCCAGGTCAAAGACAGCAAATCGCGGGCAGCTCACAGGAACCTCCAGGTTGACTCTTTGCCAGCTGCCACTGCCAGCAACTGACTAAACATAAAGACGAGAAAACAAACGTAAACGCCACTTGCTACAAGAATGGAAATTATAATTATTATAGCGACAATAATAATCCTTACATCCGATATAGCGCCTTCCACGTGGGGATGACGTCTCAAAGAGTTTCACAGGATAGACTGTGTGTGTTTTGTGGGTTCGTACAAGTCACTTTCGTCTTAAAGTTTAACATTGCGTGGAACTATAATAAAAATTCGTAACCTCTTAAGAAGTGTTTAACATCGGCTTCTAAGTTAGGGTTGAACTTAGGAATTTTCCACAAGTCTGCGCACTTGAATTTTAAGACAGAGTAGTCTTACGGGGTAAGACAAGGTGGAACTTCTGGCCTATTGTTTGATCAGTATTTAATCTGCATCCGGCTTGTGTTTAGCTGATTCAGGAATATTTGTTCCTAATGTTGGATCTAACATGTGAAGTCTCTGATAAAAGAGAACTGGTTTATTTTTACTGTGATGAACTGATAGTCTTTAGCTGATGTTACTTCAACCATTCGCTATTCAAATCTCAGAATCTTGTACCATGTACTGAGACAAACTGGTTTGTAAATTCTTGCAACAAGTGATAATAATAATAATAATAAACCTTGCATTTGATGTTGCGCCTTATCACATCTTCAATACGTCTCAAAGCGCTTTGTAAAACATACTGTAAAGTGTATTGACTGTATATTTTGTGGGCGAAACTTGGCAGCCGATTGCACACAGCAAACCGTCATGGATTGAGTGATCAGATTATTTTAAATTTATTTTGAAGGAATTATTACCCCCGGAAAAGCGATCCGCCAATCCACTAACAACCGGGTTCCTATTTACTGCTGGGCAAACGGAAGCGTGTGGAGTAAGGAAACTTGCCCAACATTTTGCCCTAAAAGGGAATCGAACTCGGGTCATCTGGCTGGCCAGGCGAGTGCTCTAACAACTGAGCAACAGGATCCAAGTGATAGCGCCTTTCACATGTCTCGAAGTGCTTTACGAAGTCCATGCGGATCACTGAGCAGCGTGGGCGATGATGTTGCAATCTGTCTCATCCGGTTTCAACACGTTTACCTTCTCCACGTAGTATTTCAGGGGTTCCCTGCCTCGGGGACAGGGCTCGTTCCAGCAGAGAGCGATGTACGTCTGACCCACTTCGGTAATGTGGACGTTGGTTGGAGGCAGCGGAATGCAAACCTCTCCTGCAAAGGAGGCAACGTCTTCGATTCATTAACTCTTCAAATGACTGTGACACCGTGACTTGCAAGGCTACCAAGCTCCAGTGACTTGGCACTCTTTGGTTTGACATTTGTGATTATTCCCTACGGTTTTCATTGCCACCTGGTTCATCGCGAACACATGGAAAGTTAATATGAATCCAACCTTGGTCACCACACCTGGCGTGGCATTCCACATCCAAACGATGTGTCAAAAAATTCTTCCGAATCTCCCCTTTGCTCCGGGAACTACCTTAAATCGATGCCCTTTGAGTCATTTTTGCCATTACAGGAACAGGAGTAGGCCATTCAGCCCCTCAAGCCTGGACTACTAGAGCATTCTTCTTATCTTCTTAAACCCGACAATAACACATCGTTAATTTCACTAATTCCTGCAAGTGTATGTTTCATGAATCCAATTCACGAAGTACAAACATATAAACCAGGGAAAGTTTCCTCTCGTGTCTTTTGTTAAGGCAAAACTCACCTTCAAGCTCATCTTTCGAGATGACTATTTTGCCTCGGTCCAGCTGGATAGCTGCGTGAAATGGAAAGGAACCACTTTAATTTTAAGGACTGTAACAGTGGATTTGCGTTAAAACTCCATGGTCAATTAATAACAACAGGCAGTTAATAATTGGCATCTATTTTGCATTAACATGTGAAACAAACCCGTCGTTGTACTTATAAGGAGGTGCAATTTGAGATATTAATGATACCCTTATTGCTATCGCTTCGCACATTAAAACAATTCATCCTTTGCCATCTGGCACAATAAAGCAATAATCCACATGATGAAAGCTGCTGGTATTAGCTGTGAGTTAGTGGTCCCCTGGTGTTACCTTGTTCTGTCCCTTAAATGTCAGACAATGCATTTCAACCGCACAGTGATAATAAACAAATGAGAAAGTAACGCCGTTAAGAAAGTTTTATAATTGTCCATAATGCTGGAAGCACAATTCTAGAATATTACCATTAACATTACTTGTTTGGGGTTTATTTATGTTTAACCGTGTCGATGGCAGGGCATGGTTTGACATGTGCATGGTTCGTGCACATACACAAGCTGCCTTAAGCGGTTTAATGATTTCAGTAATAGGGTTTATTCAAAAAAATTGAAAATCGCAGCATGATTTAACTATTCACCCCGTCTACATTCCACTTGATGTCTTCCACCAACTAACAGCTTACTGAGGAACCCTCATTCGATCCTTGCATTTGATACAGCGCCTTATCACGTCTTTGAGATGTCTCTCAAAGCGCTTCGCAGTATAATACTGTAAAGCGAATTGACTGTATATTTTGTGGACGAAATGCGGCAGCCAATTGCGCACGGCAGTGTCCCACAAACACTTGTTTGTATGGTTTACACAAATTACATGATAGACCCCATTAAAACCGCTAAAGATTGCTCATACGACGATAAGACAACTAAGGCGTGTCTAGAGGTAATACATACTCATTATCCTGTCTCCTATCGTGGGGTCTGTTGTCGTCACTGGTTCGGAGACTTTGGATGGCCTGCTGACTCCAGCGCTGTTGACTGCCAGAACTCGGAACTGATAGCTCGTGTTTTCACACAGCCCCAGGACGGGAAGCTTACACAGCTTTTCGGGGACATCGTTGCATTGGATCCAGCTCTCGCTTCCTTCCTCGCACCTAAAGCCATCAGAAAACATTCCTGCTTTTTTACCCATCCGATCTCATCCTTGCAGAACACCCATCCTCACATCACAGCATCAATCTGCTTTTGTTAAACAAGTCCCACTGCTCTGGCCTCAATCACGTTCACTGGTTCCCTCTGGGTAAAGCAACACTTCACGGTGACCATCTTGAAATTGCCCATTGCAACTCTAAACCTATGTCCTCTTGTTCAACTGTCTTGGTGCCTTTGTATTAATAATAATAATAATTCTTGCATTTGATATAGCGACTTATCACGTCGTTGAGACGTCTCAAAGGGCTTCACAGGATATAATGTAAAGTGTAGTGACTGTGTATTTTGTGGGCAAAATGCGGCAGCCAATTGCACACAGCAGCGTCCCACAAACAGTCATGGATTGAGTGACCAAATATTTGGAGGGATCATTATTATTATTCCTGGAAAGCGATCCACCAATCGACTAACCAAATGGTTTCTATTTACTGCTGGGTATTGTTCTTAGTTTATTTTCTCAATCTCACTTAAAACCTTGTGCACCCGGGTAAGGTCCCTGCCTGAGACATCTCCTTTCCTTTTCGACACTGAAATTGCTCAGTCACGAACCTGATCAAGTGGAACTTGCTAGGACCAACCTTTCAACGAAATAGCCAAGGACTGGGCTCCCTCCATCAGCACTTGGTGGTTTCCAGGTAACAAAGACATAATCTTGGTTAACGTTAAGTCCCTGGACATCCAGGGGTGAACCAGGGGCTCCAGTTACTGCTGCTGGGCCATCTGTAGGAAGGCAGTGAGCGTCAAGCACTGAAATTCTTCTGTAGTCAAATGACAGGGTTTGATCATAGAATCATACTGCAGAGAAGGAAGCCATTCAGTCCATCGTGCCTGTGCTGGCTCTTTGAAAGAGCTATCGCAATAGTTCCTCTGCCCCACTCTTACCCCATAGCCCTGCAAACTTTTCCTTTTTAAGTCCCTTTTGAAAGCTACTATCGAATCTGCTTCCATTATAAGTAAATACAAAATAAGAGTCAGGAAGAATTTAATTTATAAAACTTGGAATTATTGGAACAGAGAAGGTTGATGGGGAAACCTGATATGGAGTCTTTAAAAACCTGAGACATTTTGATAGAGTCGATAGGGAGAAATTATTTTCATCTGTGGGTGATTCAATGATGGGAGGGCATTAATTTACGTTAATTAACAAAGAAGAAAAGGGGAAGATTAGGAGGACCTGTTTTACATTGAGTTGTTGGGATGTGGATTTGCCAGTGGGTGCAATGCTAGAGGCAAGATTCATATTAGATTTCAAGAGGGAGCTAGCTAGATATCTGAATAGGAATAATGTGCAGGGAGATGGTGAAAGACAGGTGAATGGGACTGAATGGATTTCTCTTTCAATAATACAGCACACACACACACACCCAATGGCCTTCTTCAATGCTGTAGATTTCTCTGGTTCTATGAAGCATGGAAGTGTTCATGAGTGCAATTCAATGTTCCACTTGCCTCTCACAAACACGTATGCACTATGTTCCTTGTGACCATCCAGTGTTGGAAGGCGAATGGTGTACAAGCCTTCATCCTCCTTGTGGATATCGCTGAGAGTCACTTTGGCATAGTAATCCGTGCACTCGATCCCAAGGCAATCAGTCTCCACCAGTAAATCACCTGTAATTAGAAAATTTATTAAAATCACAGATGGTACCTCCTGCTCCACAGAGATGCATTAGGTTTACCAGCAAAACAGATTCTATTTCAATGCTCACTGACCATCCCGAAACCAGGAGATGTCTTGTTGGTGCTTTGGTAAGGGCGAGGAAAAGGTGCAGACTAGGACAAGAGAGCCATCTTCTTGAGCAAAAGAAACTTCAAAGCCATCGACAATGTCAACGTCCAACTCAACGGGACTCGCTACAGGAAGCAACAAAGTTAAATGGTTACTTCTGTGGTTACTGTACCAGCGCCTTGGGATGAACTCTCGACATGAAAGGCGCTATACAAATCTAATTTGTTGTTGTTACTTTCAGAATCTTAGCCAATAAGCCATTTTGTCTTAAAATTTAAGATGCTGCAGAAAATGGAAACTGCTTCAATTCACTCTGCGTTTGGAAGTTGTTTCAACACCGTTGTTAAAAAGATTAAATCTAAGCAGAATTTGATGCCTGTTTAGTTTGTTTAAGTAGACCAACAAAAGGGATTTCACGTCAGATTTAATACACAATACGGTGATCATTTGCGAAGAGCTCAACCTGGATTGTTATTCAGCCAGGTCACAAATCCACCAAAGACTTACCCTCTATGCTGACAGTTTCATATCCTGAATAAGTGTCTCTATATTCTGTAAGTGATCATAAACACAGCGGGTAAACAAACTGATGTTAGTTAAAAGGACAATTTATTTACTGCAAGGTTCAAGGACCCCTGGAGAGTTCCACCCCCACATAAATCTAATGGCATATTGTGAAATGCTACATCAGTGGAAACCAACCTGCATTTGACTTAGAAGAGGGGGGAAAGGAATCACACACTGTTATCCTTATTAAGGGAGCCCAATAAAGATTGAAAGATCTTTGCTCTGAGGCAACAGAAGATTAATGCAATCTCTGCAGTACACAAGCACAGAGTAGACTTGCAGAACTTTCCTGTCTTAGTACTTCCCTTTTGGAGTGCACTCACCATATTTTAAGTGTTTGACAGGGATCGATTGGTAGCGGTCATGAGTCCAAGCCCCACATTGGGACTGACTGAGGAACCACTTCATTGTCATCCAGTTTTATCATAGAATCGTACAGCACAGAAGGAGGCCATTTGGCCCATTGCGCCTGTGTCCATTTTGTTGACCTTGAGAGTGGGAAGAGCGGGGATGAGTGGGGGCGAGGGGAGAATTGAATGGATTCACTGAGATTCAAACTCAAACCTTCTGGTCTCGGGATGGTTAACATCTGACACTAACAAAGATACAGAGTTTACAGTAAAAATCACGTGAAGCACTTTGGGATATAATGAGGCGGGGCCTACTAGTTTTTACCTTTAAAATGAGCAAAGACTTTAAAATGATCTTCAATGATTTGGAGAAATTGCTGGTTATCAAGCGCTCGAGACTTACTGTTCACTAGAACTGTCCCATAGCATGATGCCTCTCCATGAGTATTGGTAGCGATCGTACAGTATTCACCTGAATCATCCGGGCTGCATCTGGGAGGAAAAGGAGTCAATTAACTCAATCTCACGGGCTTTCTTCAGTATGTTTGTTACTATTTTTCTCACAGTATTATCCCTGCAGTATCCTGATATATAGTAACTCAGAGGCTGAGAAGGTTGACCTTTAATTGTTTCTGGGGAGTAACAATTATTAAATATAATAATAATTCCTCATGCTATCATATTTATGCATCGACAATAAGAAACAAATACCTGCTAATCTCAAGTGTCTGCAAACCAATCTTGTTCTCAATTGTGTATTTGCCAGGAACAGCTGTTGGTTCTATTAGGTATCCATCCTTATACCTAGGAACAATAAAGACAGATTTATCCCCCCAAAAAAAATCTCAGCCCCATCGAAACTTAAGATCTACTGTCTTCTGGCTTACAAATGTATATGGAGCATTAAAAATGCAGAAACCCATCACCAGGCTTAAGAGTATCCAAACCAAGATGGGATTTCCATTCATCCCACCTACACACGGGTGTCAGAAATACCAGAGATAGATTGCTGGAATGGAATGCGCACTCTCTCTCTCTCCCTGGAGGGACGCCTCCTGCTTACCTAATTCCTGAAAGTATCAGGCGCAGGTTGGCCAAAGCCAAGGGTTGGGGGCCACCCAGAGTACGTGCGTTGGTAACTGTTGGAGTCAAACCAGCTAAAACCGCTAGCTTGCCATTGATTAATCAAAGGCGAAGCCTCAGCTTTCTGAGTAAATTAACTGACAAAGTTAATGTATCTATTTGCTATTCCCTCCGCCTCGCCTCCCCTCCCTTGCCTCCTTCAAAACCCGTCCTAAGACCCTCCTCTCCTTTAGTCTCTACCTTTAGTTGATTTGCACAGACTTATAGTTTCCTTTGGGTTTTCTTACCATTTAACCTGAGGGGAAGGTACCCCCTGGACAATACAGGAAAGCTTAACATTCATCCTCTCCCAGACCGTGTGGGATCTCAATCTAATGACAAACTCGGGGGAAGAGGCTTCAATCTGCTCGGCACAGCGCCTCTCCTCTGCTGCCCATTTCTCTGCCTAAAACGACACAAAATAAGCCATATAGAAATCATTGCACAAGAGAGTGGCGAAAATATGTTAACTCACTGTAGGAAGCTGTAGGAAGGTTTGCTGCAAAAAGCACAAAATCATTTAAGAGGAGACACGAGACAGACGTAATTGGGGCAAATGGCTTGTTTCCGTGTTATGAAATTCTATGCAATTTTATGTAATTATCAACCTTGGTACCTTCCTGAGTCGTTATGTGCTCCTCAGGGTAAAGTGTAAGATCATCTTTATTGATGAACATTAGTTGCTGTATATTGCATCAGGCACTGGATGTGTTGCTAAAACACACAACAATTAGCAAAGATAATGTCAGGATCCTTTGTTGATGAGAAATGGTTACCTTGTCACGTAGAGGCTTGCGGTCAAACTTCTTCTGCAAGATCTTTTTAGCCTTATAGTAATCTATATCCAGCCTTTTCATCTCGTCTCCAAACAATACACTTCTGCCAGCGTCCTTCTCTCCTTTTGAAGAGTGTCTGATTCTTTCAGCCCTTTAAAAAAGTAGGGGGAATTTTTAACAAAACTTACAATCAATTATTAATAACTAAACACCAAATACAGTAATATCAAAGTTACAACAAGTGCAGGTTCATTTCGACACTCTGCCAATTTTCTTTGTGGTCAAAATTGATGTTATCTGCCAGTTGGAAAGTGGATGATCAAGCGGTTTGGTTTTGATAATATCTGTGACAGTTTCCTGCATCACTATATACATTCCTGTCTTATACAACCAAGGGATGGGGGAAGGTGATTGTAAGCATGATCAAAGACTTTCTTCCTCTTCGACCACGTTTACAATCACCTCCTCCCTCTCCCCAGCTCGATGTCAGGCTCCGTCAATGTTAAGCGCTCTAAGACACTGCCCACGTGAGGGCCACTATATCAATGCTTGTTGTAGCAGTAGTAGTTCCGTATTAATATTTTAATTGCTTTTATTTCAACAATTTCCATTTGGTTTTATTTCTAACCTTTGTCTCCTTTATCGGCAAGTCCCAGCTCACTGAAAGTGTGTCAGGTTACTTTACACACCAGACAAAACGATCAGCGCCAGAGTTTTACTGAATGTAAATCACAGAGGAACTTTGGACAGAATTGGCAGGAGAAAGAACAGGGTGAATTATGTTGACTTGATATGATAAAGTGTTTTATTTTACAGCTCATGGGCCATTTATCTAGTTTGTATGCCACGTTAGCGGTGGAACCTTTGTGCTTTCTTAGTATAATTTATGTGGTGGAATCCGTCTTCGCATCAGATACTGTTACTGAAATGAGATCAGATACTGTATGTAACTGGTGCAGTATCTTCAAGGTGACAAAGGTTAAACAAAATGACTGAAGCCATGTGTTGCAATCAGGAGATAGAGAGGAAGCTGTATGACAATGAAAGGAAATACTCGCACCATTTGTGAGACATGCAACAACCAACCCACCCACGTTTGTGTAAATGTAAATTAATTCTTTAAAAATCAGTTAAACCGTTCAATTACAAACATCCTCACAAGTACACAGTAACTACACTTGACAGTATATTCTGTTAAGTGCTTTGAGATGAAACTGCCTCCTGACATCAAAGGCGCTAGATCAAACACAAGGATTATTGTTGAACTGCACAGAACTGCACCTTTTAATGTCAATAAAGACAGAAAGTAAAGTTTGCCATTAACACCTGAACATGAAATGCTTTGTTTCAATGAAACAATCCCACTCAGCCCCGAAACAAGATTCTCCAATCAGGAGAGGTTGGCTTGCGTCTAACGCTGTGGACACTAACAGAGCAATGGTTGGGACATTCCATAGACTGAAATAACTATGAAAGCTGGATACCCAGAGACTGTGGATGGAATTCTGAGGGAGTCAAATCGCTTGAATAATTGGCGGCGAGACTGCGGATTGCATGGTCTTTGACTTCAGCAAATGGTTTTAAAAGACCACAGTACAATGTTCACATTGACCTAATCGCTCATAAAAGTCGCTTATTATATAGATTAAATATTAAGCGATGCTCGCATTAACAACAACGATATTACATGAGTGCAGCGCCTTTCACGTCGGGAGGACATCCCAAGACGCTGGACAGTCAGTGTTTCGGACCCAAGCTGAGGGTTGAGATTGGGCAAGGTGGGGGGCGGGGTGGGGAAAGCAGGGTGGGGGGGGGAAAGCAGGGTGGGGGGGGGGAAACGCAGGGTGGGGGGGGAACGCAGGGTGGGGGGGGGGGAAAGCAGGGTGATCGAAAGCACGGTCGAAGAGGAGAGTCTTGAGTAGGGTCTAATTATCTTATTATCTAGATAAAATGGGTCATTCACTTCGTTGGCTGTTTGTGGGACGTTGCTGGGCTCAAATTACCCGCTGTGTTTGTCTACGAAATTGTCTACGTTGTCTACGAAACCCCTACCACATTTTACAGTGAATCTAGTGAAGCACTTTGAGACTTCCTGTCAATGTGAAAGGCGTTATATCAAATGCAATGATTATTATTATTATATTTGCTGCAATCATTTAAGCAATAACTTCTAGGGAGCCTTGCTCAAGTACAATCCTCAAGTGAATAAAGTAGGTGAACACTAGAGATAATGAATGGGTGCGTCTGAGCATATCTACCTCAACAGGGAATTCAATCTCTGTCTATCACAAATCTTCATCAAAGAGTAACTCTCAGAAAGATTCTATTTAAAGCAATTCAAAGTGTTTTGCAGTGTTGCAATATCAGTTACCAGACAACAGCAAAAAAAAACTTAGCTCACGTTCAGGAGAGATGAGCAAACTGGTTTAGAAATAGAAAATAAGCACTTTCGAAACTTTATTAGGCACAAAGGGGCAACAGCTGATAAAATAACAACAGCTGTGGTCTCTGCAGGAAGCATTGGAACTCCCGAGCTTAATTCTGCCTGCGGCCAGTGGGAAACTACAGTATGCAAACTACTTTGGGCAACCTCCTCCGCTTTAGTTTTCATTTGTCCCTCTCTTAACATACAGTCTTCTCTCCCCGCCAAGCTAACAATGAGCAGTAGTCAAGGATGAGAACATTAAGGCATTAGCATGCCATGTATCTGACCAGCAAGACATACGTGGGTAACTCTGTCACTGTCTTTTATGGTTATTGGCGCTCGACCTACTGTCTAAAGGGAGATAACAAGAGCTTGTGATAATTGGGAGGCAGCCCTCACGGATAATTGAGCCCCAGTGTAAAGCTGGGGGCTTGGGAGTGTGGGAGGAGAGTCTGGAGAAGGCAGACAGAGGTACAACTTCTTTGCTAACAATACATTTTTCTTGTCTTGTTAAAACTATTGTGCAAGTTTTGTTTTTCGGGCATGATCCATGCTCCGCCCTGTAGCGACACGCACAAGAGAGGGTTCTAGATTGACCCTCCATTTGCACTGACACCAAGTTTCAGCCACAAATATACAGTCAATTCGCTTTACAGTCTTTTCTGTGAAGCGCTTTGAGGCGTCTAGAAGATGTGATAAGGCGCTATATCAAATGCAAGGTTTATTATTATTATACAAGTTTGGAATGAAATTACCCACTGAGTAATGGAGAAAATGCTAGAACAATAATCCAAATATACTTCCATTCTTCTGTTGGCAACAGTTTTGCTGAAATCAACAATATTTGACAATATTTCCAACAAAAACTTCCATTTATATGGTGTCATTCATGTCGAAAGGATGGCCCAAAATCTCCAAATTTAAATTAAATTAATTAAAAGATGCATGAAAGCATATTAAAATATGATGCGGTTATTTATTCAGTGATTTCTGAACAGATTCATGGAGTGAAATTCCACCTGGGTCTAGACTTACTCTATTTCCGTGGCATTCAGAAGAAAGATTGAAGCAAAACTGTAAATTAATCATTGGTAAACAGTAAGCTTGCAGCCTAAACTTCAGGAAGAATCTCAATGCACTCACCTGGATCCCCTATACACTCACCTGGATTTTTGACTTACAATCTTCTTCTCTGTCTCGCTCGATGCCCCTCTCATACCATGAAATGTGTCGAAGCTACCTTGATAAGGCTGCAGCGATTTGGTGGCCATGGTTAGATAATGGCTTCAGTCTCCTAGAAAACACACAGCAAGACAATTATAATAATAATAATCCTTGCATTTGATACCTCGCCTTATCGTGTCTTTGCGACGTCTCAAAGCACTTCACAGAATATACTGTAAAGCGAATTGACTGTATATTTTGTGAGCAAAATGAATGGGCCTTCTATACAGAAGAATATTTTAAAAATAAGGTTGTAAAGTAAAATGTCACAAGTTTCTAGTTGGATCGTAATGGTGACTCCAGAGTTGCATTTTATTAAAATTGGTAACCTATAATTATTATGTACAATTTGTAATATATTCCTGCTAAACACAAACTACAAACATCAACTATTTATTACAGCAAATTCTGGGATGATGTAACTAGTGGATTAAGATGCAGAATTAATCTTACAAAACAAATTAAGTTATCTCCACTCACTATGCACAGCATACAATCACTTATAACAGCTTGTTATTGATCATAGTTAAATAAACTATCAAACTTGGATTTAGTTGAGATACAGTTTTGCCTTAAAAAGATTATTTAATGCATTATCCTGGGAATTCTGTCCCCTGTAACAGAAGCAGATACTGTAGTGGATTTAGCTGGAGTTTAATCATAGATTCTGGTTTTATCAGTTCCCCCAAGTGAAACAAGTTGAAAGCCAAGTACTTACCAATAAAATCAGATTATCCAAGTTGAGATAGACCAACGTTGAGCTCAGAGGGGAGCTAAAGGACAAAGGCACCAGTCGTTCTCAGCTGACAACAGACCAAATGACCAGCAGAGGAACAATATGCTGCTCTTGCCCATTGTGACCTTCTAACTGTGTTATATATAGCAGCTTTGTCAATCACCTGAATAAATTTAGCAAAACAGCCAATTGTTCCTTTGCCCATTTACTGACATTGACATACATTGGCCCGGAGTCCCTTACAGACCAGCTCTGTTTACCACCTCATTCCGCATAGCATTTGTTGCAAATCCAATGTTGGATTTGCACCCTCTAAAGTAGGTCAAAAGCTCCAATCAAGCTCATGACCATAATGTACGAATGTAGTCAGGATTAAGTGCTCAGTGTCTCCAGTAAGTTATTAGTTAGAATTGAATGGGAACAAGTACTCTGGTGATGTGGAAAGTGGTGTCTGATGTTCAGCTGATTTGTTTTCAAATGAACGTAAGCTTGAGCTTCCATCCCAGAAATGTTTGACTGACAACAAGAACAACAACAAAATACATTTGTATAGCGCCTTTCACGTCAGGAGGACATCCCAATACTGTTTGTTACACAAACAGTGCCTGGCATTGTTAATCATCTCAGTAGTCAGGTTCCTGTACCAGACAACTCAAAGGCATTACTGATGACAGACCAGTCAGGCTATCTAATCAGCAAAAAATTGGAGGAGGCCGTGGAAGCAGAGATCCTTCCAACTCAGCAACTGCTAATGCAACCAAAGCACTAATGGGTAGTCCTAGCTGGACAAACAACAGGATGCTTGCCAGATAGCGCTTTGACTACAATACACCAACACAACTTGGCTTGGCTCTCGGGAACCTAGGCCTAAAACTCTCCAAACTTCAGTAAGCCGAAAGAGTGCACATTCCATTGGAAGCTTAAAGTCCATCCAGTTCGCCTTCCACCATCCTGGCAGTCGTATGCACATGTCATCTCCCAAACTATATACTGTATCCCATGATATTATTTCCTATAATAAAATAATACTAAAATAATAAACATACTGTTTATGAAATACTCAATCAGGCTTGGATGCTCTTAAATCATGATGATTTTTCTTGCGCTTGACAGACACCGAGCTGACCAAAAAGCATTTGCATAATTCTGGGAAACAAAATTGATGCCTGAGTAATGTTCTTATAAAATTGACTGGAACGAACTTCACTGAGTTTCTTAAAGTGATCATGTGAGTAACAAAATGCTATGATTTAGGTGAAAATTCAGCTCAAAATACACGTTACTCTATCGATGCGTTACTTCTTGACATACATTCTTTGGCTATACTCAACGTAGGGAAATAGGTCTTGTTCAATGGACGGCACCTCTGACAACGCACCACTGCCTCCAGAACTGCTCTGGAGGGTGAACCTAGACTCTGAGTCCTAAAGTCCTAAAAATGGGACTCAAACTGACGATCTTCTGTCTCAGAGGTGAGAGTGTTGCTGACTGAGCCATTAAATCAAACATATGGTTGTGAGTAAATTCTTGAAACTCTACAGTTTACAAAGAATCTTGAGCAACAAAAGTAACTATAAACAGTGGACCACACCCTTTTCTGATCAGATAGGAGTTGGTTAGTTTTATCATATCTGTCTGCTAGGCTAAACTTCTTTTAATAGTTACACAACCAAGAGTACCTGTCATAAAAATAAGCTACACGAGAACTCAGCATGTGATCTCAATACGACATTTTGGTGTGCACGTACCAGATAGCAATCATTCCACAGTCGTTTCATCCATGATGCTGTTGGCTTGGGATTTGGAAGTACGAACATTTTTCACATTTTAACCAAAGGCTTTGAAAAAAAGCTGAGTGTGGGTGAGATCTAATATTAGTGTTCGCAATTCTGAAACGATTTGAGGGGAAATAGTGACAAATTATTTCATTGGTGAATTGGCAACAAGGGGCATAACTTATTACGTGAAGCTTTTTTTGTTACACACAAACGGTTATTGGATATGAATCCCTTTACCCCGAGCTGTCAATGAAGCCATTTATAAGTAAATCAGATGATTGCTTGAAAGGATAAAGGTGCAAAGGGTGAGTATGGGGAAAGAGGAGGGAAATTGGGTTGGAGTCGAATGTTCCAATGGGACGAAGGTTTGTTGGACCAAATGACCTCTTTGTGGGCTGCTATTTCTGTGATTCTATGATCGGAATTTGGAGAGTCACTTTGGGGGGTTAGTTTACTTGGGACGTCCTCCCGACGTGAAAGGCGTTATACAAACATAATTTGTTGTTGCTGTTTACGACATTGAATTCTAAAACAAGTAGTCTGCGAAGCGTACGTGGTAGTTCACCTACAAAACAAAGGCACTCGCTGCACTTTATAGCGAGTCCTGTGAAGCGTTTTGAGACAGCTCCCAACGTGAAAGACACAAGGGTTATTAAGTAACATTGCTGTTACGGTACGGTTTCTACACACTAAAATGATAAACCGAGCCTCCTGATAGTACATTGGCAAATGTGTTAACAGCCATAGAGAGTGAGAAGCTAACAGGTTGATGGTGTTGTGTTTCAGGTAGTTCTCAGTCAAGGGCACCTCAATGCTCCTGGACTAGGAGACGAGAACAATGTTTGGGTTTCCACTGTCGCTTGCTTGATACTACCACGAAGTGTGAGCCCAACAATTAGGCTCACTGTGACACTCGTAGTTTGTGCTCAATAACAACAACAACAACAACTTGCAGTTGTACAGCGCCCTTCACATAGGGTAACGTCTCCCAGTGCCTCAGACTCCAACACTGTTGGAGTTGGACGTTGAGCAAGGGAGAAGAGGAGGGGAAATGACCAAGGCCAAGGTCAAGGTGGTAGGTTTGAAGGTGGGATTTAATGCCAGATAGAGAGGGGGGCAAGACAGGAGGGATACAGGCAGCGAGTTCCAGAGGTTAGGGACATAACAATAACAACGACAACTTGTATTTACGCCGAGCAGGGTCTCGGAGCGCTTAACATAGTGATTGGATTACTGAGGTGTAAAGAATCCCATTTTAGTAATCTTTTAAATCTCTCTCCGATCTAGTAACTGTAGTGAAATAGTTAACCCGTGTTCTATTTGAGTGCTCGCAGTGATCCTGTTTCAGTGTTCCCAGGGAGACGGTTGAAGCAGCAAGTGTTGATTCTTTCAAACACAGATTAGATAGTTTTCTTTTAGGAAATAACATTATGGGATACAGCACAGAGGGAGTTTGGGACATATGTGTATACGACCTCCAGGAAAGTGGAAGGCGAACTAGATGGACTTTGGTCTTTGTTTGTCTAGCATTTCTTATGATCAACATGATAGGTGTGTCAACAGAACCACCCACCTCTTCAGGGCAATTACTATTAAAGAGGAGTGACTCATTGAGAAAGCCAGGGTGATACATGGGTTTCTGAAAGAAACCAACCTTTAATGTTGTCCAAGAGACTTAGCTTAGTTCAATCAGTTGAAAACTCTCTATCAGTTTAGGTTAAAATCAAGTCAATGATTTTATAATGCTACTCAATTAATAGAACACAGCTCTTTTTATGCTAACTCCAGGATTCAAATACTATATAGCAGATCACTGCTTTACCTTTTAGTTTTCCAAAGCAAGCCTTTTTGCAGTGGAAAGAACATCACTATGGAAGAAAAATAAATCCTTGCATTTGCCTCATCCGGTCGTTGAAACATCTCAAAGGACTTCACAGGCTTTACTGCAAACGGTAGTGACTGTGGATTTTTAGGCAAGTCAAAAAGAAGGAAGAACTTTTTTTAAAAAAAATCGATAAAAACACCTCTTTAGAAACGGAAAAGCATTGTATGTATGTAAAAAAAAATCTTTATTTCCGAAAATGTTTCATTATGAATCAATTGGCTCAATGATCCACTTCATCTGCTCTCTATTTACAAGGTTCGCAAGATTCGAGAGGGTCAAAAACAATTTTTAAAATTACATTTCCTAAGGTTGTCCACATGTTCAGAGAAACCACTGGGTCAAAGTGGTACCACAGCAAAGACAGCAACTTAAGACTGTGCGTGAGTTTCCAACTGAATCTTCCCAACAGAAGCACATGAGCATCGTCAGAGGAGGTCAGTGAAGTGATACTTGGCCAGTCCATAGCAGATGGAAATCACAACAGATTTGTAATGGGAGAAATAGGGGAAGAGGTGGGCCTTTGAATCCTTGAAGGTAAAATAACACAATATTAATAATAATATTACTAGTAATCCTTGCATTTGATATAGCGCCTTATGACGCCTTCGAGACTTCTCAATGAGCTTCACAGAATATCGGGAAAAAAAGTGAATTCACTGTATATATTGTGGGCGAAAAGTGACAGTTAATTGCGCACAGCAGTGTCCCACAAACAGTCGTGGATTGAATGACTTGGGGGTGGGATTATTACCCTGGAAAGCGATCTGCCAATCAACTAATAAACGGGTTCCTACTTACTGCTAGGTAAACAGAGGCGTGTGGACGAAGGAAATGGATTGACGGGTCAAATCATTTTTGTTTAAGAGCTTATTAGCCTTGGGAGAGGAATCGCCAAAGTAAAACAAGTCTGATTAAATGTGAAAGAGTGCATTTGCGGTTGGTTAGTCTTCCATGAGAACCTGTATTTCCCATCCTTCAAGAACATCTGTAGCAGGCGGTGAAGGTGAGGTTGGTTTGCCTATCAGTTGGCTTTCCTGTCGAGTGTATTGAAATGCTGGTATCTCGCTCTCGATAAGAGGCATCAGAGTTTGCAACTGGCTCAGTGTCTCGTCCTTCACGGTTTGTAGCAAAGCTGCTTGCTCCCCATTATTTACGACGTATTTTAAATCCAACGCGAAGCCCCTTTCTGCCAACGAGACCCCATTATTGGAAAGGTAGACTTCACTTGCCACTCGCAATGGACTCCCTTCATTGTCCAGCTGCATATCAGCATTCAAGCAGTTAGAATTCTTTGGTGACCCAGTCAGAATTGTGCCGTAGGTTTGAGTCAGTGGGACCGATCCATTCTGACTTGCATATCCAGTAGTTTGCAAACTCGCTGCTAGCTGTGGACAATATGGTGAAGAGTTTACGCTGCTAACTGCTTGAGGGGATGAATGCCTCACATTTGCACGCTGATGGTTTGCTGTAAAGTCCCCCTGTTGTGAGCTGGACTGGGGTTGGGGTACCCAGGTCTTACCCGGGTTTACCGAGGCAACCGATTTGCATCGATGGTTCTGCTCTGGATCCGCTAAATGACGGATGTCTTTCATGGAGATGACTTGCTGGAACTCATAATCTCCTTCCGTGCTCTCACTTCTTGTAACCAGGCTCAATGTTGGTGTTGAGGGATTCCTGTTAAGCAGTGATCCTAAATTCTGCAATTCAGAACAAAAAAATGTAATAATAACATTAAACGTTGCATTTGATATGGCTAGCGCATTATCATGTTGTTGAGACATCTCAAAGCGCTTCACGGGATATACTATACAGTGGTTTACTGTGTATTTTGTGGGCAAATATGCCACATATTGCACAGGGCAGTGTCCCACAAACAGTCATGAAGTCAACGACCAATTTTATAATTTATAATCCTTACATTCGGTATAGCGCTTTTCACTTTTTGAAGAAGACTCAAAGTGCCTCACAGGATATACTGTAAAGTACGGTGACTGTCTTTTGTGGGCATAACACGGCAGCCAATCTCCTATCGGAGGAATTGTTGGCCAGGGCTCCGGGAGAAACTCCCTTCTCTTTTCGAATGGCATCAGATCTTTATTGCCACTTGAACAGGAAGATAAGACCTCAACTTAATGCATCATCCAAAGGATGTAAATGCCAATAGTGCAACGCTACCCAGAGAGTCAGCCTAGACTATGAGCTAGAAAGTGCGGCTTAAACCCACAACCTTCTGACGCAGAGAATTGTAATTGAACATACCAGAGATGCTGGTAATCTTTGCCCAAGTGTTACATAACGGTATGCCAAACAGCAAATTGTGGAAATAATCACTGTTCCAAGGAATAGAAATACCACCAGTATATTGTAGGGCACATCTAGAAGGCAAACAAAGTAAATGAATTATTGAAACACATTTCCATTACCTGAGCGGCAGCCAACTACACGCGTGCACATACGCACTGTATGCCAAACACGCCTCTTCCACAACACATAAAGCACCAGGAAAAACGTCTTACCTTTCAACGTATAGAAGCAGAATTCGACAGTTTTACTCTGTTTTTTATTTATGTTACGCTCTAACAGAAGCTGGACTGTCCCACAGTAGTATGTTTCTGGCTCCAACGTTTCGATTTTAAGATGCTCCCTTGTTGCTGACCTGTATGTTTGCTGCGGACAGAAATTGACAAGTTGCTATTTGGAGGACACAAGGCCAGACAGCTGCCACCGTGAGCTGCAGCCAAATAACCACTCACTCTCTCTTAAATTCGGTTGCAATGGTTTCAAATTTTACCGTTTCATTTGAGTGTTTGCGCCGAAGTTTGACAGAATATTCAGTGGTTCCAAATTTGCCTTCAATGGAACAGGAGCTTTTCCTGGAACATGGAAATTTAGGAAGCTCCACTGAAATGGAAATCGACCTCGCACTTGTCTTGTACTTTATACCAGGTGCTTCTATCGTAGCTGCGGAGAGGGGAAAAAAAGACAGGGAATGTTTTATAACATGGGTCTTTCATTGTAGAGTGTTCATCATAATGAGCCCAGTACAGTGAGCAATGTATACAGAGTCCTGTGGCATATCGAATAGCCTTGGGCAAGTTTTCCTACCCCTCACGCCTCTGTTTACCTAGTCGTAAGTAGGAACCCAGTGTCTAGTCGATTGGCGGATCGCTTTCCAGGGGTAATAATCACTCTCCCAAATAATTTGGTCATTCAATCCACGACTGTTTGTGGGACACTGCTGTGCGCAATTGGCTGCTATGTTTCGCCCACAAATATACAGTCAATTCACTTTACAGTATATTCTGTGAAGCGCTTTGAGATGTCTGAATGACTTGATAAGATGCTTATATTAAATGCAAGGATTATTATTATTATTATTATACTCACTGTTCTCAAAGGGGCAGAATCGCTCAGATAAAGACCATGTTGAATTAGTCCTGTTTGAGATCACTCTTGCATAGAACCATTCTATATCTTTCTCAGTCTCATTGGTTAGGTCACATTCGCAGGCTGTGATGTGTTGGCATTCTGTTTTATTTTTCCACAATTCATCTCCGTAGCTGGAAAAGGAACGGAATATTTCAGCGCGGTCGACCGAGAGGAGGGTCTTGAGACGGGCCTTGAAGGAGGCAAGGGAGGAAGCGAGGCGAAGGGACTGTGGGATGGAGTTCGAAAGGTGAAATGAAAAGTGCATTTCAAATGTAAATTTGTACTGTATTATAGTCTGTCTTGGAACTTACATTTTATACTGCACATCATATACAGCTCCTGGAGAGAAGTTGCCTTTCTGATACCAAATGAGGATATTTTTGAAGTTAACGGACTGGAAGATCACATTTGTGGCGGACTCAATTCCATGCGTAGATGATCCTTTATTTATAAAGAAAAAGAGGTAAAAAGAGACTAATACGTTTAAACTTTTTGGCTCACAAAACGTTCTTTTCAAAACACAATGTCTTGTCTAACACATGTGGAACAACAACAACTTGGATGTATATAGCGCCCTCCACGCCGGATGACGTCTCAGAGCACTTTACAGTAACGGATGCTGGGACTGAGCCGGGGGGTGGGGGGGGGCGGGGAAGGTGACCGAAGGCGCGATCGAAAAGAAAGGTCTTCAGCAGAGACCTGAAAATGGGAAGAGAGGGGGCGAGGGGAAGGGAGTGAGGAAGGCAGTTCCAGAGCCTCGGGGCATAGTGGCTGAAGGCACGGCCGCCGAGGGTGGAGCGGAGGACTCGGGAGACGAGGAGGAGGCCAGACCCGGAAGAACGGAAGCAACAGGTACTGTTTTGAGGAGAGAGGAGGTCAGAGAGGTCGGCGGGTGCAGAGGAGTACAGGGACTTGAATACAAGGGTGAGGATCTTGAAGTCGATCCTCTCTGGGATTGGCAGTCAGTGCAGTCTGGCCAGGACTGGGGGAATCGGGGAGCAGAGTTTCGTGCAGGTGAGAATGCGGGCGGCAGACTTTTGAATGATTTGGATTTTATCATTCAAAATTTTATCATTTGGAAACCCATCACATTGCTTAAGATTATCCAGAGGAGACTGACAGTCCCTGTACATGATACCTACACATTTCATGTATTTCATGCAGTGCATTTCATGTAGCGCCTTATCACGTCTTTGAGAATATAGTGTAAAGTGAATTGACTGTTTATTTTGTGGGTGAAACACGACAACCACTCGGGCACAGCAGTGTCCCACAAAGAGTCGTGGATTGAGTGACCAAATTAGTATTTATATATAAAAAAAAGTTTTGAAAGCATTAATAACCCCTGGAAAATAAAGCAGAAAAAAAAGCCCTGGAAAATAAATGCTGTCTCTGGGCTACGCCTTGCTCCCAATTTAACTTTTAAAAGAGTTTAAAAGAAAAACTTACCAGCCATGGAGAGACTTAGGATAATGATCCAACACGGCCACATTTATTCAACAAAGTGTCCCAGAGTAGCAGAAGTTTTAAAAGATGTTTAACTCAGTCTGGGTCACCTCCGGAAAACTGGGGGAATTGACTGGACAAGTTACAGAACTGCCAAAGTTCATTCCTTTCTTTATAAAGAAACTTTTCATCCAATTGCCTGTCTTGAAATCTCAGGAAAGATCTTTTTTGGGGGAAAGAACATAGATCCAATAGTTAGCCACCCGATCCTTGCAGCGAGAATGTCTTCGAGACACAGAACAAGTTCCAGTTCCTGGTTCTAAAGCAGAAACTGGATTGGATTCCAGTCTGACTGCATTTTGTACTTTGTGTTGAGCCAGGTAGGTAGGGAGGTAGGTGTGTGCAAGCAGCCCCTTCACCCCTACGAAACCAATTAATCATTTCCTGTAAATGAACACGTGATTAACAGGTAAACTTTACACACTATTTATTTCTCTATAGCTATAATTGTTACACAATTCCAAAACACTAATCTGGGTGATTATGTCTCAATGTTTTATAATAATAATACTTGCACTTGATATAGTGCCTTATATTGTGGAGAAGTCTCAAAGTGCCTCACAGAATATTCTGTCAAGTGAATTGACTGCGTGTCTTGTGGGCAAAACGTACTTTTCAAGTTCAGCTGCAAAAATAATAGATGCTTCTACAAATGTTCAGTTTAGCAATGATACGCAGACCAAAATTCCGTGTAAACTTAAGACGACCATTTGGACTTGAGCGTGAAGTTTGCGCAGAAATGTGGAAAGCTTTTCAATCCAATCTTAACTTGGTTCAGTTGCGATTGGGCAATATAGGATAACCCGGATTCCAAAGGGAGTTTCCACAGATTTATTTAGAATTATGCAATAGTCAATCCACCCACTGAAGATTATTCTAATCAGAATCCAACAACAATGACTTGTTTTGTGATTAATTTGGCATTTCCATTCAGGATTCTCCAAAGTCAAAGGTAATCCTCATCAAGTCATTAAGTAAGAGACAGGCACCAAACACTTTGGTCAACCTGGATTTGTATCGAGTATAGGGTTTTCCCGAGTGTAAAGCAAAAATGGCTCACAGCACATCACCTTCAACTTTAAAGGCAAGGGGCAGTGAAAGGGGACAGTAGACTTCCTACAAAGGTCTCGAAAGGAATGCGTATCTAAATTAGACCCATTTAACTGCATGAAACAATTCGTAAAAAAAATCAGTTTTTAATAGAAAATATATAAGTGCAAGTACAATTAGTAATACTTTTTGTGTTCAGTAACATTATATAGTACTTGTAGAAATGTTCCAATAACCGTTTAACAGAGAAGAAGTAACCTGAAATACAATTTGATCTGAGTTTGTTTGCATTGTTAACAACAGAGAACTCCAACACTATTTGATTCCCTTACAACTCAATACAACCACCTAGTGTTGGGAAGAGTACAGGCATTTCTTCCTATGATTGGAAAAATGCCATCATTCACCATCAACTTTAGGCAGGCAATTGGCTGGTTTCAAATTCGTCCATTTTTTAAAGAAAACAGTAAAATACTTTTGAGGTTCATAATTTTCGGCACCTTTAAAATTGTTCATGACCACAATACGAACGTCTGCTGAGTCCCACAAGCCCTTTGAAGTTGTCTGAAAGCGCTCTGAGCTGCTACCCTACTTGGAGGGTGCAATATAAGTGCAAGTTGTTGTTGAAACTATTCCAGCTCATGGATGCGAGTTCAATGTGGCTTCAAAAGTCAGAAATGCATGTTTGGTTCCACTAATAGCACCTACATTTTCAATACATTAGTAGGCAAAATATAAATGTATTCCTTTGTTTAGAAAAAATTGCTGCATTTACAGTGTATGAATGATTAGAAAATTTAAAAAAAAACACTTTGCCAGACTGGCTGTTTGCCTTCTGATTCAGAGGCCTCTGAATCAGAAGATTGTGGGTTCAAACCCTTTGACAACACTCTGAACACATATATAGTCTGGGCTGACACTCCTGTGCAGTGTGTACTGTTTTGTTGCTGTTCTTCAGATTAGACAGTAAGATCGAGGTCCCATCTTTGTTCAGGTGGCCATTCAATTTGGCACGATTCACAAGAGGGCATTTCTCTCTCTCCCTGGTCAACAATCCCCCAGATAAAATTTCATGGCTGTATGTCACTCATGTCATGGGTGTATGTGGGACATTGATATGTGCAAATTAGGAGTCGACACAATAGAGTCAGTACACATTTCAGTACATCCTGCAAAAATGCTTTGAGACATCTTCCCAACGTCAATTCTCTCTAGAACCCTCTTAAAATCCCTCCATCTTGCACACTTCTGCATTTCCCAAAAACCTACCTCTTCTGACTCACTCTTATCTCCCACCGCCCCACACCCAATTTCACACTCCTGTCTCTGTGAAGCACTTTTGAGATATTTTCCTATGTGAGAGATGCTACTGGATAAGATCAAGTCATTAAAACAGCTAATGTTGTTGTCAGAGTATCTGGAGAGATGACAAAGGGATGTCACCTTGACTGGGTTGTTCTTGACCTTGATCCAATATAAAAATCAATGGCTTGCATTGTTCGTTGTAACGTTTGCAACTAAATTCAACAGAGCTGAAATTGGACGGGCTGGAAATGGCGAAATAGCATTTTGTCAGATGGCTGTTGGGCTCAGTGAGGTGAGTGCCCTGGCTCTGTCCATCGCCGCTCCTTTCCTGCTCGTGTCTTTCTGTGCCGAGAGTCTGGTGTCTCGTATCGTCCTGTGTTTCGGGTTCGTCGAAGGTCATTCCATCAGGAATCCACCGACTGTCCGTGTAGCCCGGCACCTCATCTTCATCATCGCTCTTGGTGTCTGGGTCAGTGAGAGCCCAATCGTTCCCCTGCTCCGTCTCCTTTCTTCCGGGGGTGGTGTCAGTCTGGCTGGGGGTTACCTCCTCGCTTTTGGCACAGTGACAGACAGTGACCAACTGATAGGTTTCCAATTGCTCATCGACAGTCAACGGTATGAAGTGTGTGATCTTCGTGAAATCCTATTAAAAAATAAAATTACGGAGGCCCACGGTCATTTTCAATTCACTTTCGTGGCAAGTGCATTTTGCGTTTTTAAAATTTTCAGAATACTTTTGGAACTACAGTACAACAACTTGTATTTTATTCAGCGGCCTTCAAAATAGAGCAACGACTCAAGAATGTGACAGTACTTACATAAACACACATAATATTTAATCTCAACCTTGTCTACAGTCTGACTATAGCTGTAGTTGCACAGCTCAGGGAAGATGATCGAAAGCTCAATCGAAAAGATAGCTTTGGTATTATACAACAACAACTTGCATTTATATAATATCCTTACACGGGGTAATGTCCTGGAACGCTAATATAATTGTAGAACAAATTGTATTAGTTTCAATAAAATGAATAGCATCTTTCATTATTATTAACAGAACACAGCAAAGGGTAACACTCACCAGGGAGGCTGGAGTTTCCAATTTTAAAGGACGAGGGATTCGAAACCAAACGATAAAAGCAATCCCCAATGTCAGAACTAATATTGCCACAAATACTGTTATCACACTATATTCAATTTGAAATCCTGAAACAGAAACACATTACTGTTAAAAGTATTGTCACCTGCAGTTTCATTTTATTTTAGACAAGGAGACATAGAGAGGTATTGGTGAAGAATGTCTTTAGTTTATCCAGTTGATTGGGAATAATGGAGGAGGGGAGGTAATCAACAGAACTCACATAATATGCAACAGTTAAATCTTTGCTTGATTATCCGAACTCGTACCTTTTTCTTTTCCAACGAAACAAACGGGTGCAGAGTATTTGCTCTCTTTTTCGAAAAAAATGGATTTGGCGAAAACACAGCAGTTGAAGCAAGGTAATTCACTGATCCGAATGCGCTCGTCTTGGTGGAGAGATCGCTGATGAGGAAACACAGTTAGCTAAGCTTCATTATTGCAAATAATATTGCAGCGATCATATTTAAACCGGCGCGGGCTGGTTGGGCCGAGTGGCCTGTTTCCATGCTGTACATTCTTTGTAATTGCGTCCACTTTTCTAACCTGTGGACCTACTTCCAACTTGAGTGAATCTAAGACTGATTGCATTGTAAATTTTAAGACGATGGGTGTGAGGCATAAGACCAGAAGAAACTTCAGGCCTCTGGTAGCCAATGATCGGACAGTTCGCTTCATGGGGAGGTATAATAAGAACGATGATAACAATCCTTGCATCTGATACAACGCCTTATCACGTTGAGACATCTCAAAGTGCTTCGCAGAATGTTACCGTGATGTCTGGCTTCTGTGTATTTTGCAGGTGAACACAACAGCCCCGATTTGTGCACAGCGACGTCCCAAAAATAGCCGTGAGGTGGATTTTATCGGGGGGGGGGGGGGGGGGGGTTATATTGCAATCACACTTTGATTTTGAATGACAATAATTTTTTGGTAACCAGACACGCTACGCTCACTGTTGTGTCTGAGGTTAGAGACTAAGTAGATTTCACCGAGCCCGTACGTACCATGAATTTCTCATCCGCCTGCCACAATTCTGCCTTGTTTTGCACTTCTATCAGGCAGTCTTGCAACACCTTTCGCTTGCAGGGACTTAGCTTTGTATGGACACTCATGTTTACAAAGGCTTGGCTCACATTCACGTTCACTTCAGGTGGACCGGGTACCACTTGAATTTAAAAAAAAGGACAATTTTTAAATTCATGATGTGCAAATGCATCTTCCCCCCCACCCCACCACCACCAACGGAGCAGTTGAAAATGTATTAGTTATGTCATATACTAGTCCCGAGTGCTCTGGGATGCTACGCTGTGTGAGGGGAGCTATGTAAATGCGAGTTGTTGTTGTTGTGAGCTTCCAGAAGAAAGTTACAGATATTTGGTGCTGGTGGGGATTCAGTTGTGGATTGAGTGACCAAATTATTATTTTAAAAATTAATAATAATTTGAAGGGATTATTACCCTTACAAAAGCGATCCGCCAATCAACTAATAACCGGATTCCTGCTTACTGCTAGACAAACCGAGGCGGGTGGAGTAAGGAAATTTCGGCCCGCCCGGGAATCAAACCCAGGCCCTCTCGCTTGTAAGACGAGCGCTCTAACTACTACACTTCAGGACCCCAAAGTGTGTAAAAAAAATATATAAATACTGTGTTGGAAAGGATTGAAATGATTGGAGAAGGTCCAGTTAGTTTGCGATGAAACACTTCTGACTCTGGCTCCAAAAGCAGTGTAACACGATTCGATTTCACACGTAACGTCACATGGAACGCTGCAGTTTGGGAGTTTCAGCCATTCACCTGCCGGCCTGAAAGAGGGCAAAAAAATAAAAAAAAAAATCAAAACCTGCGTCTCTTCTGCTCTGACGTGTAAAAGAACCGATTCTATGTAAATTCACAATTGTTCCCATTTGACAAAGGATGCATTCATTAAATAACTATCATCTTTGAATCATCTCAAAGCGCTTCACAGATCATTGTGGGGCGTAATGACCATGTGTTTGTAGGCAAAGGCACCAGTCGATTGGCTCACACCAATGCCCCACAAGCAGCTAAGAAGTGAGGTGAGCTAAACTTCAAAGAACTGAAGCACATCCTACTGTTCAAGAGCTAGTCAACAGAAGTAGTTTCAAAAGTTCTAAACCAAAGCCTAACCTACTTCGCTTTGAACTCACAGGATATCCTATTAAGGACAATTGTACAACTCAGAAATTTGCAGAAGATTAACCATTTACAATGCCTTTCTTTGAAACTCCAAACACTGGATTGTAGTCTGAGAGAATAAAGCACAGTTTGTTACAGGTTAATCAATTATAGTTAGTTTATAAATAAAACTATAAATACACTCAAGCCTCAGTTACCTTATGTTCACTTCAGTGTCAGGTGGAGGATCTGAAGGGTCAGTCCAGTTTAAGAAGATCCTGAAATTCTCTGAACTCAAGATCACCTTTTGAGGAGAAGCCATAGGCATATGACCTAAAACACATCTCAATATAAGCACCCAGGAAATAACACACAATATTGTACAAAGAATAATTTGCAGCTGCTAGTTACAGTAACTGCCTTGAAATGACACAGTACATAGCAATATCAAATGCAAGGATTATTATATTGATGAGGCACTTTGCATAATCCGTTATCTCACCCCACCCTCTTGAACTCCATTGTTATTTATTTTGTCCATTCACTTTACTACTAATAATAATCCCTCCAAAACCAAAAACAATAATAAATTGGTCATTTTCAATCTACGACTGTTTGTGGGACATTGCTGTGCGCAATTGGCCGCCGCGTCCGCCCACAAATATACAGTCAATTCACTTTACAGTGTGTTCTGTGAAGCGCTTTGGGACGTCCTCCCGACGTGAAAGGCGCTGTACAAATGTAATTTTGTTGCTGTTGTTTTTATTAGTCCCCAGACAGCAAAGTCAAGCAGTTTTGGAAGGCCGCAAAGTGGGTGGGGGGCTGGGGGGGGGCTGGGGGGGGTGGGCTGGGGGGAGAGGGTGGTGGGGGGGGAGAGGGTGGTGGGGGAGGGCTGGGGGTGGGGGGCTGGGGGAGGGTGGGGAAGAGTGGGTGGGGGAGGGGGTTGGGGGGAATAGTGAGTGGGGGAGGGGGGTGGGGGGAAGAGTGGGTGGGGGAGGGGGGTGAGGGAGGGGGAAGAGAACACATGCATTGCTCTTTACCAAAAAAAAAGCCTTTTACACCAACGCGAGAGGTGACCGACGCTGCGGCGCAAATCATACTGTACCTATCGCGCAGGTGAGGAGGAGGTACAGCGGTATCTGAGGGCAGTATTTGGGCCGAAGTGATGCTATTCCTCCCCACATCTCCGCGCAAAACCAGAACCTTTTTCGAGGCTCATAACCAGAGGCGGCGGTGCTCCTTCTCCACAGCCAAACAGCACCTTCCGCTACACTGTCGCCCCTCCTCCTCCTCCTCCGTTACATTGTAGCTCCGCCCTTCCGGGCTACAATGTAACCGTTTCCGAGCAATGGACACACCCCTCACACACACACGCACACACACCCGCTTCTTCCTGCTCTGATTGGCTGAAGGGTTTGGGACCCGCCCCCCCTCCAACCAGGCGCGCCCCGCGATTGGCCGACGGCCGCGTCCGTCACAAAGGACGCGAGACAACAACGTGACAAAAGGGGAATCGAGAAAGGGGGAGGGGGTGGGGGGGTAAAGGGGGAGGGAGGGGGGTAAAGGGGAGGGAGGGGAGGGGGGTAAAGGGGGAGGGAGGGGCTAAAGGGGAGGGAGGGGCTAAAGGGGGAGGGAGGGGGGGTAAAGGGGGAGGGAGGGGGGGTAAAGGGGGAGGGAGGGGAGGTAAAGGGGGAGGGAGGGGCTAAAGGGGGAGGGAGGGGCTAAAGGGGGAGGGAGGGGGTAAAGGGGGAGGGAGGGGGGTAAAGGGGGAGGGGGTAAAGGGGGAGGGAGGGGGGTAAAGGGGGAGGGAGGGGGTTGGGGGGTAAAGGGGGAGGGGGGTGAGGATGAGGGGGCTGAGGATAAGGGGGGGTGAGGATTAGGGGGGTGGGGGTGAGGGAGTAAGGGCGGGGAGGGGAGGGGGGAGGTTTAGGCTGGAATTGGTGTTGGGAAAGTCTACTGGATCCCACCCCCAAAGTTTGTATGTAAATATTATTTATTTAAAGAAGTACTTGCCCCCCCCCCCCCGTCACTCAAGAATCTGCCAGAGGAAACGAATTTAAAAACAATACATCCTTCCGACACGGCACCTTTGAGACGTCTCAAAGCACTTCACAGAACATACTGGAAGGTCAATTGACCGTACCTTTTGTGAAGGTAAAACTGCTCAGGGTGGGGGCTCTTTAAGGGCAAAGGGTGCTCTCCGCCCCCCGACCGCCACCCCTCCCCCGACCCCTTTTTATTGAAGGATAAAGAACTGTCATCGTTTTCAGTAGATTTTAAGATACGTGATATTGAGCACATTTTATTTTCAAAAATGGTTAAACCGTAGCACATAACCACCAATAACAGTCACAACAATGGATTATAATATTACCGTAAATAATAATCCTCACATTTGATATCTCGCCTCGTCACGTATGTGAGACATCTCAAAGCGCTGAATACATTGTAAAGTGAATTGGCTGTATATTTTTGTTGGTGAAATGATACCCAAGGATGACAGATTGCTCACTCTGCCATAGAGGTGGTGCTGCTTGTTTCTGTCCGTGGGCCTTGATGTCACGCTTTGATCGACGAATGCATAAAAATGACAGTGAAGTTTGGATTCAATTTGATCGACACGAACAACGCTAAGGGAGGACAGTGACGCTAGCAATTAAAGGCAAACTGGGTGGGCTGGTAAATCACGGGGCTGACACAAAATATATTTTTAAAGAGATTATTAGCCCCGGAAAGTAATCCACCGATCAACTGGGTTCCTACTTATCCCACAAGGAATAAGGAACCTTTCCTAAGGTTTTACCCGACCAGGAATCGAACCTAGTTAGTTCCTCTTGCTTGCGAGACAAATGCTCCAACCACAATGGGACTCCAAAAATGCAGTGGGTCCCATGCATCACCAACAAAATTTATCCGATAATCCTTCAATCAGGGTTTTGCACCATTGCTTTAATCTAAACTTTCCCTCCCCTCCATTAACTCTTACTGAGCTTGGCTCAGTTGGCCACACACTGGGCTCTGGGTCAGGTAGTTGTGTGGGTTCAAAACCCCACATCAGGGCTTTGAGCTCACAGTGTAGGTTGCCACTCCAGCCTTGTGAAAATAAATGAGATGTTAAACGGAGGTCCTACTTGCTTGTTTAAGTAGCTGCTAAAGAACTCATGACATTATTTGAAAAGAGAAGGGAGTTTCTCCAAGGGCTCTGGCCAACAGTGCTCCAACTAAATTGGTTATTCACTGCGTGTCTGTGAGATATTTTCTGCGTGTGAATTGGTTTGAGATAGTGCCTTTCACCTCAGGAGGACTCTACATCTACTGTAAGGTGTATGATTTGATAGAGCACTATATTAGGAGGGAGGCTGGTAAGGAAGGTATTTAACACAGTGTAAGGTGATTGCCTTCTCTCCACCCGCACAGCTTTCCTTGACATTTCCCCTGTGAAAGGCACTATATAAATGTAAGTTGTGGTTGTTGATGATGATGAACTCTAATAAAGAAATCTGACAAACAGCTGTAACAGGAGGGGGATCAAGCCTCAAGCAGATATAATTTCCAGTGATTTATTCGGGGGGGGGGGCTGGAAAAAGCCAGTAAATCTTATTTTATTCAAAACCCACACCCATTCAATCCTCATACTCAAACTTCATTGGAGACAGAGACAAGAAAATTATGTGGCCAATTTAAAAACATAATTGGCCTGGGAAGAAAAGCAGATCAGTGAAAAAATAAATTTAGGCTTTCCTGATCCAAAGGGAAAACAAGTGCATAGTGGTGGAGACTCAGTTGCACACTCTCTCTGCAACGTAATGCTTTGAGACGTACTCATGGAGCCTCTTGGTGTAGATATGTACACCAAATGCTCATTAGACTATGACTTGGATAATCGTCTGTTATTACATTCTTCGAGCAGAATTCCCACCAGTAACACTTCAGACAGCTCATTGGGCCCTCACTCACTCAAGGGTGACGTAAGTTGCATCTGTAGCAACTCCACAGTTGTTGTCCTTCATGGACATCAGTACGTATCCGTCGTTTCCCCAGTACGTTGACCAGGAATTTTTAACCAGCCAGTAGGGCTCACCATCCAGGGTACCATAGCCAACAGCAAGCACAGCGTGATCAAGGTCCTCTGGTTTGCTTCCTGAAACAAAACAGCCACATCGGAACCAGTGAAAGGCTGATCGTATACAATGTCTAACAAGCGAGCCACATGTTGTGGAAATCTATTTCACAAAACACATCAACCATTTCAAGTATGGGTTTTTGAACAATCCAATTCCATACATGTGTACAATCATAGCACCGACTGGACCTCTCTCTTTCTCTGAGCAGTTGGGGTAAGGGATTTTATTGGGGAGTTTGGTAAAGGGGGGGGTGGTGGAAGAAAGTAGAAAGACATATCTTGCCCCAAGAAGGAAGATTTCACCCACAAAATATGCAGTCAATTCATGTGAAGCGCTTTGAGATGTCTCAATGACGTGACAAGGCGCTATATCAAATGTAAGGATTATTATTCTTATCTCCCAAGAATTGACTTGATTCCAGCTAATTCCTTCTCTTACATAATGGATATTCAATCTTATTTCATTGTATCTGTAAAATATTAATCATGGCAAAGAAGTCTGATGGGTGCAAAGATAAACAGCACAGACAAAAAAAACTCCAAACATTCAGCAAATTGTGTCACTTGTCTGTGCTAGTTTCTCCGAATGGAGCTCTTTAAAAATTCAATTGGATTCTGAGCAACTCACCACATTTTGGCTCGTAATAAACTCCGTTGCTATAAAACCGGAAGGATTTCTGTGAGGCGTCAATCCCGACAGCTGCTGGGCCGTTTTTATAGATGGCAAACTTCAATGCTTCGATGTCTCCTGAAGTAACATTGGTGTAACTCTTCAGTTTCGCTGTCAGCGTAGACTGATTATAGTGGCAATATCCATTCTGTAAAAAAAAAGAACACTATATAAAAATGCAACAACAATATGGCATCCGACGGGTACAATATGGCGGGGTACAGTTCCAGAGCGCTTGAAAAGCAAGTTGTTCTTGTAAATTATAATGCAAAATATTCTGAATGGAATTTCAGGTCATGGGTGAAGGCAGCTGTGATCTCTCTCCCTCTCTCCCCATAGTTGAGGAGCCTGACAATATTCACAGGCTGGTCTCACCCATGAAATAGCTTCGACAGGTAAACTCTCAATACTCACCTGTCCCATGTAAGGACCATAGGACTCGGCAGTGGAAATGCCACCATGTTTCATCATCCATTCGTACGACCGCCACTCCTCTCCTCCATCGCAGGCGTTGTTTCCGAAGCCCCACGAGCAGTCAATTAACATTTGCTGGGACAGCGAGATCAAGTTGCCGGTCTGAAAAGCGAAACAGCCCAATGGTTGACCTCTTTGACCGTGCTTCCAGTCAGTCGTCTTTTCCCCTCTCTGTTCTCATTCCCAACTCGGGTGCTCGGCCAGCATTGTCCAGCCCTTTGAGACGTCCTCCCGACGTGAAAGGCCCGATATAAACGCAAGCTGTCCTGTAATCATCTTCTCAAGCAAACACTCAAGAAACAAAGAGACTTGCTATTAGCAGTGCGTGCTTCAATGGTTAGGGAATGCTTTTGCAAACGCAAGTATTATTATAACTGCATAATAATCAATCATATAATAATGCAGTTAACTTGAATACATCCTAATGAAATCCAGTTTATGGTTGCCCCTGCAGCTTGATATCTAATTAACATTGAGCTCCTGCTGTCAATGGGCAGCAATGTTGAAGGCAAATTGCCACCTCATTCCTTGTAAGCAAAAATCGGTGTCAAATCTACTTGAATGCAATGATTTCAGCGCAAGGCTCACCTTCAGGAAGAGCGCCCCCTCCACTGCACCGGTTGTACCGAAACTCCAGCAGGAACCACACACGGCCTGGTCCTTCACAGGGGTCACTGCACCTGTTAGGCAACAGAGCAGCCAAATACATATACAGCCTCAATTCATATTCAACACACACACAGAGCATTTTGTTCCTTCATCTTTCAGATAGGCTGCAGTTTGCCTACAGACTCACAGTCATTACATTTCACTGAAAACTCTCAAGCACTTTGTTTAACGTAATAAGGCGCTATGTCAAATGAGAGGATTACTAACAAACCATGATCAAATTGCCCTACGTTTCTTCTGGAGGGGATAGTTTTGCTCGTAGCCCAAGACTGCCTTTGTTAGGATCATCTTGGTACTGCACACATTTCTAAAATGTACTGGGTTGTACGTAGGCCAACGCGGAAGCCAATTTGCACACAGCAGTGCCCCACAAACAGCCAATGAAGTGAGCGACCGATTTTAAGCAGGGGATTGCCAGCCAGGATGTGAAGGGTCAGACATTTCCTCAATCACCAAAGCTTTAGCAAACTGAGTATTAAGAACACGCCTTTTAAAGCCGGAGCCCAGCCTGCTGTGTAAAGCCCTTCGAGACGTCCTCCCGATGTGAAAAGCTCTCCGTAAACACACACTGTGTTGGAATCTACTGGACACAGCGATTGCCGTGACACATTAGAGGCACAATATTAAATGGAAGGTTCATTATTCACTAGAATGCTGTTAATAATAACAATGATAATCCTTGCATTTGATTATAGCACATTATCACGTCTTCGAGACGTTTCAAAGCGCTTCACAGAATATACTGTAAAGTGTAGTGACTGTATATTTTGTGCGTTAAAAAAAAACCAAGGAGGGGTGGGGGGAAAAAGAGAAAAGACTCACACACCATATAACCTCCAGTCCATACTAGCTGGCAGTAGGACAGATTCATAGTGCTCTGCAGGGAAAGGCCGCCCATTGTTTGGTTTGGTCCTCCTCTGCCTTCCTCTCATAGGTCCCACCTCATCCACAGTGCGATCAGCAAGATGGTTGATTTCCATCTTGAAGGTCAGGTTAGCCCGGTTCATTGAATGGATGTACCTTAAAAAGGGGGTAAAAGAAACTCAGTGAAAATTCCAGAGGATCATTGAGACGGGAGATTAAATATGAATCCCGTGGGATTTTTGCATGAGTTAAGTGCAGAAGTTTCAAGCTAAAGATTATCATGATATTGCAAGCTTATAAATATAAGAGGAAGGAATTTCTCCCAGTGTTGCCGTATCCCACTCCTCAGGTAAAATTGCTCATTCACTTCATGACAGTTTGTAGGAATTTTGTTGTGTGCAATGAGGCTGCTGACTAGAAATAGTTACTACACGCCACAGTAAAGTCAAGTGAAGCTCATGATATAATCACTATATCAAATGCAGGAATTACACACATACACTCTGCTTAAATCCATTGCTCCCTTCCTCAATAGCTGTGATTTAAAATGATGCCGTATTGAACTCTACCTCAGGTTGTGGACAAAAATGTTCTTTCGAAACTCGTGCTCATCCGGATCGTAATCCTTGTCAAACTTCTCCTTGTAATGTTGGAACAAGTGATGAGACTGATCCTCCCGCTCAGGAGAAACAAAATCCTGTATAGGATTGACCGCCATTCTGTGCTCCACTCCAGGACCTGGAAACTCTTCACAGGTCAGGCCTGCAGTCAAATAAAAACATTTAAAAAGGAATTGCAATAGTTTCTATTGCTTAACATTAATTTAATAGCTTCCCACTGATTTTACCTGTAAAAATTGGATACAACCAACACTCTTATATAAGTGTCCGATCAGCTATTGTTACACAGGTTTGGTGTGGACTAAATTGTAGGACTTATCTTACTAACCACTGAAAGAGTTTTTGCACGATCCTAAATTTTAATGCAAAATAGTCTGAATGGAATTTCAATCCGTGTGTGAGGACAGCTGACCCTAACCCTAACCTCACTTCATACACATTTAACTATTTTTAAAAAAATCCAGTGGTTCCAGATGGGGACATTAAGCTCCACTAAGCTGGCCAGTAATTGTTACCTGCAGGGAGTTTGAAGATACTTGGGTCCACAATGCGTTGCAAATCCGTGTAGTCTATTTCGTACTTGTCATAGTGTGAACCAAGCAAAGTGTTGAATCCCTTCATTTCATAGTGGATGGGGATGGAACCCTCTGAAGAATTGGTTATCCAAATAGTGTAGGTGTTTTTCTTCTTCCCCTCGTAGACAACATGTTGCCATACTGTGCAAAGCCGGCCTTTATACTCCTCTTCCTTGATGGGCTGGAACATTGGCAAGGGAAGGGGGGTTGGGGGGGGGAAGATTAGAATCAAATCAGGTCACACTTCCTGTCAAATATCTATACTTCTACAGCAGACTGACTGTTGTGCAATAGACCAATAGTCAACTAACTGGAACGGAACTAAGAAACATAAATCAGGGCTACTCAAGGCAAGACTGGAAGAATTGGCCTTTAGTTAGAACTTAAAATAAGCATAATCAGCTGTAAAGGTCTGGGATGCCACCTTCATGAGGGGCACTATGTAACTGCAGATTGACGTTGTAGTAAAGTACATTACCTTTACAGTTATGAAGTCTTTCAACAATAACAGATAATAATCTTTGCACTTGTCCTGCCTGTGCTAATTCACAGGATGTTCCTGCAAATTGTGTTGTCTGGCAAATGAGGGGAAAGGTTTGCTGGTCCATTGGATTGAATTGTAGGTTTACTAACTCAGGGCACGGTCAGACAACAACAACTTGCATTTATATTGCGGCCTCCAAGCAGGGCAGTGTCTCGGAGCGCTTAAAGCGCTTCTGGCATCACCAGTGAGTGTGACAACAATCAGACCTGATGATGATCACTGTGACCAAATGGCTTGGGCACAAAGGAGCACAGAGAGCAAAGGCCAAGGACCAAAGCTGCCCAAATGAGCCAGAGTAAACAACTGGCCAGCTTCCTGCAAGCGTAATATTGCTGTCGTAGCAAAGAAATTAGTCATTAAAACAACAAACTCTGTGTATTTTAACCTTCTCCTAGCTCCACGTTCTCTACTGAAATCTTATACCTGAAAACCTTCCAGGCTGGGAAAGATGGATTGCGGAAGGATAGGGTCCTTGACTGTTCCCTTCGCTTGGAAACATTTGATGACGTTGATCTCGGTCTCTGTGGTCTCTGGGGAGATCTTGTAGCCCACGCCAGCAGGCTTCACAAATCCATGCTGCAAGGTTACAACCTGACCTGTTATGAGTAGCAGAGGTGTAAGTCCTGTATAAAAGCTATTGTTTATTAACAACCACAAGAAGTTAATTTGTATAGCATCTTTCACATCAGGAGGACAATCCAATCAGAGATTTGGACCCGAGCTGAGGGTTGGGATCAGAAGGGGTGGAGGGCAGGCAGGGGTAGGAGGGTGGTTGAAGGCACGGTCGAAAAGGAGGATGCAAGGGAGGGAGCAAGGAGGACGCAAGGGAGGGAGCAAGGCGAAACCTCATCACCAAAACCGTCACATCCAAAACGCAAAGCACTAACGTTTCGCCCACAAAACGTACAGTCAATTCACTTTGCAGTATGTTCTGTGAAGCGCTTTGAGACGTCTCAATGTTATGATAAGGCGCTATATCAAACACAAAGATTATTATTATTATCATCATCAAACAGTACCGTGATAAAACTCGATGCGGCTGACTCTCCCGGACAGGTTATACCAGGCTTCAAATGGCTCTTCGATTTCAGCGTATGGCAAAGACAGAATCCCTGCAGAAGACAGATTCAAAATGCATTGAATGCAAAGCAAACACCCCGGAGCCTTTTACATATAATGGAGGCCCATTAGAACACAACATTAGAACACAAATCACATCAAATGCACATCACATTGTGTTCAGATTACTGAAACTGGCTTTTAAATAGGAAACGTTACAAGTTCTAAATTGACACAATTTCTCCTGCTTGAAAAAACATTGACCACAGGACTCGAGAGAAGAATGTAATAATCTCAATCTGTGTAGTTGTGGGTTTCTTATTACTTAATGTAGAGTCTACATGAGCGAAAACAATGCTGAAATAGACCGTACAACCATAATAAATCATTTGTCTCAGACGGTTTAGATGATTGCGCCATTTTTGATTTTCAACAGGTCATGAGCTGGTGGCCAATGTGCTGACTGAGGTAGAACAGCATTACAGCAATGAATCATGTGCACAAGTCTCTTGAACAAGATGCACATGGCTCCTGGAGAATTATTTTTATAAAGGGTGATGTCGCTTCTTTGTCACAACTTAAGGCAAGATTGAGCGGACAGGAGTTTTCTGTATACCTTGTCCATACATGAGAGACAGACAGATAAATCTCAGCTGGGAAAAGCTGATCATCACACAGAACCAGAGAAGAAGCCATTCTACTTGCACAATACTTGTTAGAACTCCCCCACATCCAACTTCCCCTTCCAAAGTCACTTAATGGGTCATATGATCTCCACTATAAGATTTGAAAGATGGGTAGTTCTATAGAACTGATAATACAAGCAGAACAATTGCACCAAATTAACTGGTTAAATACAAATGTGATTGTGTAATGTATAATTTGTTGCTGTTTAAATGCATTGCCCTTGCACTTGGTCAAAACACACAATTTGATTTTTTTTTTTACCTGCAACATGGTAAATGTCTCCAAACGAAGGAACTTTCGTCAAGAATTTAGATTCCAAACCTGCAGAGAGTGAACACAAGTTTCGAAGTTAGACAGCAGCCGTACAGAATTGTGAATCAACTCAGTAACAAAACGTTTGGTGTGAAGTTTTGTATTTCTGGAAAAGATTTTCCAATCTTTTGGACATACTAAAGTCCAGCCACATAAAATACGGTTATTGCGATTTTCAACACGTGCTATTCTTTATACAGAACTGCAGGGCTATATACTACGGTGAAACACATAAATATGACAAAGTAGATTAGTAACAGATACTGCTGCAGAACAAACTAGAACACAGCTTTTGCTACAACTGGGCATTTGGTTTCATGAGAAACTATAGACAGTTTATGAAAAGTCAACAAGTTTAAACAAGAACGCACGTACACACAACCACTGGAAAAGGCTTTGCCAAACAACTCGACCAGTTTTGTCCATAATACAAATTTCTAGAGGAATATTTAAAGTAGTTACTAACGTACATCGTTTCTTTTTCAATACAAAACTGTAAATATAAAATCCTTTTGTCACACCTTATTTTCCGAATAGGCCTCCCCTGGGGGTTTTAATCTATTTGCAAACTCTCGTATTCTATAATATAATACAATAATCCTTGGATTTCATATAGCGCCTGATCACTCCATCAACGTCTCGAAGCGCTTCACAAAATATACTGCAAAGTGAATTGACTGTACATTTTGAGGCTGAAACACATAGCAGTGTCCCACAGACAGTCCTGGACTGAGTGATTATCTGTTGAAATTCACAAATACGGTTGTGTCATTCTCTGTTTTGAAGAGATTATTCCGCCCCCGTCTCAACCCTCTCCTGAAGGCTGTTTTCTTATTTTGCTTTGAGGCACAGGATCTATTGATGCAGATGGCACTTTGTTAACTTACTCAAAGAGTAAGTGAGTCAGCAGACTTATTTTCCTGGGAGCAGCTGATTTGGCTCCTGGCCATACCCAGGCTCCTTTTACACATAAACACACATCCACCTCAAATCTGGGTTACCAGAAAGAATACAAAGAGCATTTATATTTAAATTATGTTATGATAGATCAGCAATGAGAAGCCTAACTGATTTAATCCCAGTTCTGAGACCTCACCTGACTCAGCTCAGAAAGTGGATCGATCCCTTTTTAACCTTTCCCCCACAGTATGGCTCAGCCACTCGTTAAAAAAAAAGCCCTGAGTCTTGGTGGGGGGTTGTTGCTGGATCCCGTGTCTGTGCATCAACCCTCCCTGACTCCTCTATCTGAGAGCCCTCTGCAAGTGCAGAGACCGAGAAAAGTGGGAAGAAAAAGCTGCACCAGAACCTGCTGAGAGTTACCTGCAAAGCAGCTCAAGAGCGCAGCACCAAACCAACACCAGGAGGTCCCCATCACTGGGCTCGAACCCTGATTCCGCTCAGTGTATCCATCTGTGAGGGCAAACAGCCAATCAGAGGCCGGTGTGTAACGAACCAGGACCCAATCAGAAGCCTCCGAGGGGGTGTAGGGGGTGGGACCTCTGCCAGGAATCAGCTGAAAGGTCCATCACATGATTGTGTGTCAAATGGCCATGAGCTCTCAAAGGCAACTGCTCTCCCAAAGTCTCCCAAAGTCATGGCCTGTGACAGACGAGTTGAGTTCGAGGTTTTTTTAAAAAAAATCTTTGTTGCCCAAATTTTCGCCAACCGAACCCAATCGGGTCCTCGACCGACCACGACGGTGGTTGCATTTGAGAAAGCGCCTCGGGAGGACGTCCCCCGAGGCGTTCTCCCTCGAGCAATTCAGCGAGGACCGGCCCGCCATGGGGTCGTCTTTGCCCCCACCCCCCCCCTCCACCCCACCCACCGCCACCTCCCCCCGCCCCACACCGCGCCTCTCCGGGCCGGCCCTCCCGTCAGTCCTGGCCACCGTCGGACACGCTGGGTGTTCCGTTGTCAAGAGTGCCGTGGCTTAGGAAGTGGTGCAACCGAGAGAGAGAAAAAAAAACGCGTGCCGCGGAAAATTGACGCGATTCCGAAATTCTACTGTAAAGCCCGTCACCCACCTTGGAACCAATCTTCCTCCTCTCCCCAACCCCTCCTCGCCGGAGGGCAGATTATAAAAGAAAAGCAGATCACATCTCAAAACAGTTGTAATCCCACTGTGATTTATTAGGGAGACGAAATTACATTGTAAATCAATTAAATATGAGGAAACAAACCAGTTTAACCATTTATGTCGTCCCTCGACCTGAAACAGTAGAGGGCAGGTACAGTGTAATAAAACTTTTGACAGATATCATAAAACTTTTACACAAGGAACAATAAATGTACAGAGTAATCTACCAGGAAAGTAACATAAGCATTGTGTTTTTTTTTCAAAATACAATTTGGTGTCGTCCCTCAGATTAGACATTAAATCTAGGTCCTGTCCGTGACTGTTCAAATGGATGTTAAAGATCTTGTGACACTATTCTAAAACGAGAAGGAGGTTTCTCCTGGTTTCCTACCTGATAATCCTCCAGATTTTTAAAAAGAATTGGTCATTCATTCACTCCATGGCTGTTTGTTGGACACTGTTGCGCCCAATTTAACTGTCTTAATACCTACACAGTCACTGCACTTCACAGAAATTGTAGTCGAGCTTTTTGAAAACTCTTCCAAGCACTATAATAAAGTGGATTATTTATGAATTGGACATCACGATGAGGTGATTATACAAGAGGCATGTCCCGTATCTCTTACCTCTATTATTACTGTAATCTAACACTGCATTATTTAGGGATCCATCCGGAAAGAAAAACAGAAAAAGCGATCTGGTTACTAGTCTAAGGCAAAATTTGTATTAGTCTGGAAACTGTAGTCAGGGCGATTTTCCTGCTAGTATATTGTCTGGGTGAAAAGCACAGATGTAAATCAAATCCAGTGTTGATAGAAATCTCAGGTGCCACTCATTCGAGGGTGACATAAATCGCATCTGTAGTAACTCCGCAGTTGTTGTCCTTCATGGACATCAGTATGTATCCGTCGTTTCCCCAGTACGTTGACCAGGAATTTTTAATTAGCCAGTAGGGCTCACCGTCCAGGGTACCGTAGCCAACAGCAAGCACAGCGTGATTAAGGTTCCACAGTTTGTTTCCTGGAACAGTAAAAAAAAAGATTTAAAACAAATAACTGGACCCCCTTCCCCTCCCTCACCCAGCTCGGCGTCACGATCTGCCATGGCCAAGCACTCTGGGACTTTTCCACAAGAGGCGCTATATAAATGCAAGTTGCTGTTCTTGTTGTAACGAGGTGCGTTAGAAATGTTTATTAATGCTGCTGGATATTTTCCTTTGGTTCCCCAGAGTAAGTTCAAATACTTACCACACTGCGGTTCATAATACACACCGCTGCTATAAAACCTGAAGGATCGATGTGCAGCATCAATCCCAACAGACACAGGTCCGTTTTTGAAGATGGCCATCTTTAACTCTTCGGAGTTCCCTGTCGTAACACTGGTGTAGTACTTCACCTTGGCTGTCATCGTAGAGTCGTTGTAGTGGCAGAATCCATTCTGAGAGCAAATGAATGAATGAATCAATCAATAAATAAAGCTTGGTGAGCCTATCACCTCCATGTTCGCCCAGCTCCAATGGTTCCCCATCTTCCCCAGTAAATAGAGTTAAAAATCCTTGTTGTCGCCTTTAATTCCCTTCACCCTCTCGCCCCCAACCCTACCTATATGTCCTCCCTCCTCAAACGCTACTGACCCAGCCACTCCCTTTATTCAGAGACCTGCTTCAAGTCCCTGCCTTCCCCTCCTGACATCGGTAAGCGAACTTTCAGCCGATCAGTCCCCACTCTGTGGAACTCGACGCTTCCCTCCGCCTCGTTCCCTCCCTCCCCTCATTCACAGTCCATCTCAAGGACCTTGGCTCACACATTAGGTCAAATAAAACCCTCCAATATCCAATATATCCTAGTGGATGACAAACATTAACTACATAAATTTTCATTTTCCTCTATCCCTCCGCCTTGTCCCCTACTTCCCCATCTTCAGATCGTGCCTGAACTTTCCTCTTCAACTGTCCCTAGTCACCTCTCCCCTCCCCCCGGATCGACGCCACTGTCAACCCCTCCAAGACGCTTCCCTGTGTGAGAAGCGCTGTGTAAATGTAAGTTGTTGTTCATTTCTGACCTCTCCCAAGTAAGGACCATAAGACTCTGCAGTTGCAACTCCACCGTGTTTCATGATCCATTCAAATGTCTGCCACTCCCGACCTCCATCGCAGGCCCGGTTCCCGTAGCCCCATGTACAGTCCACCAACATTTGTTGAGACAGCAAAATTAAATCTCCCGTCTGAGGAGGAAACAAGAGATGTAACCAGGTGGCCTCCCATACAAGCTTATTGAATAATAATGACTTTGGAAGAATGGATTAGGTACTTGGATTTGCCAGAGTGAACTGTGGGATGTAATAGGAAAACACCCAGAGATCCTGGCAAAAGTACTAGATTAGCCCACACATAGAATTACGTAGATTATACAGCACAGAATCAGGTCATTCAGCCCAACTAGACCATGCTGATGTTTATAGAATAGCATCATAGGTTTATACTCCACACTCACCTCCACCTTCCGAATCCTCTCACTCTCCCATACCCCTCTATTCCCTTCTCCCTCTTTTACCCCTCTGTGCTATAAACTTCAATGCTTCTAATATACGTTGTCACTTTGACACCAAATACCATAACATGCTTATTTTTTGCAGAAGCGCAAAAGTGGTGAATTTGCTGAAGTTGATTTGGTTTCCGATAGCTTTCAGTATTAATATCACACATTATTTGGCCTCCCCTCCACTACCCCCTCACCCCAATCCAGCTCAAGGGTCATATTTGACTATATTTCTGAATGACTCAAGTCAGCACTGACACTTTGGTTATCTATCCAAGGAAAGCTTCATTACTAAAAAAAAGTCCACAAATCATCATCGTTAAACATTTCCATTCTCACCTTCAGAAAGAGCGCTCCTTCCAAAACACCCGTTATACTGAAACTCCAGCAGGAGCCACACACGGCTTGATCTTTGACGGGGTTCACAGCACCTGAGACACACAAAAGAATTCTGAATTAAGGCAAGCAGATTGGGTGGGAGATGGTGGGGAGGAAGAAACAAACTATCGAAAGTTATTATCAGTCATCTTAGTACAGTGAAGGACATGAAATGGAAGTCTGCTTCACGTCCCCTACCTCGCCACTGTCCAGCGCCTTGGGACGTCCTCCCGACGTGAAAGGCGCTATAGAAATGTAATTTTGTTGTTGTCCTTGTCTGCCTTAGAGGCACAAACCAGATAAAGACAAGGCAACATCAAGTCAACATTTTTTACCACATCCTGTAAGCTTCAACCACATTAATGACTCCAACCTTCAATGAAGCCACGTACCGTATAATCTCCAGTCCATACTGGGCGGCACGATAACTGACACGTAGCGCTCAGCGGGAAAAGGCCGACCTTTATTTGGCTCGCTGCTTATCAGTCTCCCTCTCATGGAAGCCAGCTCATCTGTAGTCTGATCAGCGAGGTGATTGATTTCCATTTTGTAGGTCAGGTTTGCCCGGTTCATCGAGTGGATGTACCTTGAAGGATTAATGTCGAGAGGAGCAATGTTGACTTTTATCACCGTCTGTCAGAGCGAACGTCGTGTGGTTAAAGCGCCGCGGAACAAAGGGTGCAAAATGCAATCTGCGCGCAATTGGCTGCCGCGTTTCGCCCACAAATTATACAGTCAATTCAATTTACAGCGTATTCTGTGAAGCGCTTTGAGACGTCTCAAACACGCGATAAGGCGCTGTATCAAATGCAAGGATTATTATTATTCTATTGCAAAACAAAATTCGGTGTGACAATTTGACAAACATACACTGTAAAGTGTCTTGGGATGGTTTGAATGTTACACAGAGATGCTGAGGGTGATACGGACGGTATGGATCAGTCCAACTCATCCATTACTGGGTCTATACTCTTTCTGAGCCCTATTCACATCTCCGATACCTCTCTATCCCCTTCTTCATGCATCGACACTGTTAGAAATCAAGGATTCTCCCAGATCCCTTCACCTCCAGACAGTCCCATCAACAGTAAGCATCATCAAACGTGACGAGGCACTATGAAAATAAATGCAAGTTTTTTGCTCACCTCATGTTGTGGACGAAAGTGGTTTTTCGAAGCTCGTGCTCTTTCTCATCATCGTCGTAATCCTTGTCAAACGTCTCTTTGTAATGCTGGAACAATTGATGAGCTCGATCTTCCTGATCAGTGGAAACTAAATCCTTCATAGGATTAGCCAATATTCTGTGCTCCACGCTGTGCCCTGGGAACCCTCCACAAGTCTTGCCTGAAACATATAAATGTTTTCCAATTTTTCTTCATCTTACTTTTTATTATACCCAAAGCACGCTTATAACTGCAGAGTTTTACAGATCCAAACAACCACAACAAAATGACATTTGTACAGCGCCTTTCACGTCAGGAGGATGTCCCAAGGCGCTGGACTATCAGGTTTTTGGACCCGAGCAGGGGGCTAGGATCAGGAGGAGTGGAGGGCAGAGATGGTAGGGGCAGGAGGGTGACCCAAGGCACTGTCGAACAGGAGGGTCTTGGGACGGGCCTTGAAGGAGGGAAGGGACGGAAATTCACACCCTATTTTGGAATGGTGAAGTTAAAATAGGTGTTACAACATCATTACAAAATTACAACAACAAAATTACAAGGCGCTCTATAAATGTAATTTTGTTGTTGTAATTTTGTTGTTGTTAGCCTGGCACAATTGGCAGCATTCTTGCCTTTGGGGCAAAATGTTCAATTTGAGCTCATAGTTTAGGCTGACACTCTAGTGCGGTGTGTTATCAGAGATTACTGTCCGTCGGATGAGGCATTAAACTGAGGTCCCTTCAATCTACCTGTTCAAGTGAACGTTAAAGATCCTATGGCACTGCTTGAAGAGAAATGGGAGTTTCCTCCCTTTTCCTGGCCAACAATCCTCCAGATAAAATTGGCCATTTGCCTGCAAGTCACTTCACTTTCCTGTAAAATCCTGTGAAGTGCTTTGAGGTATCTTGACTTCGTAATGAAGCACCATATCAAATGCAAGGATTAATATTATAATAAGGAAAGATAGAAGCGGAGGTAAGATTTTTCAGTTGGCCGCGACCAGATGCACTGCTGATAACAGAAGAGAAGATGATCACAGCAATTGGTTGGTGGGTTTACCTTCAGGTAGTTTGAAAATACTTGGGTCCACGTTGTGGTGCAAATCCATGTAGTCTACCTCGTACTTGTCATAGTGTGAACGAAGCAAGGTGTTGTATCCCTTCATTTGATAGTGGACAGGGATGGGACCATGTGTAGAATTGGCTATCCAAATAGTGTAGGTGTTTTTCTTCTTTCCTTCATAGACAATATTTTGCCAGACAGTGCAATGCTGTCCTTCATAATCCTCTTCCTTGATGGGCTGAAATCATAGGAAAAATAAGGACCAGATTGGAGCACTCGCTTTGTCATCCAGAGGACCTGGGTTTGATTTCCTGGGGGTGGGGGTAGGCAAACCTTAGACACATTTCCTTACTCTGTTTACCTACTAGTAAGTGGGGACACGGCTGTGAGTCGATCGCTGGATCTCTTTCCATGGGTAATAACACCTAAAAAAAAATGTGGTCACTCGGTCCTCAACTGTTCGTGAGACACTACTGTGCGCAATTGGTTGCCCACAAAATATACAGTTAATTCAGTTTGCAATATATCCTGTGAAGTGCTTTGAGATGTCTCAGCCACATAATAAGGAACTATATCAAATGCAAGAATTATTATTATTACAGATCAGACTAATGGCTGATATCGTCTCAGCATGGAAACAGGACACTCAGTCCAACCACATGAGTCTCCAACCACTTCTTATTCCCTCCCACCACCTTCTATTCCCCTTGTTCATGTGAAGGTCCAGCTTCCTCTTGAATGCATCCATACTATCTGACATACAACTTGCTAACTTTAGAGGAACCAGGTCTGTAACATTAATCAGCCCCTAATCACAACATTATCCAATGAAAACGTTGAAAGCTGCAAGTCAGAACAAACAGAGAAATGAAAGGCTACAAAAATACTCAAGTTCTGCTTTTGGTGGATATAGAAACCCGTTAAAAATGGATGATATTTTACATATTAATAAGATAGTTTGTACCATGTCTCCACATCTTTTCTTGGATCAGAAACGTCTCGTATTAAAAGCATCATTTATATCAATTCATATCAGTTTACATTAATTTCAAATATAATTTTTTTTATTTGGGCTGCTGTATTTTTCCTCATATTTTGTTTCCCTTCTAACATCTGCTTTAATCTTCCAAAACGTAACTCTGGTATGTTGGAGTTAATCACTACTTATTAGTGAAGGATGAAATGGCTTGATTTGGATTCTCTCTTACCTGGAAACTTTGCATATTGGGAAAGACGGATTGCGGAACGACAGGATCGTTGAGGGTTCCTGTCATTTGGAAGCATTTGATGACATTGATCTCGGTCTCTGTAGTCTCCGGGGAGATCTTGTAGGCAACGCCAGCAGGCTTCACAAACCCATGCTGCAAGGTTACAACCTGACCTGTTAAGAATGGTGGAAGAGATTATAAGTAAGTACAGTAAAAACAAAAAGCACACAACACAACCTAGAAAGTTGTTACAGTCTGGAACGCAAGGTCTGAAAGAGTGGTGGACGCAGATTCAATATTAGTTTTGAAAATGGAATTGGATAGGTACTTAAAAAGGAAAAAATTGCAGGACTATGGGGTAAGAGCGGGGGAGTGGGGCTCAGTTGGCGTAAGAGCGATGTGCCGAATGACATCCCTCTGTGCTGTAAAATTCTACAACACATCACCAACTATTGCCAACCTACATCTTGCCAACCTATGTCTAAAAAGTTCCCAAATTAAATAAAGTAGAGTGCGTCCCTCCAGGGAGAGAATGCGCATTCCATTGCAGACACAGAAATTTCCACGATTGTTGGCATAGACATATGGAACTCTTAGTGTGGCTCGGATACTCTCAGCCTTGTGGCACCTGGCTGACAAGAAGAAAATATTCTTTATTCAACCTTAAATCAAAAGAACTAAATAGCATCAAATCACAAATCTATAAACTGTACCATTGTAATACTCGATGCGGCTAACTCTCCCAGACAGGTTGTACCAGGCTTCAAAAGGCTCTCGAATCTCAGCGTACGGCAAAGACAGAATCCCTGGTGAAAGATTTTTTTTAAAAAAAATTACTTTGATATTCCCCAGAACAGACTAATAACGTGATCGTGTCACACTCTTAAAAAGTGCGTTCGACATAGAAATTCCATCAACTAGAGAATAAAGTACTTTAATGACTGAACTGATATTAAATCAGCATTTTTTCGCTCTGGTAAATCACTTTCCTATTGGAAGCACATGTAAGGCTGTAAAAATATCACCTCAACAGTTTCCTCCAAAGAAGCTTGATCATTCAGCCTTATGTCACACAGAAAATCAAGCAAACACATCCACACACAAAATATCCTGGGGATTGTAATGTACTTAATGCCACTGGAAGGTTTAGCAATACAATATTAATTGCAATGAACAAAATACTTTGATCAATTAAACTGGGGGAATGAGTCCAGGATTGCAAAGTTAAAGAGTACGTGTAGATTATCTACGTGAATATAAACGTATACACACATCAAATATGGATTTAAAAGTTGTAAGGACTGATGAATGCAATTTGGCATTTATGATAATAATCCTTGCATTTGATATCGTGCTTTATCACGTCGTTGAGAAGTCTCATTTCATTTCGACCTCATCCAAAAAAGATGCCAGATCAGAGAGAGAGGAAAAAAAACAAATCGTACCTGAAACATGGTAGATGTCTCCGAATGAAGGCACTTTCGGTAAATCCCGGGCATCGAGAACTACATTAGAAAAACAAGTTACGGTAAATTTATGATCCTTCCAGTGAGGAACGTTAATGGTGAAGTAAACCTTTTGTACTTCTCTTTCCCCCTGGAAGCAAAATTTTAAGGAAGCAACAACAATTCTGAAAGAGTGGAAAGTATTTTTTACACACACACACACACACATCCAAGTGAGTGTCCAGCAACAAAGGTACATCAAAGGAATTCCTGATTTTTTTAAAGCTCACACTAAGAGATTAACTTATTTTCTCCAATCACTTTTCATAAGCATAAACTTTGGTTTAGTTTGAATGGGAACCAAACCCTGGGTGGAGTTTGAGGTCCCATCTCCTGCCCAACTGACCCATCTCCCAGCTGTTACCTGACAAGCAGCTCAGGAAGAGGAAGCCAACCCATTGCACTGCTCTCTCCATCACTGAGCCCAGACCTCTGAGTGACTCTTTGGTCCCAATTCAGTGTAGACCAGACTCATCCTGTGAGGGGGCGGGGCCAAGGGGGCGTGGCCAGGCGGGCCAAGGGGGCGGGGCGGAGCTTTCCCTTTTCTGATTGGCTTTGAATCAACGATTGGCAGTCGCGATTGGGTGGCGACTCGACCAATGGGAAGTGCACAGAGTTGGGCGCCGAATTCAAAGTTGGTGAAGCGTCGAGACTTGAGCCAATGGTCCAGAGCTTTGAGCCAATGGTCCAGGGCTTTGAGCCAATGGTCCAGGGCTTTGAGCCAATGGTCCAGGGCTTTGAGACAATGGTCCAGGGCTTTGAGCCAATGGTCCAGGGCTTTGAGCCAATGGTCCAGGGCTTTCTACCCCCAACCAAACTCTTGTTATTTTAGGGTCTGTTTAATTTCAAGAAAACGCTACTTTCGTGTATTTTTTTGGCGATCTTGCTTCTCAACAACAACAACAACAAGATTCCATTTATAAAGCGCCTTTCACGTCGGGAGGACGTCCCAAGGCGCTGTGCAGTTGGGTCAGGACCCGAGCAGGGGGTAAATGGTCAGGGTGAGGGGAGGGAAGGGAGGGAGCGAGGAGGGGGTAGAGAGTCGAGAGGGGAGCTGAAGGGACGGTCAAAGAGAAAGGTCTTGAGACTGACCTTGAAGGAGGAAAGGGAGGAAGCGGCGAAGGCACTGGGGATGGAGTTCCAGAGCCTCGGGGCTGAGAGGCTGAAGGCCCGGCCACCGATGGTAGGGCGGTTGGGGTGGGGGATGTGGGGCAGACCGGAGCCAGAGGAACGGCGGGTACGGGCAGGTAGGTAGGGGATAGTAGGTCAGAGACGTAGGAGGGAGCGAGGCCGTGAATGGATGAGGATATTGAATTCGAAGGTTGAATTCAACCTTGCCGGTTTCTTGTACACTCCTCAGGAGGGCATCAGCGATGAGTTATCAGGAGTAGCGAATTAGGCGTTCGTAAAAATACATAAATAAATGCCATCGGTATATTGACAGCGTGATGGCTTAAGTGGTAGTGACTAGTTAAGCCAGGGTCGATTATCAGGTGTTTCGAAATTGAACCAAACCATGAGGTGTGACATAATGCTCCGCAAAAAAAATTGCTCTAAATACTTCTAAATAAAATTTATAAACAAGGAAACAATTTGATTCTAAATTATATGCTTATATGCTTACTACTTTTCCATTTTGATGCAAAATATACTTTACCAGCTATACCACAGACATTGTTCTTGAACCGAGAAAATTAACCTTTAAAACAGTTTGTGTAAGACTTGAGCATCTACAGCACTTAGATTAACCTTTTATACAACCTTTGATTACATAAAAATAATTCATTGCATCAATTAATATTAATAAAGATTACATTTAAAGGTTAATTAATAAAAAAATAGTGCACATATGTTTTTTTGTCTAAAATTTATGGATTCAATTCAATCTGTTAGGTTAAGCAGTAAAGGCGGCCTCTCAGCCCTACATTTCTTTACTGAACTCTGCGCACAGTAAGGCAGAACATGTCTTATCATAGACTCTTTGCAATCTCTTGACCATGAAGTCAGTTCTTCTGCCAGCTTCATAAGGCAAACATGCTGACTTGCCAGCAAGGTTACTGATTATCCTGGGCACCAATGAATATAATTCAAGCAAATACTTGAGGATAAGACTGTTTAGAGATTTTAGAACACATGTGATGTTACAGTTTGGGGATTGTACAACAACAAACAATATTTGTATAGAGCCTTTCACGTCGGGAGGACGTCCCAATGGGCTAATTCTAATGCATTATCTGCAATGGACACATTGCTGTTCCTGTAAGCAGACTCTTAACTCTAATAATACAGTCACTGTTCTCTTATATAATATTCCTCCATTATAGAGTGGCGTAAGCAATAATAATTATACTTGTATTTGATGAAGCACCGTTCACATCAGGAGGATCTCTCAAAGCGCTTCATAGGGTACACTCAAGTGTAGTTGGCTATATTTTGTAGGCAAATGCCAAGGTAAACAGTGTACTTCTCCTAGACGGCGGAATCAGCTTACTGGGTGTGTGTAGATTCCCCCACACAAGTGGAATGAATCCATCTGTGGCTAAAACTAACACTGGTTCAACTTAAATTCCGATCCGTATTGTAATTTGAAAAATCCCTTCACTCGGCCAACTATTCTCAGCACAGCGCGGACACAATATGAAGCAACAAACATTCTTGATGGGATTAGTTTTTAGATACAACGTTTGTGGTTTGGCCAAGAGTCTCAGACACTGATGAACAATGCTTCAGAAAGGTCAGCTTTTTTTCAACCTCCCTTAGGCAGGGGTTAAGAGCTTTAAGCTGCTCACACAACCAGCTTTTGTTGCTTAAATACTAAATCATCACCTCAGGAAACTCCTAAGGGGGAGACACTATAATAATGATAATCCTTGCATTTGATGTAGCATCAAACATAGCTCAAGGAGAACCAGTGGGCTTCTCTTTGCACAGAACACGCCCCCACCAACGCCCTCTCCTCCCCCGGCAATTGCCCCCTTTTCTCGTGAGCTGCAATGTAAAATGTAAAAATGTGACCAACAACAACTTGCATTTACACAGCGCCCCTCACTCAGGGTAGCGTCCCAGAGCGCGACAGTGGTGGAGCACGACGGGAAGTCGGGGGGGAGAGCGAGGTCACCGTAAGCACGGTCGAATAAGAAAGTCTTCAGGCGCGACCTAAAGACGGGGAAGGAAGGGGCAAAGGCGGGGGGAATAGAGGAAGAATGTTCCAGAGTTTTGGGGCGTAGTGGCTGAAAGCGTGGCCACCAATGGCTGTGGGTTAAGCAGGTCGAAGAGGCAGGGAGGTGGGGACAGACACATAACAGGAAACATAACCTTCCCATCCAGATCGGTTTATCAGTTTGGCTCATAACTTGGTCTCGCCATCGAGGCCAGACAGTTTCAGTGGAATCCATTTGTCAGTCCATAGTTCATTCATTTATCTTATTTTGAGAGCTTGTTTAAAATTTCTTTGGACGAGTGAGGCCAGAATTTCACCTAGCCTCAGCCCATAAACTAATAGAATGATAATAATAATAATCCTTGCATAATAATAATAATAATAATCCTTTCGCGAAGTCTCAAATCGCTTCACAGAATATAATAATAATAATCCTTGCATTTGATATAGCGCTTTTCACGTCGGGAGGACGTCCCAAAACGCTTCACAGAACACACTGTAAAATGAATCGACTGTATATTTTGTGGACGAAACATAGCAGCCGATTGCGCGCAGAGGGTCTCACAAACAGACGTGGGTTTTGCTGTGAAAACCTCATTAAGATTTAAAACCACCTTGTCCCCCTAATTTGAGACCAGGCAGAATTCAGTGGATTTTTATTGAAAGAGAAAGTAACTAGCTCAGGGAAAAAAAACTTGGGATTCTCCAGAGCTGCCAACAACTGAACGGTTTATGCATCATTGGCTTACAGGGACGACCGTTTGCATCACTTGTAACACAAGTAACATGAATCTAGTTCTGCCTGATCTCCCTCTCTCCCTTGCGATCGAGACACTGAAGCTTTTTCCACTATGTTTTAAAATTCCAGCTAAGTGTTGTGCTCCGCCCAGTATAAAAAACCTCCCGAGAGATTAATGCTGCATTTCAATCGACCTCGGAATCTCTGAAGCTAGTTATTTTTAAAGTTGATTGAACTTGTCTACAACTCTTGCTGACGCTGGGATATCTTTTCAGACCAGTACCCTGGGCCATAACAAAAAGCAAGTTAAGAATTAAATCCCTTGTCTTAACAGAGAGAAGGAGAGAAAACAGAAAGAACACAGGAAAGTCCGCGCTGGTGTCAATTGATCCTGCGGAGACTGAAAATGATTAAATTTTCCCGCTAAGGTTTGTAACAGAAAAAACGCAAGGCAAACAGGACCGACAAGAATATGATGATAATAATAATCCTTGCATTTGATATAGTGCCTTTCACATTAGGAGGGTGCCTCAACAAAAACAGGATTTACTGTAAAGTTCAGTGACAGTATTTGTAGGCAAATGCGGCAGTCAACATGCAAAAGCAATATCCTTTTTTTGTTCCCTTGTTCAGAGAAAAACATTGGAGGCGCACCAAAGAACAGAGAGCTAATATCAGCCATATGTTTGGGTGTTTTGGGCTGAATTTCTGCATACACGACTTGCAACGTTTCTCAATCATTTATATTGAGTGGCTCCATCTGGTGTATGTTTTTGCAATATTTGCCACTTTGCAAAAAACATTCTGGATGGATATGTTTTGCTGGCAATAAAACAATTTAAAAAAGAGAGGTGGAAATACTGTGACTGTCCAGCAGAGAGAGCAGCTTAGCGCAAATTTGACACTTGGTGTTGAAGAGTGCATTGTTGCTGTGGTGGGGGAACTTCCAAGCCAACTTAGTTCCTGGAACAACCGCCAAAAACCCTTCCCTGAAACCTCCCTTAACGTAAGAGCATTGAAATCGACAGCGCAGGAGGAGGCCATTCAGCCCATCAGGCCTGCACCAGCTCACAGAGCAAAGGACTTCACGTCAATCCCACTGCCCTGTTATGTCTCCATTCTCCTTCAGTGCTTTATGTTTTTAAACATGATGTTGAACAGAATGACACAATTGTATTTGCGAATTTCCACAGATGGAGCCAAGATAATTTGACTGTTTGTGGGGACGCTGCTGTGTTCAATTGGCTGCCGCGTTTCACTCACAAAATACACAGTCAATTCACTTAACAGTGTATTCTGTGACACGCTTTGAGACGTCTCAAAGTCGTGATAAGGCGCTATATCAAATGCAAGGATTAATAAGGTCCTGCCTATAAATAGAGCATCGTCAGCTGAGACTTGTCGTAATGGCGACAGCACATGCCAGATTGTCAAGTGGCACAGCTTTGAGTCGCCAACCGAGAAACAGTCAGCGTTGAGTGGTTGACTGGGAGTTGCAGGCGGCTATATTGTCCTGGCCAGGCAGATCACTAGTTGGAGCTCTGCTCTTTCCTGGCTGGAGTCAATAGCTGCACA